TCTTCTTCTTCTTCTTCTTCTTCTTCTTCTTCTTCTTCTTCTTCTTCTTCTTCTTCTTCTTCTTCTTCTTCTTCTTCTTCTTCTTCTTCTTCTTCGCTTCTCTTCTCTTCTCTTCCCTTCTTCTTCTCTTGCAGCAATCATGGGTTGCTGCGAATCCAAAGCAAATCTTCCTGCTCCTCAGGAGCTTACATTGTGCCCCCAAGTGTGCACAATTTCTGTTACCCCGGTGTCCACCATGCGTGGCCCGTCCTCCCCCTCCCCTGTCTTCTTCCCTGGAGACCCCAACCCTCACCTCCCTGCCGCCCCCTCCCCGACACCCTCTCACCATAGTGGTGACAGCGGTCGTCTTAGCTTTCGCCCAAAGGGCAAAGCTAAGCTTCCGCCCGGAGTCAGCCGCTGGAAGTACGTTTGGACTTCCTTGTGGCGTGACTCCGAGTACGGCTATGAGTCCGAATAGGGCTCATAGTTGTACTTAAGGTAAGTATAGATTTCCTATGTTCGGAGTTCTGGCGTTTAGGTGTTTCGGCGTTCTGGCGTTCTGGCGTTTAGGTGTTTCGGCGTTCTGGCGTTCTGGCGTTCTGGCGTTCTGGCGTTTGGGTCTGCTTTTCGGCGTTGGCGTTTGGGTCTGCTTTTCGGCGTTGGCGTTTGGGTCTGCTTTAGGCGTTGGCGTTTGGGTCTGCTTTCTTGCTTTCAGGCGTTTGGGGGCGTTGGCGTTTGGGTCTGATTTTTTGTTTTTGGCGTTTGGCGTTTGGGTCTGTTTTTGTCCAGCATTGCAGGTCACCTTCTCGTGGTGTTGGGCGTCAGTAAGAGCTTGACTCTGAAGCCAAGTACCTGTGTCTTGTACAATAGCAATAGGTCATAGTGTATAGCATCAATCATCGTCGTCAACACCTCGTTGCCTTTGATCTCTGCTCATCTCGTTGTCGTTGCCTCCTGTCTGCCAACACTCTCACCTTGTAGTTTTTGGTGTTGTTGTCGCTCCTCTCCAACCATCCCCCCTCATACTTCGTGATGTTGTTGTCGTCTCGTTGCCTTCCATCCCCAACCACCTTCCCTCATCATTTTCGGTGCTGTTATCTTCCCCCTCCAAAACATTTCCCCTCATAACTCCTGGTGTTGTTAGCTTCTAGTTTCCCTTCATCTCCAACAATCTCACCGTTCTCACCTTTAACATAACACCCCACAATACACCTACCTTCCATCCACATGAAGTTAACACAACTTGGGCCCTGCAGCTCCCCGCTGTCCGTTACTCAGATTTCATGTTCCTTTTCCCACCCCCACTTCTTTCAGCACTATGATGCACACTGGTCTCTCACATTACAGCACGAAATCATGTTTCGAGGTGACAACGAGATCTATCCCATTCTATTCCAGTGTATTATGCCAATTGCTGTCTTTCAATGCATATTGTACAGCAGCCCTGACATCGTCTACAATGGCCTTTGGCTCATACGTAGGCTTATGTCCTGGCCGATCCTTGAAGACACCAGTGCGAGTCAATAGACTCACCCACTCGATCCCGTGCGGAGATTCATAAGTATTTGCACCTCGGATGTCACTCTCGGGGTTGTCGCCAACCATGTATACTTTGCGCAGTCTAGGAGCGGCCTGACTATCGACTAAAGTAGCACGATGGTTTAGCAGACGTTTTTCTGCAAATGAATATGTCTCCTTATAGGGCTTCCCAATCACGGTCTTGTAGAGTTCCGGATTGCCCCCACTGTGTGCTGTGACGGCACGCCAGACCCCTTCTAGAGCCTCACGAAAACCGCCCTGACCGAAACGTGATAAGTGGTACTTGGCTGCCCAGAGAAGATCCGGGTTTGAGAAATAGAGGGGGGGTTGGCCGTCTTGAAGGTAGCCGAAATTCGGTAATGATGCATCTCCGTTCTTGGACGAGTATGTGCCCATGATTCCTTGCCTGGAGAGCAGCACATCGATGAGGACCTGGATATCGAGACCCCAATCACGGGGATCGTTGTAGACAAAGACGGCATCAAACTTGAGACTGTCTTCTGGTGACTCTGGGTTGATAGGTTTGGGTAGTGGACGAGCAAAGGTGGAATAAACGTCTTTGAAGGGCCTGCTAAAGGGCCATATTTCTGGATGTGCTGCATAGATATCTCCTGGAATGACAACATTGGTGAAGCCATACATTTCTGCAACATCTCGACATCGACCTCCATCTCCACCGAGGACGAGAATGCATTTATGACGCAGGCTATCTTGACCATGAACCAATTCCGCGAAAGGTGTATGTGACTGGACAAACATGGAGGTATCGAGTGGCACCGAGAGTCGGTCGGTCAAGTCCCTGACACGCTCGGATTCGTGCTTGCCGCCACCATTCGTGAGGAGGATGAAAGGGATAGAATTTCGCTGGAGGAATTGCAACGTCGAGGCTGCATGGGGTATGGGGTTGGCGCTCCGCACCAGCACTCCGTCTATACTGCTGTCGTGTCAACATAGTCCATGTAGATGCATCTTGAAGAGGGTTAGTGACACATACTCAAAAGCAAAAGCAAAATCGGGAGTGACCTGTTTGTGGTCGCGGTGAAATGGTCTCGATTGCTGTGAGGGTAATCTGGGCCAGCTAGGCTGTAAGATCCGCTGCCTCGTCTGCCTGGCAGACACACAGGCATTGTACAACCTCATCGTCCGCACCAGCGTCTGTATTGACGGAGGGAGGAGCTTGGTCAACAGAATCCTGGCGACGCGATGACTGTTGAGGTTGAATTCTTATCGCTTATCGAATTCGACGGAGTATTTCTGTTTGATGTGCAGCGCATGCAAGTGGACGAGCGAATTTATTAAATATCAGCCATGCTCCGTCACCAACATGAGTTACATCTCTGCGCATACAAGCCCAGCCTGCTCCACTCTATGTCAAGTCGAATCGAAATCAAAAGCTGTGCCCAAGAAGTTGAAAAATGTATGGTACTTCTGTGACATGGCCAGGAGCATCCGTCACCAGTTCCGGTTAAATCCTAGAGGTCTCGCTTCATGGTAGCCAGCCGTTCTTGTTCAGTTCCTTGCTAGTCCATTCTTCCAGCTTAGTTGCAAGAGCAGCATTCTTAGATGGCCCCGACCTCCATCCTCCTTTGTTCTTTGCTATCCTGATGAAATATGCACCACAGTCCTGGCTTGGCATCTTGGGGCTCGCAGCACAATAAACACTTGTCCAGCTTCCTTTATCAGCATCGAAGAAGAATCCCAGTGGCCTGGCCACGTTCAGAATCAATCCCAACGGAAAGGGCCATTTACTATTGTTGGCAAGATTGGTCTCGACTAGGCCTGGATGTACGCTGGTGGTCCAAACTTCACCGTTTCCTGCCTTTGCACTTGGTGAGTTAGGACCGTAACGATCGCTCAGAATTTTCGTGTGGAGGATGTTAGCGAGCTTGGATTGTCCATATCGAGCCCCAGGGTCGGACTTGGTGAGAGCAGGATCGGCAAAATTGATGCCGCAGCTGGGGGCACTTGCGTGGCCCGCAGAACTCAGGTTGACAATTCGAACGCCGCCTGCTGGTGTGGTCTTGGACGTCTTGAGAAGCAGTGGCAAGAGGTGGGTGGTCAAGAGCCAGTGGGCAAGATAGTTTGTCTGGAACTGTGCTTCGTAACCGTCGGACGATATTTCAAAGGGAGTGGCCATGATACCAGCATTGTTGATCAGTCCGTGGAGGGCGGGCTCTTTGGAGATGAAGAGCTTTGCTGCTGCAACTACACTGTCGAGTGACATGTGGTTGATTTCTAGGAGAGAAATCTTGGCATTTGGGTATAGTTTCTTGATGTCTTTGACAGCCGCAGAGCCCTTTTCGACAGAGCGGACGCCCATGTAGACATGAGCGCCATGCTGAGCGAGTCGTGCGACGGTGAAGTAGCCTCTGTATCCCCATGTGAGCGAGCATTCACTTCAAATGCCTGGACAGCTTACATTCCAGAATTCCCACCAGTGACCAGGTACACCTTCCCAGAAAGGTCTGGAAGCTCGTCAGGGTGGAAGGTCATGCTGAGTGCGTTGTTCAAGGACACTTTGTGGCTTTAATTTGTGTAAATGATGGAAGATGTGAGTCCGAAGATACTAGGTAATAGATATGTAGAACACGAAAGTCGTCGTTGCTAGGCTTGAGGCCTTTTATCTTTGTTACAGCATCTGACGGGACGGGATGATCGGGAAATTGGGGAGGGTAGAACAATTTCATGCTCCGCCACATCATGTCGACGTTCCTCTCTCGACCGTTAATGGGGGTTAGACATGATGGCATTTTGATGGACCGTGAGCATGGATGGAAGTATACCACGATGAAGTGTTGGCCATTGAGTTTGCCATAACGAAGCTTTAGCGGTAAGCCAGCTGCATGACGCTAAGCCCAAAATGCCCAAGTCTTAGAGCCTCAGGTGATGGAGATCGGCCGTAAGGCAATAGCCCCAGTGCCAGAGATGTCGAGCTCTAGGCAGCAGTTTAGCGCAGTCTAAAGGGCATTCCACCTACTTCATCACCAATCGCCATTAAGGTACGTGTAGTTTATCATTAGCCGACGATTTCGATAGGGATCACGATAATAAATTAGTACTCCGTAAGTTGTGAAAGAGACGGCGATTGCGTAACTCTTTAACGTGGTCTCGCCCTAGTTATGCTTCTCAATTGTCGTAGTACACGGACATAAGGCAGCACCTACATACCTATTCACTTATCTCTTCCTGTCCCCAGAAAGACTTGCTGTTAAAGTACTCGGACAAGGGAGTCTGGTCGCTCTTAATACACCAGTCGATTTGTCCTCGTTCATTGGACTTCAGTCATACGCACGAGTGCCTACCTAGTACTTACCAGATATCAAGGATGGAGATCCTCCAGAAACGAAGTTTTCGCTCCACTGAATCAGCCACCAACTCCCTGTTTTGATAGAGATAGGACTACTAGGTACTTTCAAGCACATAAATACTAGGTATTTAGTACGGGACTAGTGTCGCTCTACCTACGAGGAGGGTAAAGTGTCCGTGCCCAAGTGCGTTGTTAAACCTCTCAGACATCGGATTTAGGCAACAACATTAAAGTAAACTCATAGTGATACCTTCGGCAAGAATACTCGACTCATGCAGCCGCAGTTGCCCTAAACTCGTAGGTAGGTAGGTAGTGCAACAGATGACTGTTGGACTCTTCATCATTCTTTTCATCGTTCTGCCCTTCTCAACTTGAGATCTGCAATTCCGCACAGGCCTGGAATTGATTCTCCATGTAAGCCACTTGCACTCGCATGCAACTATGATCCGTTCTCTTTAGCATCTACCTTGAATTACTACCGGCAAATCAAGATGGCATCGGCTATGCAAGCCATGCCCAGCATCCCACTGCAGCGTATGCCACAGCTCATGGCTGCGGTCAATCCGAATGATGATTGGACAGGCATCACCGATGCAGCTGAGCGGAAAAGGAGGCAGAACAGGCTAAACGTACGAGCTTACCGTAAGTAAAGACGACCTGAACGACATTTATGAAATCAGTCATAACCCCAATTGGTGGCAGGCCGGCGGAAGGGCCAGTCTGCAGCACAGGAACGTCAGGTCGAGCTAATTTCATCGACAACAACTACACAAACGCCGGCAATAGCCATGATGCCATGCTGGGATGAACGGCGGGGGACGGTTGTGATGTTAGCGGCAGCGGAAGCGCGGGCTCTGGTCAAGGCACAAACTCCTCTACTGCCCTACCGTCCGACTCGGCTTAAACTCGACAAAGTCATGTTTCCATTGTCATCGGACCACCTGATGGTTCTCCTGCAATTCAACGTGGTCCGGGGATTGCTAGCCAATTACCACCTGCTCCTCATGTTCAGGCCAGAGACGGCAACCAACGGCGAATGCTCGACGGCGGCAGAACACGTCATGCCAGACCCCATTGACGCATCTCCCAATTGTGAACTTCCCGAAACTCTTCGCCCGACGAGATTGCAGACCACGGTGGTCCACGGCAAATGGATTGACATTATCCCACATCCTGTGCTGCGTGATAACCTGATACGTGCCCGGGGCACCTTTGACGCTGACGATCTGTGGAACGACACCATCGGCGGCTTGTTCCAGGGCTTTCCGGATTCGCACTTCGAGCAGCATGGTGTCGTTGTCTGGTCGCCCCCTTGGGCCGTCAGTGGATGGGAGATCTCGACAGGTTTCTGGCGTAAATGGGGATGGACATTGAGAGGCTGTCCAGATATCATCCACGCTACGAACATCCGCAGACGTCAGCGTGGCCAACGGCCACTGGGCTTCATCGCCGACGCTTGAATCACGACTCAAAACGTATATAGTACCCTTTCCTTCTGTGAGCTTGGAGTAGGTGTTTCTGATGTGGAAATGCGTTCAACTATATTGTGCACCACCGTATAGATTGGGGTCACGTGCTAGGTTTTCAAAAGGTGCCACTCAAATTCCCAACACAGTAAATGATCAGGGCGTGGGGTTGCTCCCTGTGCTGGCCGAGGCCAGCATTTGCAACTGTCGTGGCCTGAAATGTCCATATTACATGGCATCTGAGGTCAAGAATATATGCACCGACACTGTGTATTTACCAGTAAGTCAAGAGTACTTACTGCTGTGGCTGTGTTGTTGAAAGAATGTACTTGCTGTATGGATGCGAACACGAAACGAAAAATACAAAAATAAAAAATAAATACGAGATGGCTTGCCTATTTAGTCAAGCACTTGACATTTCTTGTTTGTCCCAGGGTGCAGACTTCCTTGGCTAAGCACTAACCAAGTCCATATGGTCGGACGCATGTTGATAGTCTGAGGCAGGCAGTAGGCCTGATATTGAGAGTAGGTACGAATATCTAGTACAGGATACCTTAGGTAGGTATCTTAAGTAGGGAGGTATCTAGTATATATACAGGTAGTACCTAGTATCTTGGTTCGTGCTCCAGGTAACCTACCCAGTGGACAGCGATACTTTCTTCAGATCCTCGCGACATTCAACAGAATTGTCGATCCGAATCGTCTAGCTCTCCATCCATCTCGCCCGTGTCACAACATCATTCATCAGTCATTCACAACCAACCACCCTCGTCGTTATTGTCATTGCGGTTATCATCGTCGACGAAAAGATAAGGTAAAGATATCGGTCAAGAGCCGTTATAGTATCCTTAACAACATGGCCTTGCCATCCTTGACCAAAATATACCACAACAAAGCCTACGCGGCAATCGACGCGACGAGGCCAGAATTGTCCGTCAAAGGGAAAACGGTTGTCATCTCTGGCGGAGGAACCGGAATCGGTGCTGCCATGACCTTGGGGTTTGCACAGGCCGGGGCGGCCAAAATCGCCATCACCAGTCGGCGTGCTGGTCCATTGAACGAGACCAAGCAAAAGGTCGAGGCGGCAGTGTCGGGTGTCAAGATCCTGGCCGTGCCTGGCTGCGACATCTCGGACCTAAAAGTGACCAAGGACACTTTCGACAAGATCCATGCCGAGTTCGGCCATATCGACATACTCATCGCCAACGCGGGATATCTGTCCCGCCTGGAGAATATCGATGTCACCGACCCGGACGAATGGTGGACTGGGTATGAAATCAACGTCCGTGGCACCTTCAACACGGCCAGATCTTTCCTCCCCTATGCCAATCCAGCCGGTGCTCTCGTCGTGGACGTTACTACCGCCGTCATCCATTTCCCTTTCGGTCCTAGCTTTTCCAGCTATGTGCCTTCCAAGTTCGCTGCCACCAAAGTCTGGGACGGCTTTGCAAAGGAGCACCCTTCCATTCCCGTTTTCCATCTCCATCCAGGTATCGTCCCCACAGAACTGAACATTAAGAGTGGCTTTCCAGCTTCGGATAGTGGTCAGTACCCACTTCCCTCATCTTTTCTTTGATGACGCACGTTGTAAGGCCCTCCACTGACTCCATATCAGCTGATCTTGCGGGAAATTTCGTCGTTTGGCTTATCAGCCCAGAGGCGAGATTTCTGCGGGACAAATTCGTCTGGGCCAATTGGGACGCACCGGAACTGCTGGAACGTAAAGCCGAGCTGTCTCAGCCAGACAAACTCAACATCGGCCCTTAAGTCATGGCCAGCCTGATTTGCAACTGTTGTAAAAGACAGTTATCATTCTATGCTTTTCATTGACGCGTAAGGCTTTCCTGAGATTCGAGCTGTGGTACTGAAGAGGATGATTGGGTTGAGTGAAAAACAATAGCGATCAGGCGTTCGCACGAACGACTGCCTCGTGCTTCCAAGACTTGATTGTTAGACAAAATCAAACACATCACCACCTCGGTCATTGATCAATCTGCCCACTCTCTGGGTGCCCACTATTCTTTCTAGCTTCATGGCGTCCCATTTAGAGAACAAAGCTCGGACTGATGCTTTTGTCCTCTTGTCGTCTTCTCTCACCACGTCCAACATCTTGGCCACTTCGGACCAGAAGATAGGATTCTCGGGAACACCATAGAAGATCACCTTCTTGACCCCTCTGATCTTGTATCGAAAATGATGATGTGCTCGCTCTGAATACACCAGCAAGGTATGACGGCCACTCAGGAAATGAGATCTTGCTCGAAGAACTTCTTTGTGTGAGGCATACTCGGAAATCAATCCAAAAGAGAGGTTTGCTGCCTCGGAAGACGTTGAGAGAAAGTTGCGGAGACGAACAAAGTCAACATAGGTAGGCACGAAAAGGAGAGTTCCTTTTTGACGCTTGGGATCGCGGAGAAAGGGTGGGAGGACAGAGGTGGTGAAGAATTTGAACCGAGCATCAGAGTCGCCTTGCGCTGAAGGGGAGGAGAGTCGCAGAAAGGTTTGTGATACTGGGATCGAAACCAGTGAGGAGACGCCGAGCATTTCGCCAGGGTATTCAGGCTGCAACTTGATTCGTCCAGAGATGTTCTTCAAGTGTGTCGAAGCCAGAGCGTTGATTTCAGGTGTGAGGTAGTCGGAGAGGATGATGGTTTGTCGTAGGTACTTTGCTTGGCCGTCGAGATACCAGTGTCGAACGCGGGAGAAGTCGCAACCATGGGAATCTTTTGGCAGTAGATTCAACTGAGAAAATACATAGTCGACATGCTGCCAGTTCTGCATTTGAAGAGCATTGGCGTGATCGACAATAACCACTTCGATCGATGACAGAAAGTCTGCATCTTGCGTCTTCTTGCTGTTCTTGCCTCCTCCACCGGTGGTGATGGTACGCATGAGACCCAAAGGAGAGCCAATGATGATGTCGGAATTGTAGAAGCCAGCAAAATACTTGATCGTCTTTCTCGTGAACTTGAGCCCAATTCGGAAGTCCTCTTCATGGTTGCCGCCAAAAAGCTGGCGAAAATCCTCCGGCTTGTCGAGCCATTCGTCGCTATCGTCCTGGGTGTACGTTTCCAAAAATCGAGATTTGTTCTCTTGTTGATCAGGCTCGCTCAACTTTACGATACTGTCGACGAAGCGGACGCAGGCTTGTTTTGTTGGAACCATGATGAGAACCTTTGGTCGAGTAAAGCCTTGGTCTCGAAGATCCAAAATCTCCCCATTCGATTGTGCACTTAACTTGCTGTTGTTCTTCAGGACTCGATCTCGTGTCTTGAAGACATGATTTAGGGCATGAAGACATGACAGATCTCGCAAACGGGAGGTATTTTGCACATCTCGGCAGCCATGGAGAACATCATCATATCCGAAAACTGCCGCTGCAAGATACTTTTCATCGGATTTGAGAGACGTGAACACCTTCGTTCCAGTGCCCAATATCCTCTGCTTCAAGAACATGTCTTTGGGAGATTTGATGATGGATGACTTTGTAGGCGCGTCTGGTCGAAAACGAGCGACTCGAAGACCAGATTCCGAGGTGGAGGAAGTTGTTTGCCAGGCTTTCGACTCGACTTGTCCCGCAGCCTCCTTGATTTCCTTCTCGGTCGCTGCCGAATAGTGCTTCTCAAAAGGGTCACGAAACATGACCTCTTCATCGTCAGAGTCGATACTTGCGTCCACAGCGTCTTCAGTTTCTTCATCAGCCTCTATCTCTTCATTCAGCGCTCTCGCCGTTTCGGCCTCATCTCCGTTCGACGGTGTATCGGAAGCGTCGGTCCCTCCAACCTCGAGAGGGATTACTTTTGTAGTGCTGGTGTCTGGTTCCAGTTTCCTCTTTTTTCTTGCGGGCTCAGAAGTACGTTTGCTGGTGTTGAGGGTTTGTAGCAGAGTCTGGTAGGAGTGGGTTGGAAGGACTTGTTCTGGTTCGCTCTCGGATGCCTCCTCTTCTTCATCAGCATGTGCGAGTCCATGCGCGGTCTCTTCGTCTTCGGACTCTTCGCCTAACGACTCTTCGCCTCCCGAGCCATCCCTAGTCTGTCAGAGAGATTGAATTTGAGTATTATGTTATAGAAGCTGGTGACCTACTCCTCTTCGTTCAGCCTCGAGAATTGGAAACTCTGGTGGTGGGATGACTGGCCTCGACCACGTCCCCGTCCTCGGCCACGAAATTGTCTGCGTCCCGATGCACCATGGCCGCGGCCTCTAGTAGTAGATGCACCGCGGCCTCTACGAGAGTGACCGCCATGCATATTGGTGTTGCGACGGCCACGAATGATTGATTGCCAAAATGAAAAAAAGATTTGGCAAGAGCGCAATCATGCATGCGGAGAGGAAAGTTGGAGAAGGAAGTGGTTTGAAAAGAGTGGCATCTAATCTAATCTGAGGCACGGGAACTAACCGTGTGTGGCATCTTTGGTGCCCATTCGGCCCCCAGACCACCCATAGCACTCATTCTGGCTGGCATGAAGAAAGTACGAGTTATCTCATACCCATCATCATCATCATCATCATGTCCAAGAACCTCTCCCATCTCAATGTCACAAATCACCGAGATCAAAGCAAATGCGTCGTCATTGGTCGTTCGTATTTTCCAAACTATGACCCCTTGGTTGATCTGGTGTCTGAAGAAGCATTGGTCCCTTGAACCTAATGACCGATGTTAATTGTTGAGAGCTTCCTGCTCAACAAACAGGTTGAACACATCGTCAGGGTCCAGCTCCTCAATGTCGGAGTCCTCGACATTGTAAGTTTTGGATGCAACTGCCTAAGTAGCTTCATCCTGGAAGATCGAGTCACTTTCTTCGTCTTTGACCTGCTCCTCTTTGATCGATGGTTCGAGCTTTGGTGTAGCCTTCTTCTTCTTGGTGGGAGTCGGATCTTCGTTAGAACCATTGGTCGGGTCCTTACGCTTAGTTGCAGAGATAGTCTTTGGAGTCTTCGGGGTCTTCTGAGTTCTGGCCTGCTTGGGTGGAGGTGGAGTGGCGTTAGGATCGATTGGGATGATGCGACCATCTTCGAGTTTGTATCCATGTTTTTCCAGCAAACCTTTGAATTTGGCGTGGCTGATGGACGATCAAAAGTTAGCATTGTCTGATGTTCAGATCTGGCTGATCTGGCTTACGCGTTTCTGCCGTAGCTGATGCCGTTCTCCATGGCCACATTTCCCCAGTCTGGCTTGACCGATTCGCAGTTCTTGAGAACACTGAAGATGAATCCGAGGGTCAAGGCCTCCATATCTGCAACCTTTGGCGGCATTTTTGAAGGAGGGATCAAAGTATTCAGGCAAAGATACCAGCCTTGAATGGGTGGCGAAGGTGGTGTCGTCGGACACGGACGAAATGACGAGGGTCGAAAGTGGACAAAGATCGTGAACAGCAGCGGATCTGGAGAGATGAACTTTCCCAAGCTGCTAGGTATTTTAAATCCACCACAGCCACGCAGAGCATCGTATCCCGGGCTATTCTGCAGGTGACAAGTTGCAGATCGATGTCTGCTCTGGCTCTGCGTCTGGTGTGCGTCTGCGTGGTTTTTGTTGTTGGAGGATTCACATTGGCCTATTGCATATGATCGCAGACAAAGATGATCAGGAAGAAGTTTGTATCTGGCTGTTGGTTTTATGTAAGTCTTGGAAAGAAAGGAGCACTCTGTGCACCACCTAAGCCTTTCTGTCTGTCTGTCTGTCTCTGTGGTTATCTTTGTGTGTCTGAATCCATCATCTAGCAAAGACCTGTTTTTAGTTCGTGTCGGATCTGTGAGTAGAAAAGGGTGTATAGATCACGTTGGCTTGTGGAAAGATTCTGCTGACTGTCCAGCCCCTGAAGTGCTCCTTGACTTGGCCCATCGAAGTCTCATATCTCACTCAGACTCATCTGTCAAGTCCTCCTTCTCCAGCTTGACCAGGAGGGCTTTCTTCTTGCGGATGAATTTGTCTCTTGCCATGGCTCCTATGTCCTTATCCTCCATCCTCATCTCTTCTTCTTTGATGGAATCTTTGCTGGTGGTAGCTGCAGTCTCCTTGTTGTCTGATTGCTCTCCATTGTCGACGTCGACTTTTCCAGCTTTTGGCTTTCTGCCACGACGCTTTATTGCAGATGCTGAGCTATCCGCAGACAAGCCGACGGCTCCATGCTGGCGTGCACGACCAATGCCTCCACCTGCGAGACCGTATTTCTTCATAATGCCCCAGTGTCGGTGATAGCTATAGAGAATCCAGTAAGCATTGGCAACTGTGACATCACAAAGTAATGAAAGACATACGCTGCATTCGCGCTCTTCGCGCCGATCTCCTTGGCTACTAAGTTGAAATCTGGCTTTGCTTTGGTCTCCGAGTACTTGAGGCATGTCATGATGAACTCAAAGTCGTCGTTAGAACCTTTGGGAGCCATCGCTGATCGTAAGTGTCTTGATATTCAAAGGAATGGAAGAAGATATGGCGTGGTGGGAAGTAGTTGTGGTTTGGTTGTTGGAGGGTGGAGAGAGGTTGGAAAGGAAGTTGAGGTTGAATTGGACGGAAATCTGTTGATCTCAAGTTGGCTGATCACGAGGTGGACAAAAGGTATGACGAAAGAACCTTGAATTGGTCTGTTCAAATCTCAGATTTGTCACGAGGGCCGTAGGAAGACAGATTAAGATCCTGTCATGGAGGCCGATTTGCGTTTCTAAAGGATGCTACCTGGAATACCACCGCATCGATCGCGAGAATTCGTTGTCATATGTCAAGCGCTCTCTGATTGCCAGTGTCCAACTCGTAGCGTGCACATGTTGAAAGCTCTCGCCGTAGCTTCAACTCAGCTTGGATAGCTAAACTCCAAGTCTCGTTCTCGTAAACCACGATTATCGATCTCGGGATTGACCTTGCACCTCCAGTCGAGGCATTCATTCCTCCTTGGGAACAAAGTCACTCTGGTCCTTGGCCTCAACCTCGGAAGAGTGAGACAGATCTTCGGACGGCGACTCGTTCTTGACGGCCTCTGGCTCGGGCTTTGGCTCTGTCGTTGGCTCTGTCTTTGGAACGGCCTCTTTCCTAGCCTTCTTTGGAGCAGTGGCAGCGGCGTTGGTGGTAGTCTTGGCCTTCTTCTTTGGAGCTTTGGTGTCCTCTGAACCGCTGGTGGCAGCTTTCTCGTCATCACTGCCGTTTTCCTTGACAGCAGCAGTGGCAGGAGCCGCCTTTCGCTTCCTAGCAGGCTTAGGCTTAGCTGAAGGAGAAGCATCAGAGCCATCGACATCCTTGTTGGAAGCCCAAGCAGCACCCTGTTCCTCCAGCTGTTTCATCATGAGGCGATATTTGTTGCTGAGGAGAGTTAGTCAGAGGGATTCGTGAGAATTTCATGGCAATGAGTGAATGTTGAGGACTTACGCTGCTCCACCAGAGCTCATTCCCACTTCTTGGGCAAGGGCATCGAAGTTAACCACGACCTTTTCTTTGGCATGTTTGATGCACGCGGCTAGGAAGGCATCGGGGCTGACGGTTGTCTTGGGAGGCATTGTGAATGTGGAGAGGATCGCGGAATGTGAGTGTTCAGATCAAGGGAGCTGTAGGAACATGTCATTAGTTAAGATTGACCTGATGTGTGTTGCACGGTTATTGACCAGATGATCAAAAATGGGAAATGTACCTGGTGTTTGAAGGCTGTTGTGAAGTTTTTTCACAGACGGTTTGTGTTGTTGGATAATGATGGTCAGATTTGTGTGGGTGGTGACAACGGTCAGGTTTGTGTTGGTTTGTGTACGTGGAAATTCGATGGACAACGTAGGAAGAAAATTGAAAGTGGAAGAGTGGGAAAGGTGTAGGAAAAGCACATTTAAATAATAGAATGGCATGGCATGAATGCGACACGGTCAGCATGGAGATGGATGGAACATGTGCAGAGAGCTGGGTGTGGTCCATTAGGGGTTTCAGACCTGATTCATGTATTGTATTGGGGATGAATGGTGATTGGGGGAAACCGTGAATTAAATCCTGATCATGGGAATGTATTCATTGTGAGGCAGAAAAGTGAATATGGTGGAATATGTGAAGCAACTTGCTAGTTCGCATATCGGATCGATCAGATGAATCGGGCTTGCAGATAGAAAATGGGATAAAAATGGTAAGTGAGTCTGGAGTCGAGATGTCATGATCCCCAGGGTTGATCCACAGGCTCACATATGAATGATAAGGAAGACAATGGTATGGGAAAGGGGAAAGCAGAGTGAATGGATTGCGGACGGTAAGGTTCACTGAATTGTCTGAACAGAATTGCAACTGGGTTGGTGGCAAGTGTGGACAATAGGTACCTAGGTAGGTACCTACCTACCTCACCTCCTGAGATACCAGGTACCTTTGAAACCAAGCTGGGAAACGGATGTGAAGATCGATGCCTTGTAGCTTAACTTGTGTTTCGCCTTGTTGTAGACACTACCTCTCAGCCTCCACAACAATTGACAATACCTTCACCCATCTTCTCCAATACTCTACCATTATCCTCAAGTGATCCCCACTAAGCTCCTGTTGTGTTGTGCTGCTTCTTTGAGTGGATGTCAAGAGATTCTCATCTCAAGCTATTAGGGTCTGTGTCTGTAGACCTGCAAAAACGGTGAAATCAAAATGAGCGAGGGAAGGTGGGATCGTGGGAAAGGAGGAACGACGTTCAACATCACGTGATTTAGTTGCCAAGAGATATTTGACTGCCAAGAGGCTCTCATTTTTCTCGTGCTGGATCATGACATGGAGTTGCGTACGGGAGGCAGGGCTGAGAGCATTTAGTCCCGTCTCGTTGCTGCATTGGCCTTGACCATATCTGCCATGTCCAGTCTGCTTGGTAGAGTTTGGTGCTCATTGTTGCGAGTGCAAGGAAGGGCGCACACAGAAAGTGGGTGATTTGACAATTCATCGTTTTCGGTGCAATAATGGGGTGGCTGGAAATCTAGCCATCTCAACTTCTCAAGGGGTTTCCCATGATACAAGCGACCGGCGGCATGGCCATGGTCATAGTCGCAAAACCTGGATTGACATGTGATATCGCGCCTTGGTAATGTTTAGTCTAGGAAGGATATGAAGGTTTTCCCGATGCGAAACACGACCCCTGCCTTCGTTGAATTGTATTCCGGCGATACAAGGAAAATATACCATTTCTTCGGATACATTGGTGTTGTATAGGGGCCAAATCTCTCTTGTTTACCGATCTTCGGTGTGGTGACGGCATTTTGAGGGCTTTTTTACCTCCGGGATAATTCAGCGATTCCGTTAACGTGCACTGAATCCGTGCTTGCATCAGGCCAGCCGCCCAATTTAAACCAACAAGTCCCTACAGAACAAGGAAGACCATGGCGGGGGTTCGGGATGGCTATACTTTGCCTTTTGATTTCACTAAGCTAGTGTAGGTATATGGTTGAGCCATGATTTTTAAGTTCGATCGCGCTGGCCATATTCAGCACTGGGCGCATGCGCAGGGTCTGAACTTGCATGTTGGGGGTTCAAAGCAAGGGCTTTTGGGTGGTACAAGATCCGTCAGAGTGGTTCATTGTCCCACCACAGCCAAGTTGGAACTTGATGAGTGTGGCCTGATACCACCAACCTCAAAAGTGGCATTGCCACCGACGACGACATACATGGGTAGCCCATCTCGGATCAATCAGAGCCCGCAGAAGGCCATTGCGAGAATTGGGTGCGTGCAAGGTCAAGGATTCTTGGTGGGTGTGAAGGGAGGGACGGGAAGGTGAAGAAGACGGGACGTAGTGCCCCGGGACGTTGACATGTCTTGGGACAGGTGGTTCTCGCCAACGCTCGCTAAAGCGCGTGTGCAGAGTAGCCCGAGGCCCACGTGGCTTTTCGGGATGGCCGACCTAAGAGCCCCACCTCAGCGACCAGTTCAGAGGGCATGAACACGATGGCCACGTGGAGAGGAGATCAAACTGCGCCCATAGCTTCCACGCCGGCTCTGGCACTACTGAATAACTAAAAGACACCACTGGTGAGGTAGCATTGTAGTACAAGGCACGAAGATAACAGTCTTAGTTTTGGCCATGGTATGCATGGATGTTTTGCCAAAAGCAATGGCAGCGGGGCGGAGCCAGAGAGGGACGGGGGATGCCTCAGACTTTGACTGACGGTGGTGATCTTGTGTCTGTGTGACTGCCAAAGTTGTCCATGGTGGCACCTGTCGCACAAGTTCTAGACTCGGCTAAGCCCAGAACAGGAAGGTGGGGTCCGCTGTCTGCATGACAGGGCCGTGCGATTGGCCGTGCGATTGGATGGCGGCAGCGCCCCCTGATCTTCCCGACCGCAGGGGGTCCCCTTCCGGAGTATCCCATTTTCCTTTGCCTTGTTTTGCTATTGTCTGCAGCTCAGAAACAAGTGGCTTCAACCCAAACCTGTCAAATTTGGTCTTGTTGCTAGTTATTCAAGCCTACGGAGTAGACACGCATAACTCCGCACAGTATGCAGAGTGCGTCTACTCGGTACACAGTGCCCACTTTGTCCCAGGGTGCTGGTTCCTCCTTCACCACGTGGCAAGTGTCGGTCCGTATGTCGCAATTTCCCCCGGGGCAGATCATGACGACGGTTGCCGCGAACCTGACTCGTTACGCCCTGAATCCTGCAGTTGGCACACACTGCTTCCCAGTTCCAGCTCTGGACACCTTCTTCCCACCATTTTGCGCTGCCTTCCTCCTCCCATTTTGTAGCCTGTCTCCTTCCTGCGCTTTTTGCACATTTTCTTCTCCCTAGCGAGAATCAGAGCCTCATTTCAACACTAAAATTAGACACCAATAATACAAGTAGACCAAAAAGAATAATCAAGAGAATGTCAAGTCTTGAGTCTGTTTGTTCAAAAAGTATCTGCGACGAGGATTACTATGTATCATACAGAATAATATGTCCATGTGCAAAGTTCATGTCTGCCTACAGATCTCGATTTCGTTTAGAACCCCCTTCGACCCGTCCTGCCACATAAAAGGGCAACTGCAACTCGTCTGCGTATCTGACAAAATGTGGTGCTCGCTAACCAACGCCAATTCAATGAGGCTTGCTGCCTATATCATAGCAACTGAGCGTAAAGTCGTGACTTTTTAAACTCCTGCCCGGTCTAATTTTCAGAGTCATAGTTGATGTCCTGAGCTTGTACGGCACAAGCTCGCAGATAATAATGGTGGAAATGACCATCACTTGGAGACAACCGTGGCTGAACGCAACCGACATGTCTATCCCTAGCTGGGCTGGCCTGTCCGCCTTTCGCATGGCACTCCAAGAGAGACGTCATCGTTGCAGGGATGTCTCATCGCAACAACAACTGATCGAGTGCCAACGTATAGGGGAGAACTGTGGTTCTCCTTGCAATCTCCAAACGTTCGATAGTGAAAAAAATAAAGCGTTGCTTGACTCGCTCACTCAGGACTGGTGCCCGCATCTGAGGACGATGAAGCCCCATGACATCCTTTCTCATGTCTTTTCATGTTGCTCCGCACGCTGAAATATTTGCCACAGCCTTGGTGGTTGCATTTAAAGGGTTTCTCTCCTGTGTGTGAATGAGTGTGGATCTTTAGCGAACTTGGTCGCGAAAAGAGTTTGTTGCACGTTGGACAAGCGTATCTTTCCTGGGATTGTGGATATGAGGGTGGATTAGCTGGTGGATAATAGTGGTGATGTTGCCATGTTGGCGCGACTTGCATGTCCATAGGTGGGAGAGCAGGTGCAAAGTGAGTGGGCAATGGTCGCTGATTCGCGACCCCTCGGTACGGAGCGTTGCCCTCAGAAGCATCAGAGCGCGGCCGCCTCGGTGGAGGTTCCATTGTTGTTTGGTCTCTCGACGTCCAGGCAGGTGCACTGGTTGAAAGGATTGGTGGAGGCCCCGCTGTGGTTTCCGGGGGTTGGGCGTGTGTGCTTCCCCGATGCACATAAAATTCAGGATTAGTACTTGTCATCGCCGTTGGATAATGGGGAGGTAGGCCAATTCCTCCACTGGGAGATCTTTGTGTTGGTGACAATCGGGGAAAATCGAAACTTGACGCCGGTGGAAGCTCTGGGGTTGGTGGAGGCAGATTTCGAGGACTTTCTGTTACCGCGCTCAAATCGGACGTTGCTGTGATGCCCTGAGAACTTCCAGATACCCTTCGCGAATTGTTGAATAAAGCCGCCGAATCTATTGTTGGCCACGTCAGACTCCAAGGGAGATGATTAATTAGTGGGTAACTGACTCTTACCTGGGCGTTCCGAGACGGCCTAGAGAGACCTGTATTTGGTCTCGCTAATGTGTCGGGCGAAAGGAGAGGATTGTTGGAGGATGAGAAACTGTGGTGATCACGACTGAAGGTGTCATAAGTCATGATTAACGAAAGGGCCATTGAATAATTCACGCGTCCGATTGTCAACCAGATTTGTTACACAGAGCCCGCAGTGATCATGCACTGTTCGAGGGACAAAAGTCAATCTGCTTGAACAGTGGTCATCCGCCGTGGGGACCAGATGTTCGGAACGACTGATTGAAGAGGAGATTGCCGAAGTTAAAGAGGAACTCTATCGTGGGAGAGAACTGATGTGACCACGGTAGATGAAGTTGTTGTGAGCACACCACAAACAGTGAGCCTGGTGAGTGTATGAAGAAGAGAGTGAGGCGGGGGTAGGATGTTGTGGTTAAAGGACTGGCCAGAAGAGGAAAAGAGATAAAGAAAGTGCCCGCCTAAGGCCTGAATGGGAGCCGGTGGGATGTTCCACAGCTCTGGCGTCGCAGTAGGCAGGACGACACACGAGCTTTCAAGATCCGATTGTGGGTGTAAGCGTTGATGTACTGGAGACTGGTGGAGCCTTGAGACCGCTGGCATAAAGCAGGCCCTCTCCGAACCGAGGAAGCTTCTGTGGCGAAGATCGTCGAGAGAGTAGTCGGTGGTTCGACCAGGCAGCTAGAGTTGTCCAGGTGTATGAAGACCAGCAGGGAAAGTGGAAGAGTGGAAGTGTGGAAGTGGGCTAGGTGGCTGTCCAATGTGCATGGGACGATGTGCAGGCTTGGTGAAGATCAAAAGTGGGTGGGAGATGAGTGATAAAGGTACCGTCTATTCGTCTGGTATTCTTGACGATAGTTCAGTAGACTAGTTTTCGGAATTCCACAAACAACGGACCGACAATAGAGCAGGAAAGGATCAAAGCTCTCGACTCCATCTACCACGATGGGTGCCGAGACGACAGGAGTGTTTGTGGATGTGGCTTCAGACACGAGGACGACGGGAGGTGGACGCCAGCCGTTGGCGTCAGGGTGCGTTAGGTGTGCGGTGACAGCGTAGGAGCGAGAAAGGACCAAGAACATCCACCCTCCACCCTCCAGAGGAGGGGACTAGGGCTCGGGACAGACTCTTTTTGGGAGGAAACACTGTGCTCCGTAGATGCAGTTACCACTTCGGGCGCCAGAGGTTTGCACGGAATGGCTTGTGCTCTGGTTGAGTTGAGTTGACGAGAGCACTGAGAGGCGAGGGTAAGCAAGGATAGCCGCGCCTACACCGATGGTACATGGGCCTGAGGGCAGAGTGGAGCACGTGGAGGCATCCTGCTGGATGAGCTGCCGTGCGTGCGTGTCCAGGGATGCTCGACAGAGGTTGTAAGCGAGGGACGTGCAGGGTTCTTCCACTACAGGAATACGCTACCGGCCTACCCACTACTCACTTCGCACTACCAACGCATATGTAGGTAGGTACCTACGCCTTGGTAGCTGCCTGCTAAGGGACCAGGGCCCCAGGGCCCCAGGGACGTGAGGTGACACGCCCCGGTAAAGGCCGTGGTTGGCTGATCATCGGAATTTCCGCATCGCGTCGCCCCTCCGCTGCTTGCATTTTGGCTCAATGGCGCCCTGAATATGGGATATCAGTCGCCCACCTGCCTTGGCCATTGAGCTCCATGCCTATGCGTAGCGTCTACGTAGGCCTGCACAGCTTAGACCTTAGACCTGGGTCCGCTGAAGTCAGATGGATCTCAGTCCCTCTGCCATGCCTGCACTGTCCAACTTTGATTGTGCACGTTGTCGGTTTCAGAATGGTCCGGCAATCTTGCATAGCTATAGTCTGGTGGCGGCAAATTCTCAGGGTCTGACGCACAGAAAATGATATCAAGATGCAGGACCACTTGGATGCGTGGATACCCATGTATTAACAAAATCGCTTGACCGCGACAAGAACAAAATGTTTCATAGAGTCCAGTAAATTATGCCCCTAAGGATCTGGTTAGGGATGGGGTAATTATATTGACGATGTTGACGGGAGCATCCATGCGAGCTCCGATGGGCTGGACCTACAAACGAATGCAGCATGCCTCGGGGGATGGCGGAGACGACGAAATTAGTGGCAAATAACTGACGTGAGCAATAAACATTACGCAGAAACTTGACTGTATCACGGAGGTGCCCAAAGGTGACGGTCATCGTGGTTAAGCGTGCCCAAGACCAATATGTAACGGGTATTAGAATCGAGATGAAGTTCCTAAGCCCCGTACGCCAGAGTTTGAGCCATGCGCCTGCCGAAGCGATCACCGATTAAGCGGCAATCGTGGGGACCAAGAGACCAGGGACCCTGGGAGTAACAGGGGCCGGGGGGCACAGGCGTCCATCTCTCGCAGCTGTCAGACCAAGGCTGAACTACGCATGAATTAAGCCGCTGTGGTCGCTCTAAAGATGGGTTTCTAGGCTAGGGTTTCACTGATTTGGACCTGGAAGGGAGCGTAAAAAATCGACTATTGTGATATTTACAGGTGGTTTAGCCTACCGAGTACTGTAGAGTACCTGTGCGTTCGCACTCATGCATAACGGCCGAAGCACTCCCTGGCTAAGTTAAAGTCTCGGGCTCTTTCTGGAGTACAAGGTAAAATGTTGTCTGCTACTCCGACTGACTCGATCCTCCCAACTACTTTACCACTACACACATCCTGGGTTTCCCACCACGGATAATACCCCCTGTCCTTGCCACGAATCTTGAATTTTTAGAGTAGTATTGTACGCTTGCCAGTAAAGACAATGATCGCGCAGGCATTTTGCTCTCTCACAATTGTCTCAAAACCCGAATCTCCATTTCGAAGGCTTTTCTTTCCCCCGGGATATTCCGCTTTACAAAAGCAAGCAAGAAAAACCGCTGTGGTGCCACGCCAGAGCGTCTATTTATAATAATTTGCACACCTACGGAGTAAGTACATATGTATGCACCTACATAGCGGTACCTAGTAGTTTTGTAGCAGCCCGGAGATACATGCACAAACGCAAAAGTAGCACCTCTGGGGATGGATACGGGCATTGCTATGGGCATGCTTAGGTAGGTAGGTACTTGAGCCCAAGGTGACGACTATCAAGTCTCGCTTAACTGATTTTGCGTCTGGGCATGGAAGCAGGTCCAATCAGGTGGCCCCGAATTTGGCTTGCAGCCCCGGAAGTAATCCTCAAACCCACTAGTGCTCTCGCTTACAACATTCAGAGGGTACTGAGCGCTTGACTAGCCAACAACTGCTCACAGCACCACGGTAAAGATGCACAAAATGTACGTACAATCTGGCTCCAGGACTTTTGTTGAGCGGACTGCATGCCCGTGTGTTATTCTTGAAGCGGGCTAAACGATGCGAGATGAATAATGTCAAGGGCCAGATCCGTGTTGAAATGTTGCGATCCTACACCGTTGTGGCACCGTGGGCAAGTACCTCTGCTGATTGATTGTCACACCTTGAGCCCTTGATGGCCGGCTGAAGCCCTGAAGGTTAGAGCCGTTGAAAGTGGAGGCCAGCCACGCGTGTCGATCCTGTTGCACATGGCGAGATGCGAGGTCTGATCGACGCCGGCGTCATCCTCGTTATTTCCCACTGGACGCTAGAGCCCGAGGCGCCCACCTGGATTACTGGGATTCTGGACTGCCACTGCTTTTTACTAAGCGTCTGCGTAGGGCGTCCGGCGCAAACCTCACGCCTAAAGCATATGGTAATTGTTGGCTAAAATTGATTCAGCTCGGTCCAGCCTGCCAAGCTGGAACCGAAAAGCTAGCTCATACTACACGTAAGAGAACTCGCAATTAAAGCTCCGACACCAGAGGGACAAGCTGACCGTTCTCATCCGTATTTTTTTCCACCTTGGGAATTTATCAAGACCATGCCAAATGAAATGGGCCGACTGGCCTCGGCCCGGCTAAACACGACTTTTGATTCACGAGCCACTGTTTGAGAATCGGATTTTAGCCATGCACAAGTGCACAGTAGCACCCACGTGGTTGATCCTTGCCTAGAACCGCTCGTTAAAAAATGATGTACTTATGCGTGGACGTCTACTTGTCACTTTCATGGTCAATGCTTGCGACGTCGCCCAATCCGTTCAATCCATCAGCTCCTGGTGCGGTGCCCGCCGATTCTCAAGACTTCTTGTCACTGGACCAGGCCGCTGTCCCACTAAGTTAGACCATGCCAAACACCTCAGCTACTATAATGCAAGGTCGACAAATGGAGCTATCGTATGCACAAAGAAAATGTAATTATGCGGATGCCCTCCCGTGGAGTTGTGCCGGACGGTAGTCGACAGGGCTCCTGCAGTAGCATCTCCCGTGGTGCCCCACGGCTGATTGAAGCTTTGGACTACGACCAGCTTGTCTACTCGTCCCTCCCTACAGGCTGCAGCTGGTCTACCTACTCCGTACTCTTATGGCCTCGGTCCCTAGCCCGACGGCTGAACTATGTCTGTGCTCGGACGTTGTTGGTGGGGTTTCTAGACAGGGGTAAGAACCACACATTCGGTACAGAAGCACAGAAGGTAGGAAGCCCGCCTAGAATGTTCGTGCGTCAGCCAAAGACCACAACCTGCTGCGTGCATTGCATGTCGACTGAAAAGCACATCCGTTTTCGCCCGCGGTGCATGCCAACTCCCGGGAACACATCCTAGGGTGAAGCGGAAGTCGAGCATGTTGGGCGTCACATCTTCGTGAGATGCTTTTTTCTGCTTTTTTCAGGCTCTGACTCCAAATCAAGGACTGCCACCCGCTGTTTGCTGACTGTTTCGGCAAATAACTACGAATAGTCAGACTGCCTGGCCGGGGAGGAGGAGATTAAGGGCGATATCTCTTCGCTTGGAGTTGACCATCCCTCATGGTGATCTAACTAAACTTCGAGCGGGGCCAGAGACACCGCTTTGTGATGTACGAGGATGTTCAGAATGATCCTTGAGATGATGACTTGTCTCTGACTTCTCCGTGTTACAGACACATCACAGCCATGTGGAATGACCCCAGATAGACTGCAGCAACTAAGGCTGGGACGCACACGAACACGACTTTGGCTGTTTGGGAACCGTCTCCACATACCACATGGAAGAATACGGGTTGACCTGAAATCACCACCAACCAAGTTCCAAGATGCTTCATCCCGATTCCCAATGGCGTCCCGCACATGGGAAAAGCCATCAGAATCACCAAAATCACCCCACTCTCGTGCAGATCCTCGTCGATCCCCATCCACAGTCATAAGCGTTTTGGTGGGCTCCAGCATCAGAGCCGCACAGTCACCCAATGGATTATTTGAAACTCTACTCCGTAGAAACAGTTGAGACGAGCTACAAGCACTCCATGTCATTCAACCTTTGCCCACTCTGGGTCTGCTCCTCTAAACCCCCCCAAGAGACGAGAATCTCGCAACTTAGTCAGTACTACGTCAGTGCTGACTTCAGACGTCTTTGAGGACACGAGTTCATTGAAGATTCAAATCTCGCATCAATGAGTCTAGGCCGTTGAGGTACGTGTAAAAACCAAGTGATTTAAATCACCACACTTCAAAATGCCTGGTGGGCTTCTCGGCGTGGTGGTATGGAGGGCAATAGGGGAGGACTCGGCCTTTACCCAGAGATGTTGTACGTACATTCTGCAGGGGCTCGGGGGGCCTTGGACAGGTTGGTCAGAGCAAAGCCAGGGCTAGATGCCATGATGCATGCAGCACCTTACGCATACAGCCTGCTGTACACGTATTAGTAGTTAAAATAGTGCACCCCTGCCTACTCTGATGAATAAAGTATGCGTACAACAAAGCAAGGTCAATGGTGTCCACCTAGCGTGTGAGATTTTTTGGTCCTGCCGTCCATCCGGGCAAAAGAAATACGAGCACACGTGTAGGAGGGGCCTGGGCCCTGGGCCAGGGATTCGTCTCGTAACCTACCAGGGTTAACCAATTGTTGTCATTTATGTACGAATATGTACTCCGTAATTCTCAAGTACAGTAGGTTTGTTTTGAGCCATGTACTCCGTAGCTAGTGGGAGCAGGAAGTATACTTAGAACCAAGCGCGTTGCGTTGCCTCGAGTTCCCCTACGGTTGCATGTGACCGACGCCAGCGGAATAACAATTCCTCAATACTCCGTAGTTTCGACGGCTCTATCCAATGTTGATCTAGTTAGCTCCATCTGTCAAGTTTACCGCTCTGGGACAAGCATCGAATCCTTCGAGGTCCAGAGCAGACAAGTTCATGCACAAGCTGGTGCGCCAGGTCTTGTTACTGCTTGCCAGCCAAGGTACAACAGTGCCGGGCTCTGTCGTCGACTTCATCTGCCGGCCAGTGCACACGTCAAGTGCGAAAGAGGCCCGATATTCCCGTTGACTTATTTTAGAGGAGTCCATTAACCGAAGAATGATGCTCACAAATATGAGGCTGAGTGACAGAAGGCTCCATCAACCGCCCTTTAGAGCATGACACCTCGTTGCGAGCTCATACCTTTCCACGCATGGCCTAATTCTCTGCAGACGAGAATACTTAGTTCTACAACAATCTGCTGTCCGAGTCTCGCCGAGAAGTGATGAAGCATCGTTTATGAAGCATAGTAAGGAGTAGTAGGAAATACCTAGACTCTTCATGCATATTCTCCACTCTGGAAATTCGTTTTTTGTAGGCTTACGACGTGCGTTGCACAGGCAAGGAAGGCACAGATCAGGGATCCGGGGGGGATACGAGCGAGCTATTGCTTCACTTACAGAATTTGCTGCAAGTTTTCGCGACTCAAGCAGAAGAGAGCATCAATCTAGCCAAAACCAGAGCTAGCGACGTCAACAACATTGCTTCCGGCAGTGAGGTCAACTCCTTGAGGGAACAATGTGCCGATCGGTCAAAACTCTCGAGGCAGAGACGTAAGAAGATGATGAATATCATTATCATCCCCAGCCATAGGACTTTTCGATGCCTGGCGATCATGTCGCAGCCTTGTCCAAGCCTCTCAAAGCTAATCGCAATCCTTCCCTGTTGATCGGCGATTGACTTTTAGTACCTACCCAAACAAGGAGTTATAGCGTCTATCCAGAGCCCCTAAGAAGCTTTTAAGTTTGCTGCATCTGCCCGACGACACATCTGTCTTGGGAAGCAAAGCACTTACCGCCAAAATAAATGACAATCTCTAGTCGCCTACATGAGCTAACTTCGTTCCCTAACGCTTTCGAATGTCTCAGAATTGGCCTCGGCTACATCAACAGCTTTTGACACCTATCTCTGAAATCGTCACTGAATGCAACCAAGCAGTAGAAAAGACAGCATGAATGCCAAATGTTCGGAAGCAGAGGAAGTAGGTAAGTGGTCTGAGGTTACAGTAGTATACACAGACGAGTCAGTCCACCAGTCCCTTTGGGGAACTACCATATCTTGGAAGGGGCTAGGCGACCTAATGCGGGTTCGCCCTTGAGCTCGCGTACCTCGATTGGTAAGTGATTGTGGGCTTGATTTGGATGTTCAGTGTTGGCAATCCCCACAAAGTTCCCAAAAGGGCGATTCAAGGATATGTCGCTTCAAGGATATGTCGCTTCAGGGATATGTCGCTTCAGGGATATGTCGCTTCAGGGATATGTCGCTTCAGGGATATGTCGCTTCAGGGATATGTCGCTTCAAGGATTTGTCGCTTCAAGAATATGTCGCTTCAAGAATATGTCGCTTCAAGGCGGGCAACAGCTTTTCCGGGGATCCGCCCATGCCGAGCTGAAAACACAGACCGACAGAATATGCTACTATATGCTATCAGGACGCGTCCGTCGTGAAACTACTTTAGTACTGCTACTCCTTCTACAGACTACAGTCTGTAGGATTTCGCTACCAGATCGAAATGAGAACAATGAGTCAAAATTGAATCAACTACTGTATGACTTCTCACCTCGCTTCCATGTACGCAGGCAGCTGGCGGAGTCGTTCACGCAGCACTTCCTCACACCGTCGATCTTGGCTCTCTCCTCGTCTAAACATCCAGGCATCCCAGTATGTATGTCAAGGTAGTACTGATGGTGGATGATCCACATATGTCAGTTAACGGTTTTCGACTTGACGAGGTGGGTGATTCGATCGCTTGCTGTCATCTTCCAACTGCCGATTCAGCGAGTCCTGAACGTCTTGTCTCAGGACAATTGAGGAGTCCAATTGTCAAGAATATATTACTAATTCGAAGAAAATCCGGATAACATTGATTTGCCGAAATACGAAACACGAAGATTCATACGCTTGAGGCAGAGCCGAGTGTTCACTACAGTGCACAGGCGAACGAACACATATCAATCTTGGATCTACAGTGGCGTCCATCCCCGGACAGGAGAACTTCATTATCCGACAGGGACTGGGGAACTCCTCCCCAGCTCACGTGGAAGTTTAGGCCCTCAGGGTCTCCGTGGCTGTCTTTAACCACGCCGCTTTTACACTCGTTTATGTATCACATCATCGTGGGCATCTTATGTCACCTTACCGTTCTTCATCCCTCCTGTTGTCTCAAAACGAACACTTTCTAGCATTTACGTGGGTAAAGGTTTGAACTCCCCGAGACCCCTGTGGATCTCTTGCTGGTTCACATCCTGTCTCCTCCGCCATTGTGTTCTTTCACGTCACTTTACGTAGATGTAATTGCTGTGGAGGACAGAAATCATTATATGGGAGTACATCTGAGCTGAAAGGTGGACGTTCACGGCCTTCGCCGCCTCCCGTAGTAGTCTAAATATAAGGATAGTCTTTCATTACGAGAATGTATATCAACCAAGGCCAAGACTGTGTCACTCTCCCCAACTTAACATAAATTCGTATGTGGTCAAAGCTCCTATAACCAACTCATTATCATTGTCTATGAATGTCTATGGGGATGGAACTCCCAGTCTAAACCATATCTTTGGGGTGTGACTGGCGACCTTTGTTACCTTCGCGGCGTCCAAGTATCGATTCGAAGAATGATGGAAGTTTTCGCTCCTCTTCATTTTCGCGTGACTCTCCGCTCCTTGGTGTATCAGTCTCTTCTTCTTCGACATGCCTCTGTCGTCTGTTGGACTTGCTCAATGAAGCCACCCGGATTAGAGAAGTAGTACTGCTGTCCTGAGCACGTCTAGTGCTTTCTACTTCATGTCCGGTCAGGGTGCCCGTTCCAGCACCTCTTGATCGGAATATCGGGCTCTTCCAATGATTCATGACGTGTTCACAAAGTCCCATGAAGATAGCACCACCGATGATGTTCCCGAGTGCTGCAGCAGACTGGTTGTACCATTGCCGTCCAATGGTAGAAGGACCAGCACCGTACATCAGGCCCAACGACGTGAAAAACACTGTTATTGGCACATGGTCAGAATCACCTTGCCTTGAGGGGGGGCCATGAAATTGTTTAGACATACTATTGGCGACGCAATGCTCGAATCCGCAGATGACGAACATGACCACTGGAAACCAAAGCGCTATAATCTTCCCGGCCGCACCTCGAGCCGCAATACCGAGTGTCATGGCCATACAGACCATGATGTTCGCACCGATACCCCGAATGAGAACTTGTCCCCACGCTGTTCCTTGTTAGCACATCCGCGGGTTCCGACACTTCTGCTGCATGTAGACCTACTCAGATGCTCGAGTTTAGCAAGGACGACATAGTCCAGGTATGAGCGATACTGTGGAGTCCCGAACATGTTGCCCAGATAGCCAAAGAAGTAGGCCATGAACAACGTGCCGCCCCAATTTCCAATGTAGACGAGGAGCCAATTGAGGAGCAAGGCTCTGAATGGAACCACACGATTGTACCATCCTGAGAAACATGGTCAGAGCTGGAAACGACATAATTCTGCCCATCGAATGTCACATACCAATGGCCATGGTCATAGTGTTGCCGGTGAAGAGGTCTCCGCCAAACATGGCAATCATGTGCAGTGCTATAGGTAGACCATTATTAGTCATCACTGACTGTCCTCCTCTTCTGATCATGAATAGGTATCAACACACCAAAAGCGAACCATGCACCCATGAGAAATCTGGATAAGAAAACCCAGTCCTCTCTCACGGACGCTGGGATGCCGCCCGCAGCAGAGGCTGCGGCCAATCCACCCATGCCAACCCAGACGCCAGCCAGCAGGGCTAAAAAGAGGACTTTATCTGGAGGGTTCTCGACCTTGCGGATCGAGTTGAATAGGATGGCATCTTCGAGAAGGAGACCCGACAGCATTTCTGATGGGGCCGCATGGTGAGAGGTGCCCAGAGAGCGAGCCTCAGGGTACTGGAGGAGATGGGTGTTATGGTGAGTCGATTGTCTTGAGGTGTGGGTGAGGGGATCGACGTCGTTTCCTTTCTGTGTAACATGTCCCTCCTCTTTGACGCCATTGCTTCGAAACATGTGTTCTGAGGAGGCCTGAGTCGACGACATTGTCGTGGCGGTTTGGCCAGCAAACTTTAGGGATTGGGCATTTGTTGTGGAAAGATAGAGGGTAAAGTATAAGAACTCATCTCTGGTGATCTTGCTCGCTGAAAAGCCCTCAAGACGTTATCAGTAGCCTAAAATAGGTGCAGGGTTCAAAGATTGTAGCCGCTTTAATAGGATGCAGTGATGAATACGAGTAGTTAACAACCGTGCTAAAAGCTGCATAGGCCCGGATGCCGTCTAGACTACATCCGTGGGCAATGGGGAGCTTGATCGACGATAGCGACAAGCTTTTGTTGGGAGGAAAGGCTGGGCGTCGCTCCAACAGCCACCGTTAAACCAACTATTCCTCCTAGTCTCACACCATCCGTGCGCCGTTAGGTCTTGGCTGCCGTCGAAGGAATCGACAAGAATGGCCCAACAGCATCTTCTGATGCACGTGGCGGAGATCCCGATATAGGAGCGGTAAAAATTTCTTGGAAGCCTTATCAACCCAGTGTAGGAATCTGGTGTATCATCAAGGTGACTCTGAGTCTTCAGTGCTCTCTGTCAGGATCGTCTCAGAGCGGAGCAGCGAACCTAAAGGCATTGCGTTCATCGCAATCTTGATCCAAAATGACTATCTCCATCTTCAGTGCCAAACAATATGACCGGACGTTCTTTGACCAAGCCAAAGATCGCTCGGGCATCAAGCTGACGGTCCGATACCATGGAGAGTCTCTCTCCCGCGAGACTGTGGCCCATGCTAAAGACGCAACGGCTGTCTGTGTCTTTGTCAACGATGTTGTGAACGCCGACGTCCTGAAGGAGCTCCACATATACGGCGTGAGAGCTATCCTCCTTCGATGCGCTGGATATAACAACGTGGATCTGGTAGCCGCCGAGCAGTTTGGATTCTTCGTGGCCAACGTGCCCTCGTATTCTCCGGAATCGGTTGCCGAATACGCTGTCGCTCTCGTCCAGTCACTCAACCGCAAGACATACCTGGCCCACGACCGTGTGAGATTGGGAAACTTCACCTTGGATGGGCTTCTGGGTTTCGCGCTCAACGGCAAGACTGTTGGAATCATCGGTACCGGGAAAATTGGCGTCTGTTTCGCCCGCATCATGCATGGCTTTGGCTGCCGCCTTGTGGCGTATGACCCTTTTCAAAACGAGGAGTTTGCCAAGTACGGCGACTTTGTCGAGCTGGGGGCTTTGCTGGAACAGAGTGACATTGTCAGTTTGCACTGTCCTCTCCTCGAAAGCACGAGGCACGTCATAAATAAGGATACTCTGAAACAGATGAAATCGGGAGCCATGTTGGTGAACGTGTCTCGTGGCGGCTTGGTCGATACCGATGCGGTGATTGAATCGCTCAAGGAGAGGCACCTCAGTGGGCTAGCTTTGGACGTCTACGAACGAGAAGGATCTGTTTTTTACACGGATCATTCAACAGACATTATCGACGACGATGCTCTAATGCGCCTTGTGTCGTTTCCAAACGTCATCATCACTGGCCACCAAGCCTTCTTCACCGGCGAAGCCTTAACCGAGATCGCCTCCGTGACCTTGGACAACATGATCTGCTTTTCCCAAGGAGTGCCATGCAAAAATAATATCTTACAAGGGAGTCTACTAGCCCGACAGTCTTCCAAACCTCTGCGGATATGAAAAGAGGTGACAAGCTTCACAACCACAATTTACCATAACTGCTCAATTACGACCCACGCTCGACGCTCGACACGATACGATACGATAGGTTGCCACAATCACGCCCTGAATAATCTTCAACACATTCAATGGTGGGCCCATTATTCCTACATGAGCCACCACTGAGTGTGCTTTTGAGAGCCAATCAATGGATTCATTCGAGGCGACCGGTACCTCCATATACTGCATTCTCAGCGGTGACGTAACCTGGCCTCTGGTGGAAGCTCATCTTACAGTTCTTGAATCTCTCTGCTCAGCTCCCGGGCGCCCGCTCGTCAGTGACGGATAGTTCTCCTTTGTGCCAAACTCTCTCCTCAACGTATCCCTATCATTTTTGTGCTTTATATAGTGTTTCCAGTCCTCGTCGATCGTGGTTGCTATGTCGCAACCGATCTACTTGATTGTCCCAACTTTTGACTGCTAGGAATGGAGTCATGAAGAGCTGCGGACCAGAGTCTTCTCATATGTCAGATTTCAACTTAAATAGATTCATCGATCTCCAATCAACGAGTAGTATTGGCTTGTGACGTTTGGACGATGATAGTAATATCCCAGAAGTCTAAAGCTGTCCGTGTAGTAAGTCTGAGACTTGACCTTCGAAATCCAATCAAGGATAAAGAAGAGCAGATGTAGGACCGGTGTTAATTCACCTATTAAACTCAGCACATGGGAAAGGCGACGCAGATCACGTGGATGGTGACTTAGTAAGGGCAGGGCGGCGGCGCCAAGTTACTCATCAGGCGGAGCGTCCAGGCAGACTCCCCGACACTTGGCGTCCCCAATACTTGGCCAACACCTGGTTGCTCCCCGCAACGGCTGTTGTTAACTATGCCGTTTTAAGGTGATCGATTCTCACGGGCCTCGTCACTTTATTCTCGATGTATGCAGCCTTATACTACTGTACAACATTCTGTCGCGGCGTCCACTGCAAGTTTGACTTTGTATGATATTGTGACCTTGTTATCACTCAGTGTAAGACCTTTGGGGGATGCAATACCTTTGACCCTTTTGCGCAAGCTTCCCTGCTGTTCTCGCCACAACAGGATCGCAACTGCCGTTTTCCCACCATGGCACTCGTACCTGCTGACCTGGAGAAGTACGAGGTCAAAGAAATCATCGGTAAGTAACCCGCAGACAATGTGCCTTTATTCCGTATTCTCCATTGCCTCATCTAACCAGTTCTCAGGTCGAGGGTCATTCGGAATCATCCGAAAGGTACGCAGGAAGCAGGATGGACTCGTAAGTTGACAAACACCCGCTTCAAAAGTCTCCTACTAACGATTAACCTAATCATGTGCAGATCCTGTGCCGAAAAGAAATCAACTACTTGAAGATGTCAACAAAAGAACGGGATCAGCTCCACGCCGAGTTCTCCATCTTGTCCTCACTCAAACATTCAAACATCGTTGGCTATTATCACCGAGAGCATTTGAAAGACACCCAGGAACTGTACTTGTATATGGAATATTGTGGTGGAGGCGATCTCGGTACGGTCATCAAGGACCTTAAAAAGAACAACGAATATGCCAAAGAAGAGTTCGTCTGGAGGATCTTCAGCCAAATTGTCACGGCGTTATACCGCTGCCATTACGGAGTCGACCCGCCGGAACCAGGCAGCGAACTGTCTCGACAAAAAGATGGAAGACCTGTTTCTAGAGGAAAGATGATTCTGCACCGTGACTTGAAGCCAGAGAATATCTTTCTGGGAGAGGATCAATGCGTCAAGCTCGGCGACTTTGGCCTATCAAAGCTCATGCAATCCCATGATTTTGCCTCGACTTATGTCGGCACCCCCTTCTACATGTCTCCAGAGATATGTGCCGCCGAAAAATATACCCTTCATTCCGATATTTGGTCCCTTGGCTGTATCATGTACGAGCTATGCACCAAAACGCCCCCATTCAACGCCACTTCGCATATTCAGCTCGTCCAGTGCATCCGAAAAGGCGAGTTCAAGCCGATCCCTAGCATCTATTCGAAAGACCTAGCAAATGTCATCGCCAGTTGTCTCAAGACTAATCCGATGCACCGCCCCGACACCGTCTCCTTACTTTCAATTCCATACGTTTGGGTCTCACGCCGTCAGCAAGAGATGGTTGTCATAAGCAAAGCATTGAAGACCAGAGAGGAGCTGGCAGAACACAAGCTGAGACAAGCAGAAGAGAGGCTGTCCGCCCTTGAGGCCGACAAGGCATCAACGAGGCTCGAGCTTGATGCCCAGGTTCGTCGAGAATGGGAAGTGAGGGCCAGGCTTGAAATCGACCGTCAAGTCCAGCTAGAGCTTGATAGGCTGCGCAAGAAGTTCGATAGTGAAGTGGAACAAAAGGTGTCGGCAGCCCTCGCCCTACACCACCGCGCCACAGAATCCAGACCATTAAAGGAGCTTCGCAACCTCAACATCCCGGTGTACGATAAGGAAAATCACGACCCTAGTTCCTCCATCAACACCGAAGGCGAGGACGACTTTCCTTCACAGACTGATCTCAGCGACTTCTCAGATGGATTAATGCTATCGCCAAATACATCCAACACTAGACACATCCCACCCAAGAAGTCGAGAACTCCTCTTGCACGCGCCAAAACCACCTTCGACTCTCCTGCAGATGTCCAAATGGGAGAGCCATCACCGATGTCGATTAGTTCGCTTTCGCTTTCACCGCGCCGCAATGCTGCTGCGCAGGCCACGGCAAATGCCACCGTCACAGCTGCTAATGCAAGGAACATTTTTGCACGTGCAGAGCGTCAGAAGGCAAGATGGGAGCCAAAACTCGCCTACAGCTCAGAGGACGACGAAGAAGATCTCGACTTTGCGGATGATTCGGACGATGATATCCCTGATCTACCAAGTCCGACAAAAGCCAAACCTCAGATTGCTGACACCGACCCTTTCAAGCATCCAAACCCTTCGTGGAAAGCCAAACCTGCTTTGACGAGGCAAAACACTACAGCGACGATGCAAAAGCTGATCACCAAACCCTCTCTTTTCCCAACCAGCAATGCCGGTGCCAAAATCAGAGCTGGAATTGCTGGGGCGGGTCTGCCTTCCACAGTACGGGGCATCCCACGGGCAATTACCGACGGTGAAATAAAGAGCAATCGCGTGAGATCGCCAAGTCCGGGCAGAGGTTTAAGCAAGATTCCGAGCCGCAGCGATCTGCGAGAGCATGCCAACGCCTTTGATGACAGCAGTACCAGTCCACTGAGACGCGCAGCGACTTCGAGCACTAAACTTAGAAGCAAATTAGCGGGCTCGAAGGAGCTGGCGGGTAATGGCGGAGTGGGCGGCCGGACTCTTGTCGAGCTCGCTCAAGCTCGAGCAGGAGGAAGGCAGGTGGTGAGCAAACCATTCTCGGAGATCAATGACCGGGAGAAAGACTCATTTGATGTACCGGTGTGGGATCCTGAGAAACATGGCGACGATATGCCCAGTCCTTTCCTCAAACGCGATGTCAGAGCGATCCGTAACATTCGGTGATGGTGAATTTGACAAGATGGGAGCGTGGGTGGGCGCGACGCATGATGGAGAGCGCTTTGACACAGATGTTCACAAAAATCTGGATTCGAGTCACCACTAACGGTCACACTGTTGGGATATAATGATGACATGTGTGATGGGACTGAAAAAATCGGGTGGGAGGAATGAGCCGGATTTGCAACGTCTCTCGGTAGCTAGAGGACGAGTCCTCTGCAAGTCTACTCCTACCCAGTTGTCGAGTTTATTCAGCGAGCATAGCATGGCGAAGAGGTCCTCGGGACACCAGCGAGGGTACTTTGACAGCATAGGCGGCGTTGAGAAAGGATGGTTATCTGGAATGTTTGGTTAGGATGTATCTGAGACACGCATTGGTGAACAAAGTCTTTGGGCGCCATCAGCGTATGTTATCAACGCACTGTTACAAAGCTGGCAGTCTATAGGTACCTACCTAGCTCATCAACTAAAGCCATTTCCTCTGTTACAGAAACAGTTCTCGAGTCGCCTACCCCCTGAATAGAGATCGGATGTCACAGCCAAAGAGGCTAGCGGCACAGAAATAACAAGAGGTTTGACAGCCCGGGATGGTAGGCCAGGCAGGCCAATCATTGATCAATTGAAAGATTCGTGCGGCTTCGACAGACGGTTCAGGCATCCTGGTCTTCGACTTCTTCGATTTGCACGTGTCTGCCATGTCTGGCTGGAGGAGGTGAACTGGGCTCGTCGCGAGCCTGAGCCACCGAGTCATCATCGCCTTCGTCCTGCTTTGCGAGTTCTTCCAGGAATCGGCGTTCTTCTTCGGCGAGTCGTTTGGCTTGAATTTGGTCAAGGGGGGAAATGGTAGTGTTGTGATCGACCTGCGGTTGAGGGGCTTCAGGTTGATGCTGATGTGGCGGTGAACGTGGTTGCTGAGAGTTTTTATATCCTTCTGCTTCTAGTCGATCGAGTTCTTCAGGCTCTAATAGACGTCCTGAGGGTCCGCCCTTGACGGCGTCCTGTTTCCGACGAACGACATCAGGAACAAAGCGACTGACAGCCTCTTTCTTCAAGTCTCGTAGCTGGGGTGCGCTCGAGTAGGTGGTCTTGGATTCAATGACAGGTGCGGGTTTTGAAGGAAGATTACGATGGTGGTTATCTTGTTGTTCCAGACCCTGCTGCGATGGGTCTTGGTGTGATCCGTATTGATTATGATTATGATTATTATTGTTGTTGTGCCGGCGGAATTCTCGAGGTATCGGTGGAGGTGTGTCTTCGGGCATGGGGATGCGTCTCACGGAATCGTCTGTGTCACTACCAGGCGACTCGCGACGACGATGTGGGAACTTGCGCTCACCATCATGCCTTCGCTTGCCCAAGACGTGGTTGTTGTTTTCTCCTTCTCTTGATCGTGAGTTCCCAAATTTAGGTGCATTGTCGCCCAGCGTCTCCCTCGCCTTGCGGACGGCTTTGAGATCTCGTTCGAGTTCTTCCAAAATGGCCTTTTCCCGTGCTTTGATGTCTCCTGAGGCTTCGAGCGCTTTGAGGTCTTGGATTTGCCGCTCGAGTCGGTCAGGGTTGCGCCGGGCGAGTTTCTCGTTTCGCTTCGCTTGTAGTTCCGCGCGGCTTTTCTTCAATTGTTTCTGTTTTTCCAGCTTACGCTGTTGTTGCGCTGGGTTGATGGAACGCTCCTTGTCGCGACCCATGGCGGATAGTGGTCTCGGTGGTCGCCTTTGCTGGTGTTGAATTGGCGCTTGTTTGCGAGATTTCTAGGAACAGAAAGAGATGGGATGGCCGACTAGACTAGCGACGTCAGAGGTTGTAGAAAAGGGCGGCAAGGTATGAGTCTCGTGATTGGCTGGACAGTCTAATTGTAGGGCGGCGCGGCTATCTCAAAGAGACATGGAATTAAAGCAGCGGAAGGGGCCATTACCTTTTATTCATCCTCTTCAGACACTGTCACCAGAGAAGCAATGCGATTGGAAGTAAAATTATATTGAATGGTTATTGGATTCTTCAGACCTCACCGGTTAGACAAAGGGTGGAATAACATTTGTCGTCGGCGTTTGGATCGATGCAGGGTTAGAGAAGAAGGGGACAAAGTACAGTAGTCTCATACACAACCTGCCGCCAGGACCTCGCGCTTCAACTCGACTAACTCAGAGTTTGGGATAGGAGCGACTCCTGCATGAACTGTAGACAGTGGTGTCAGGGCAATCGACTACTAGGAAGGCACGCTAGGATGTGTGCAGGTGGAGGGTGAAGAGTTTTGACAGGACAGTGGTCTTGATCAGTTATTGGACCATAGAATCCGGAGTTGATCAAATGGCGATCAGAACATGCAGACAGGAATCATTTCAATGCAACGAATAATGATCACGGGCGATAGAAATGGCGAGAGGGATTGGATGCGCCCGAGGACTACATGTTGAAGGGCTGCAATTATGCATACCCATATATTTTGGGGGAACATTTATTAGTGGTCTCTCACCCTTGCAGGGACCAACCCCCGCTAGCCCAGGCGGACGGTTGCCATGGTTCATGCCTAAACTTTGGCTGTGCAGGCGGTGCAGTTCCGGTGGTGCCATATGCTATCCTATGGCCGGCTCGCCATCAGACGTCAGATGCAGGAAAAAGATGAGGACAGGCACCCAAGTGTGAAGAGGTTGTAGCTGCAGTTGTAATTGGAACAATCACACAGGGCTGTACTACATAGTACAACAAGTCATGTGAAGAGCCATATGGCCCATGCGGTATGAGGTAGAAGAAGGTAGGACAGTGTCGTGCATCAATTCAGTCACTCTGCGTTGCCATGATGCCGGTACGGTGCTTGGTCTGAGGACGCTACCTTGCGCATACATATGCCTTCATGCGGGGCCGAGGCGGAGGTTGATCAGACTCACTATATCTTTAAAAACCATCATCTATCAATTCCTCCATCATCTCACTAGGATTGATTTCATACATACCTTATCTAGATACCTACCTGATATTCAGTGGTCAAAGACCGCCCGGGGGCAAGCTCATCGAAGTTTACCAATTTAGTGCTTAAGTTTTGCTACATCCAACTGGAATCCTTGACCACTCAACCCTTTGTTACGACATCCTCGAGTTGCTGGAGTGCGTGGCCATCCTCGCCAGCGACTCTGCATATCTTTTAAATCAACTTCTATTCCACAAAACTTGCCCTGTCAAAGAACCATACACACAGGAATCCATTCTGCGGTTTCAGGCTCTAGACCCTAGACGACCCCATCTTCTGCCTGTCCACATCTAATCACTCTCCAACCCTCCGACACGAGGTCAATTACTCTTGAACATCGACAATATCTTGTTGCTGTGTGTGCTTCGGCCTGCCCATGCCAAAATCTCCACGAGCTAAGTAGACAAAAAGCACCTCGACCACCAACCATCAACCACCATCAGCTTCTTGTTAGCTAACACACGGTGGTGCAACTGGAACTGTCCACTGTCTAGACCACAGTACATGCCCCTCTCTCCTGAGGCCTGTTATTTCTTAGTCAAGTCACATTCAAGGCTTTTTATGCCCACCCGAATTGAGAGATTATTGCTATTACTGCGCCATCCATTCAACACCCACTCATCGTTGGCCCAATAGTCATTGGCTAGCCACTCTCCCCTCGACCCCCCGTCGCTTCAAGGTCTCAGAGATCTTCACAACCGAGAACATCGTCCCCTTTCCCCCACCGCACACTCTTGTGCCTCTTTGCCTCTTTACCTCGCCTCTCACACACACCTTTACCCGCCATCCCATCGTCATCGTCGCAGGTCGATGAAACACTCCTCCATCCAACGTGCAGTTCTCAGCCGGAGCCGCTTCTTCCTTCCTCATCGGCACGCCCACCACACTCATTCACCATTTTAATCTTCTCCTCTCCACCGTTTTTCCCGCCGCCGTCCCACCGTCCTTCTGTCCTTGGCCTGATCGGCCCCGACCCAACCGCCAGGAGAAGGGGGTCTGTCCAGTTCAACCGTGTTCCTTCGTTTGATCAAGAGACGTCCCGAGCGCTTCTCGCCCACCTGAGGCTCTGCTATTTCTTGCAGCCGCCCACTTATACCCCGAGCTACAATGACCAGGCTCATCCACATTGCCATATCACGCAGCCGGTTCGCTGTTAGTTCTTTCTCGCACCACAACTAACGGCTGTTCCCTTGCCTATCAGCTCTCAGAATTATTCTGTTATGCTGTCTCTGCCAGGATTCCCACCTACGCCACCTAGAACCTCAATTTTCTTGACCCTCATCCCTCTACTCGCGGCCGTATTTCCATGTCCGCGACTCACTCTGTTACCGATTCTCCTGCCGTCCTGACCCAATCCGACATCGTCTTCATAAGACAGCAAGCACAGGCCGCCACCCAGCAAAGCCACAGTGGCACTGCTCCTGAGCGCGGCCGCGGCCCCACCCGAATTCCCCATCATTCTACCAGTTCCCGCGCCGCCAGTGCAGCCAGCAGTCGGAGTGTCTCTGGTCGCATTCTCCTCGATGACAATAGCTTGACCAGCCTCGGAGTCCATTTGGACATTATCATGTCCAGCATTAATGGCCGCATAAACGAGGTGGGAGCCTTGACCACAATCTGCCTGCTTCTGCTGACCATGTTCTCATCATTAGCTGACAGATGCAATCGAACAGTCCATCGAGAGAACTCGCAATCAGACCAACCGTACCATATACCAGGCCGATGCCGAATTGGAGCGATGTAGGACACTCCTGGCCCAGATGAAACGACTGGAAAGTGACCAAAAGGAGGTCTTGAGAATCCGGGATAGAGTAACCGCGCTGAGAAGGGCCGCCGAAGCTTTGGACGGAAGACTTGACCGAAGCCGGCACAGTGGTCACAGCTCTGCCGCTCGTTCGCACCGCTGAAGTCCAGTCACAGGACTCCCTATCCCGCGTGGGAGTTGTTCGCCCCTGCTCAAACTCTGCCCATACATACCAAAAATGCGGCCACCTCCGAACCATACGTTTAATATGCCCTGTCCATCATGTCCCACAATGTTTTATCATCCTACATGGCGGGGAACTCGAAACTCGAAACTTGAAGAAGGAAGCCTCACGGCTAAATGATGTGTGACGATTTTATGTTTAATGACTGTATGATTATCTATGAGAGTCTGGCTCAGCAAGGTGCAATCTTTCGAAGCGCAGATAAGTGTTGCGGACGACATGTGTTTTTAATGATCAGCACATCATGATGGTGTTTGTTTGAACCATGGACGCTGGTTTACTCCTTTGTCGCACCATGGATGTCTAGACCTGCCACGGCTCGCGCCGTAAAAGCGGCATGTTTGAGAATACGATTCGTATTGGGTTTTGATATGGAAAACATGGATAAAGCAAATCTGTTCAATTCGAAGATTTACTTTCCTTCTCTTCTTCTGTGGGACCACGACTCTTTTTCGCATTGGTTTCTACTCCCACGGGGAATCGCTTGACTGTGGCACACTGCTTGCATCGAATTTCGAATATATCCGCCCAAGGTTTTGTCGCATCCTTGCTGTTATTGACAACTATTGCGGAACTAGTCATGCCCGCGATAAGAAGTGAATCACACCGTCTGCATATCGTGTGCTTCATCTTGGGCGACAGGCGCAGTTGACTCTTCCGGGATACCCCACGAAGATGACTCAGCAAGCGGTTGGCTTCTCGCGAAGGGATGGTCCGAGTCATCGGTGTTTCTGAAGCCCGATTGTCTGAGGTTTGGGTTTTGCTATGCGATGCTGCAGTCTCTGTTTGCGTCGCATGGTGTGCCGTCGTCAGTAATGTTGCAGCCTGATGGAGGTAGGACAGCCTCGAATGAAGATGCTTTTGTGGAATGCCAGGCTTGTTGGCCTTTGTCGATTTTGCTTTGGCCATGGCCTGGATGATCCTTGTCACATTGTCACCAATAGCGACACAAGATGCCAAATAGACTGCTTGCTTGCGTTGAAACGATTGTCCTTTGTTGATATAATATCATCACTCACAGTCTCAATGCAGTCACAAAAGTTGTCTGGCGAATTTAGAAGTCCGAGAGCGTGCCAAGAGATATCTGACTATTCTATTTGAGGCTAGACATGCGCTAGTGCCATGTCGCCCCTGCCGCAAGCGTTGCCTAATCCCATTTTCCCACTTCTTTCCCACTCTTCCACTCGCTTCTCTCTTTGTTTCTCATTCGCAACACCAACCCCAAGCACAGGCATCTTTCTGCCTTGTTCTCATAACTCAACCATCTTCCTCGCCATCAGCTCGAGGATACCTTTCTCTTCTCTTCCTTTTCTTCAGACCTTTACTGGTTCTGCCCTGATCTTGACGATCGTTTCCAATTCCCTCTGTTCTTCTCGCGCGGAATACCCTTACGGAGCTTGACTCTTCAATCATCACCAAATCCTCAATCAATCAATCCCCTCATCAAAAATGTCGGCCGAAGAAGATCTCATCGATTACTCTGACGATGAGCTACAAACAACCGAAGCTCCCGCCGCAGGAGCGACTAATGGCGCCGCGAAGAAGGGCGACCTGACCGTTTCAGGCGGCAAAGGTACCGACAAGGCCAAAGGCAGCTACGTCGGCATTCATTCCACTGGATTCAGAGACTTCCTCCTCAAAGGAGAACTACTACGGGCCATCACCGACAGCGGTTTCGAGCATCCATCGGAGGGTTAGTCATTCATTCCTGCAAGCAAATCTCCATCCACCTTCGTACCTGCTTCGAGCGTCCGTCCATCTCCAGTCCAAGAAAAGATACAAGAAGTTTAGACCAAGCGCGAATCTCAAAGACTTGTGCATGCGAGGGCAGCAAGAGTTTTGCCTTCAGGCCACGCCGATAGTCGATTGGTCGTGCGCAGTCAGCCTGCGTATCAACAGTTTGAACGCTCGTTGCCCGCAGGTTCGGGCAACGTCGACAGTACATCGCTGAAAAGTGGTGCAATTGTGCAGCAACCTCCACGACGCGCTGAAAATGCCGTCTTTGGTTGAAGCTCTCTTTCGCGAGGAAATGCCAGCTTTCGATGTAACATTCGAAAGCTATTTGGCTGATTTTCCTTGGTGTTGGTCTAAGCAGAAGAGATGATTCATTAGTCGATGGCGCCCAGAAATGGGTCCGACATATCAGGCGACTTATTGGGAGATGGACGGACCGCCTTGCGATGCTACTTCTGCTCACATCGTTTCTGCGAACAAAATCTAACCTTCTTTTCGCCCACCTACAGTCCAACAAAAGTGTATCCCCCAGGCTCTTTTGAGCGTCGACATTCTCTGTCAAGCGAAGTCGGGTCTTGGTAAAACTGCCGTCTTTGTCTTGACTACTTTGCATCAACTGGAGCCCGTCCCCGGCGAGGCTTCCGTCCTGGTCATGTGCCACACCCGCGAACTGGCATACCAGATCCGCAACGAATACAAACGTTTCAGCAAATATCTCCCCGAAGTAAAGACCGAAGTGTTCTACGGTGGTACACCAATCCAGCAAAACATCGACAAACTGAGTAACAAGGCCGACTTCCCCAACATTATTGTTGCCACCCCTGGTCGCCTCAACGCCCTTGTACGTGACAAGCACTTGTCGTTGCGCAATGTCAAGGCGTTCGTTCTCGACGAATGTGACAAGATGCTGGACGCAATTGGTGAGTGGATGCCAATTCCTGGTCACTGAAACAACCTACTAAGCGATCGTCTAGACATGCGTCGTGATGTCCAAGAGATTTTCCGCGCAACACCCACGGAGAAACAAGTCATGATGTTCAGCGCCACCCTACCCGAGGCGATTCGTCCCATCTGCCGAAAGTTCATGAGAAACCCTCTTGAAGTCTTTGTCGATGACGAGACCAAACTCACCCTGCACGGTCTTCAGCAATACTCCATTAAATTGGGCGAGGGCGAGAAGAATCGAAAACTCAATGAGTTGTTGGACAGCCTTGAGTTCAACCAAGTCATTATTTTCGTCAAGACCGCCGCCCGAGCCCAAGAGTTGGACAAATTGCTTCGAGAATGCAACTTCCCCAGTATTGCTGTTCACTCGCTCGTCAGCCAGGAAGAACGGTAAGCAGTCCTCGTGACATCCTGCTTGACAAATTTCTAATATTCTACAGTATCAAGCGGTACAAGGAGTTCAAGGAGTTCAACAAGAGAATCTGCGTTGCCACAGATGTGTTTGGACGTGGTATTGATATCGAGCGAATCAACCTTGCGATCAACTACGATCTTCCAGCTGATGCTGATTCATATCTTCATCGCGTGGGTCGTGCAGGTCGATTCGGTACCAAGGGCTTGAGTATCTCGTTCGTCAGCAGCGAGACAGATGAGTCTGTCATCAAGCAGATCGAAGAGCGCTTCCAGGCTCCGATTCCACCTTACCCAGAAGGCGGCGTCGACTCTAGCACCTACATGGCATCTTAAGACAAGTCGGTTACCTACCGACCATTGTTTCATGGCTCGAACGATGGGTCTGCCATAGAAGGTTATGGAAATGGGAAAGGCCAGGTTGAATTGAAAAGCTTATTCAATGTGACAACAGACAAAAAACTTGCATAGGTAGCTCTGTTTTGGCAGACAAACTGATTTGCAAAGTTGCAAATCTGTAAGAATGAAATCATCTATAAAACCCAGTCTTGAAGAGCTTGTCATGGTCCTGTGGAGTGCATACCCATACTCTAAGCGTACGGCCATAGAGGCGAATTGAATAGTAGGTACTTATCTACGTGACTGTCCAAAGATGCCAAAGGCTTTTCTTGTGAAGTTCGTGCTGAGCACGTATCTATCTTGGTTATCTCGGTAGATAAATGCAATCAATCGACACCAGGAAGAAAGTTCTTGGGCCAGCTTCAAGCATCAAGCTTCAACTTCTCCAGCAGAGTGTCGATCTTACCAAGCAATAGCTGATAGTTGATGGCATCTGCATCGAATTCATCGCCTGCCAGTTCGCCGTCGAGGGTTCGTACCGCCCCTGTCGGATAATGCTGGTGTATAAGAGGATTGGTCACATCTTCTGTAGTGAGTTCCTTGTTGGCGCCCAAACCATCATCTTCTTTCAGGTCAAATCCATTCGGTGCTGCTGCTGTTGCTAAACCTAGCTCGGTTTGGATCAAATGCGCCTGGGCTTCCTCCTGACCCTGCTGATCCATCTCCATCTCTTCCATACCCACATCCTCAAATCTCAAACGAAATCTTTCACTGAGATAGTATCGAATGTCGTCTATCAATTCAATACTGTCGGTTTCCTGTCTTTTCTCAATCCGACTTGCTGATTCGGCAACAAGGTCCATAAATTCCGGTTCGTCGATGTATGTCTCGAGTCGGTATGCAATATATCTCGCGGCAAATTCTTCAAGTCGTTGGACTCGTGTCAACCATGCGGCGCGTAGGATTAGATAGATATCAATCAGGTCTTCGCTTCCTTCTCCTTCTACTCCTTCCTTGGTCGTGAGAGTAGTGTTGGAGGGGCCTTCTGGTGAGCTTGAGTCTGTAGTAATTGTTGTTGTTGTTGTTGTTGTTGTTGTTGTTTCTTCTCCTGGTTGAGGAGAAGGTGTGGGGTTGGCCATTGGGTTGGCGTTGTTGGACATGCCGGTTGCAGTCCCGTTTCCAAGGGTGCTGATGACGACGGCGGCTTTGGCCTTGACCTTTTCCAGGAATAACATGTCTGCTGCAAACAGAACGTCGACTGCGATGTCGAGACCAAAATCTGCTCGCTCGGTATATAAAAATGTCAAAATAACCTCCAGCACGCGAGGTGAACAGTCTATTGGGATAATGTGGAGGTGTGGTGTATTTTGTGCTTCAAGAAAGTTCGAGGAGAACATGGTGAGGAAGAACTCGGAGCGGATTAGTTGCGCTTTGTGTACGGGGAAGAGTTTTGAGCGACGCGGCTTGCGGAGCTCTGAGGGAGAGGGGGAGGTGGCTCGAGAGGGTGTTTTGGAGGTGTTGGAGGAGGAGGAAAACGGAATTCCCAGTGCAGAAGTGGCCGTCGTGTGGGTTCGCCGACGGTCTAGAGACTGACTCTCGTCATCCTGCTCGTCATCATCCTCATCCTCGTCAGCACGAAGGAGAATGTCAGCAAAGATCCCATTGTCACGATCCCATCTGACCTCATTCGCTCTGGCTGTATCCGTTTCAATGGCGTGCCGGAGGACATTGTTTCGGAACCAAGTCTCGAGCTGGTCTCGTCCCATCTCCACTTCATCCTGCCGCCTCTGTCTAGCCAGTCGTCGATCGCCGCTTTCCAAAATCAAGTCGGACAGCTTTGAAATCTCGAGATGCTTGCTGATTCGATCAACCCCCGCGAGAATCTCCAAGTCGGTAAAACCTGTGCCAGGTCCTCCTCCCATATCACGTGGTAGATCCCCGAGATAGAGATGTTTCAGCGCAATGGCAAATGAAGGGGAAGGAATCGTGGCCGGTAGTTTCCAAATGGTTGTATCAGGAGCATCGATGAGTTTCTTCTGAAAATACGGAGAACGTGCCGAAAGGATATACTTGTGCAGGCGGAATACATCAGTCGGGGTGATGACTTCAAGGTCATAGGTTTTGGGATGCTGGCGGGAGATGAGTGATATTAGATGTGATGCTAGTGGCTGCAACGGGTCGGTGGACTTTGAGTAATCGTATGAAAGGAGAAGATTGCGGATTCGGTCATTGAGAGCGTTGTAGAGGCATCTGCATTGGCGAGAAATGAATATCCAGCACGAGCAAAATAGCATTGAAGAGAAAAGACGACCGACCTTTCACCCTGGAAAGTGTCTCGTTCACACAGAGCTCCTGACTCGAGTAACAATTGCACAGTTTCGTAGTGACCACAGAGGGAGGCCTGCTCTCGACGACGGTCCAGCTCGAGTCAGTGATTATTCAATCGCGACCGATTGGTCATCGAGCCCAGCATCTTCGGAGAACTTACCAAGATCAAAGGGGTATAATCATACTGATCCTTTGCATTTATATTGGCACCTGCCTGAATCATTTGCTGGCAGACCTTGAGGTCGCCTTGACGACAGGCGTCACATAATTTCTGGAAATCTTCGCTAAAATCAAGTGGATTGTCTTCCCTGAGGATGCCTTGTTCGATCAATTTCTTCTCATCGTGGAGACTTCGTTCCAATTGATCTTTGCGAAGCACTCCATCCGTGGTCATGGTCTTTGATATGCAACAAAACAGGAGATAGTGATCTAAGATGCGAGAAAGATGACACTAATGGACAAAAATGAGCAGCTATCACAGCAGAGGAATGAACAAGGGAAATATGACGAGTGGCATATAAGAGTGTCAAAGATGACTGACGTTGACGGCGATACCATGGCGATGGCGACAAGACGTAATTCCAGACTAAGGGAAGGCGGCGTGAAAAAGATGCGGAGTTTAGATTAGATTAGATCTTGGACAGGCCACCATCACGTGCCAAGATTTCTCCCACTGAAAGGAAATTTTGACGAGGCAGAGAAGAGACTCTCACTCGATGCGGGCAGGACGAGTGGGTTTCTTCTCTTCGACCCTCGTTCGACCACGACCACTGCAGTCCAGATCAATTTGACCACCGCAGTCTTGGTCTTGGATCCTCCTCGATATCAAGTCTCTTCACACGGTGTTTCTTGAGACCAACAACACAATACCATCTCCCCCCTTCAGTGTGATTCACATCCACCTCCCACTCTGCCCAGCATGGCGACCGCAGACGGTTCGCTTCACCTTACCCGTCCCCTGGGTCCTGTCGCCGTCGGCGCACAAAGCACCACTGCTCCTCTTCGAGTTGTCATACAACCTCAAGTAAGGGCGCATCCATCGATCGTGACTGTCGTTTGCAAGATCCATACTAAATTAATTCTTCCCACCAGGCTCTCTTCTCCATTCTCGACCACTGCTCCCGCCGCCCACTCGACCAACAACGGGTGATTGGCACTCTACTGGGCACCCGCAGCGATGCCGACGACTCGCAAGTGGTAGTCCATTCGTCCTTTGCCGTCTCACACACCGAAACCACCGACCAGGTGGAAGTCGACATGGAATACCAAAAGGCCATGCTCGCCCTCCACCTGCGCGCCAACCCCAAAGAAATCCTCGTCGGCTGGTACGCCACCTCGTCTGAACTCAACACGTTTTCCGCCTTGATCCAAAACCACTACAGCAGTCAAGGTGAAGGCACCTTCCCATACCCAGCCGTTCACGTCACTGTCGCAGCCGTGCCTGGAAAAGACATTGAAGTCCGAACCTATATTTCCTCTCCTGTGGGCGTCAACCCGGAAAGAGCCGCCGACTCAGCTGCATTCGTCCCTGTGCCATATACGATTGCGTACAGTGACGCAGACCGAGCGGGCCTCGACGCGGTGCGCAACATTTCCGACACTGAGACCCGAAGCGGTGGAGTTCTGACGGATATTGAGAGCTTGGAAAAGTCACTGGAGGATACGATTGGATTGTTGGACCGGGTGGCCAGATACGTGGAGAACGTGATTGAAGAGGAGGAAGAGCCTTCTACGGCCCTAGGCCAATTCTTGCTCAACACCCTCGCATTGGCACCCAAGGTTGAAGCCGCCGAGATTGAAAAGGATTTCAACAACCATGTTCAGGACGTTTTGACTGTTTCATACCTGGCCAACACCATCCGCACACAAATGGACCTGTCCAACAGATTAGCAACTGCTCAATTGACCATCGGTGGTGGCGACTCAACCGCAGGTGCCGGCTCCAACGACAAAGAAGGCGGTGGGCGAGGAGAGAGGAGACAAAACAGACAAGGAGGTGGCCAGAACCGACAGAATCGGGCAGATAGCCTGACGGTTTCGAATTTGTGAGCAGACAAAAGGGATTCGCCGTTGGAGACGATTCTCATGTTTTCTCTCTAAAGCTATGATACATGATGCGAGGTTATCTATGAACATGGTGCATGCGTGATGTGCCCGGTGCCTTTTTGGACTTGTCGTTCAATTTCAAGGCCTGATAGACACAGAAAAAGTCCGGCGTCTGGGGTCGTGATACAGAAGATCAAGGCACAGGCCTTGTGGGGGCATAGCACCTGTTCTTGTTCAGGTGATATCCACACCAGGATCGACCCAATGCATAGCAAGAGTTGAGTCGTGGTGGGTATGACTGCTGAGGATCTGGCAAGCTACCATGTGTTTGCCGTTGGACAGCTCCGGCTGTCATAGGTAGAAAGTGGGCTTGGATGAGCCTTTTCAGACAATCGATATTGAGAGATGATTTCCACCTGTGAGATGTCGAGATAGAGTCGTGCTTGGAGCGTCATCTCTCGTGATCCGTGATATGTGTAAAGTCGTTGAAGCCCCTGCTGTAACAAACAGCGTATGTCGACGGATGAAAGGCCCCATTGCGGTTTCAACTTGGACGAAAAGATAGTAAGGATGCCGTTTTGTCTAGCATCTCTTCAACCCACCTCACTGCGTGGCTTCTTGCTTGTATGTTCGTCGCGATGATCATCATCGCCAGCAGCGCCAACACCAGCTGCATCGCCACCGGCCTCCGCCTCTCTGTCCCTCTTCTTCCTACGACCTCGACCTCGACCTTTTCCTTTCCCAGTGCCCTCCTCACCAATAACCTCACCCAGGTTCATCAAATCACCGACATTCATCTTCGCGCCCTCCTTCCCCTCATTGGTATCGAATAACTTCTTCTTATTATCAATATCTCTCTTCTTCTTGAACATCTCCTGCACACGACCCAACTTGACCGCATCGCGGCGCAAGACAAATTCAAAGTCCGAAAGCTTGAGTTTGGCACGTCCAGAATATGTCGCGATTGTAACAGCATTATGACATGTTTCGATGATGAAGTCGGTCAACATCTCGTCGAGGACTCGGATCGTTTCTGGGAAAGGCTTGTTAAAGGGCGTGGGAGGGTGTGTGTTGTTGCCGTTGTTGCTTCGAGGGTTGTCCAAATATCTTTGAGATGATACACCGATAGGTTTAGAGAGATCGGGGTGTTCGGCTGCCCCATAGCCGTGGAGGAGTCCTTCGAGTTCGGCGCCAAAGTTTAGGCCGGCCTTGTGTCGCCCGGCGCGGGCGCGGGGTTCCATGTTATTGTTGAGGAGGGAGAAGAAAAGAAAGAAAAGGTACGGTGGGTGAGGTTGGGTGAGGATATGGTCGGAGATCCAATATCGGTCAAGGGCTGATCATCATGACATTGGTTGGGTTGTGGGTAGATGTGTCGTCAATGATTCATTGCATCATTTGTAGTGTACCATTCGTGGTGATAGAGTCGTGAGTGGTACACGGAGTGGTGGACAGTAAACCAGGAATGTCGCCAGACGCAGCTGAAGAGACTTCGATACTCGTGGCAACAGATCAGGCGCTCTGAACCTAGATAATAGAGAATGAATGTATTGACTGATGGTTGAAGAGATGAGAGCGACAAAGACTATCTATCTTTGTAAGTAGCAGTCGCGGCGACAAGGCTTAACAAGGCTGAAAATGCCAAGACCTCTCCCCAGCCCAAACCAGAGTCCTGACTTCCCAACTCCAAGTCCAAGTCCAACTCCAGACCACCTCATCTCAAAAAAAGTCACCCATCCCATTCTACCATCAACCAAAGGACATCTGTTCTTTTGATTCCTATTCTTACACTACACTCTTCAATTCAACGACACCCAGATGATCGATTAACTCTCTCACTCGTAAAATCCAAACGCCATCCATCCCATCAATCAAGTCGTTTTGATCCAATTACAATGGTATGTCATCTCACCCACCTGTCTTCCTCACACCCTCGCTCCCTTTCTCGCTCCCTCCCTTCCAGCTTCCACCAGCAATCAACAACGAATACATCACCAATGAAACACATCCACTCACGTGCCTTCTTCCATACAGACTGCCATCTTCAATTTCGAGTCTCTCCTCCTTGTCATTCTCCTCCTCATCTGCACATCGACCTATGTGCATTCATTAGCTCCTGGTATCATTGACCGGAATAAGGATGGGTAAGAACATCTGACCCCCCCCGCCCCCCTCTTATCCATATCCTCTCTCTCTCTCAACCCCTTTTCCATGGTCGGTTCCTTTCTAACCCGGCTCTTCTTGCGTCCAAATATAGGTTTCTCGGGATTTTCTGGAAATGTGCGCGAATAGGAGAACGACTCAGTCCTTATATTAGTATTGCCTTGGTCGTCATGGCGGTAAGTTTGAAATCTACTCCTGCAAATTGTCAATTTCAATGTCAAAGGCGGCACGGCTGACCATTCTCGGGGAACATCTAGTGCTCGATAATCCTGTAAACCAGTAACATGCTGTTATGCGTATGCGTATGCTCAAAAGTGGGCAAATGTGAACGGCTATTGCGTCGAATACAGCTTTCGTTGTGAGCTCTGAACGGATGAATGGACGATTCGGTGGATATAGTCATGATTTTGTCATGAACTCTGGGATCTGACATGTTCGGCGTCGCGGAGTTTTGGATCTTTGTATGGAGTTATAGTACTTTGAGCTGGTGTTCAAAGCGTATATTGCCCCTGGTCAGAAGGTCTCCAGCGATCGGTCAAACTGTGGTCTGATAAACTACTTTAAAAAGTAGTTAAAAAATACCACAAAGATCAACCGACCGGCTTCTGTTCTAGACAATGAAAAGACAATTCCAACCTATATAACTTCCCACCCAGAAATACAGCCCAAGAAAGTAGAGTACTAGCCTCACAGACACTCCCAATCAGCCACCTCTCTTCGCTTGAGTAACGTCATAGACAAATGGAAATTTGTCTTCTTCTCTGGTGCGCCTCCTCCTCACAAGGCCTCCAATCTCTGCCTCCACCTCCACCTCGTCCTTGCCTTCCCGAATGATAAGTTCGTCGTCGTTGCGCCCATATTCAACGATGGGCTTGCTCGGGAGGCCGACAAATTCACTAAAACTCATGTGGCTTTCCACCACCTCCGTACGTGGAGTACTCTCTAAATCGCCGGTGTCCAATGGGTGTTGCCGCACAATCACCGTCTTACACGGTACCTCAGATGCCAGTTTTAACGTTTCTGTATGAGGGTTGCCGAATCGTTGTTGGTTGCGCCACATTTGCCACTTCAAGAGGTTGTTATTTTTCATGAGTTGCTTTCTAGTGGGCTTGTTCTTCTGCCATGGAGGAATTTCACCAAGCGCGGCCCAGTAATTCTCAGGATCCCGAATGTCAAGAGATCGATCCAAATCAAAAAGGTTTCGCGACTTGGCACGATAGTGTAAAGGATCCGTCACAAGCTCTGAGTGGTGACTCGGCTGCTCTCCGTCTTCTGAATGAATCTCGTCAGAGTCAGAATCAATCATGATGCCGTGTTCACGCAGAATGTTCAGGGCTTGTTGTTGATCAGAATCAGCCATGCTACCATTTTCTTTCGTCCCATGCCTGTCGCCCCTTCTACCTGCCAAGGTTTCTCGTCGACCAAAATCTCTCGCCAGATTCAACGCTTCTGGCTGGTTGGGGTGCCTAGACCTGAGCTGAGCGAGGGGAATGTCACCATTTGGTGCGGATGTCTGGTAATTTCGCGCTTCACGCTCACTGGTTGGGTGGTGCCCGTTCTCCCCGGCTTTAGACGTGCTCTCAACAAGATGCGTACCATCAGCTTCTCCTGTTACAGAAAGATTGCTTTTTTCTCCGAGCAAGGTTTTATCCAAAGCATCTGAGCCCTCATTACTCTGAGAGTACATTTTCGCAGCCTCTTGTATCTTTTGCCACTGCTGCGCCACTATTCTGGCCTTTTGTTGCCTGGTGTGGATTTGGAGGAAAAGCCAGCACTTTTGGGGATCAAGATTTGGATAGTCAGACCCATCGTGACTATGAAAGCAACGCTGGTGGCGCCTTATGCATATTCCACAACGTTGTTTCAATAACATCATGGGGTTCGGTGGACTTACGGCCCGCGGATGATTGTCCTTCGCTAAATCAGCTCCTGCCTCGACTCTAGCAGTATTTGTTGGTGAAACCAATTTAGGCAGAGGTGGACCAGGTGGCGTACTTCGCCCAAGCAATGGTCTCGAGGTGCCGATTGGAACAGACCTGGAGAAACTGGTTTCCAGTCGTGGTGTGACTTGCATATTGACGAGATCAGCAGGCGAATCTCGCTGACGAGGGCCGGTTGATGTTCTAAGGGACCCCATGGCATCAGCATCGCTCTCCGACTCGATGGACGGTATGATGGACATAGCTCGCCAGGGATGACACCCTATGGGTTCCGATGAGGAATCACTGTCTTCGACATCAAGTTCATGATCCCGACCCTGCCTCCATTCTTCAGATTGATCTTCACTTTCGAAACGTGACAATCCAGAGTCAGACTCGGGTTCCGTGCCCGGTATCGTAGAATTCTTTGTTGTTAACGGTGAATTTGTGCCTATCATCTCAGATGAGGAGGCTTGCTTATTGAGTATGCTCAAGATTTCAGGAGCACCGAGTCCACTAGATGGTGGGTAAAGTTGTGCAGGATCCAGAGGGTCATCGAGAGACACTCTCGGGAGATTCTCAGATCTTCCCAATGCTCTGTTCACCTTGTCGAACGTTTGCGTGGTAAGGCTGAATCTCTTTTTTGAAGTAACAAACCCGGCTTCGTCTTCAGCAGTACGCTTTCTCACGTTGAAATGTTGTGGATGAGCCTCTATTGTCATTGGCGACTGTTGTTCGCCCATATTCAACGAATTATCAGCCGTGACCGGATTGCCAGTGGCGGTGCGAATTTGACCTTGTTCCGCGCTTGAAACATGTCTAGAGGTTATCTGCTTTTGGTGTTGACTTTCGAAACTTGATGCTTCAATGTTCTTCGCTGTGCTCATATTCGTTCGATTCAGTGTGTTTGGTTGGGGGATTGGGTCTAGAGCGACCGGTGGTGTTTGCGGTCTCGGCCCGATGCGCCTTCCCTCAGGCCCTGAGCGGCGTCCACCTCGCTTTGCCCACATGATACGAGGTCTCGCCTCAGAGTTCTCTGCCTGAAGGTTGCTCACCTTTGGTGACTTGGGAGAGGGAGCAGGCTCCGCTTGAGATGCCATGCGTGATGCATTGACTTCATGCTCTGTGTCTGCGTCATCTGCGTCTGAGACGGCAGTTTGGACAGAGTGACCCTTGTCCTTTCCCGCTGTTTGAGGTGTTTTGGTATCTGGCAGATAATTGCTGTTGCTAGGAGAACGGGTTGGTAGAGTGGGTGTGGGTGGCACAACACTTTCTTCTGTCTCGACTGATCTTTCAGGAGTGGCCTTTGGATGTCGCTCAGGATTGGGAAAACAAGACTTCTCGGTCGCATAGTGCGAATACGGGCATGGACCAGTCCGTGTTGCCCATTGACAGTACCCCGGTGAATACCTCTCCCAGCGAGGGCACATGTAGTCACTCAAGGAATTGACTCCTTTCTCGATCATCGATGAGCCTTTTGGCTGCCACTCAAGGATGCCTGTATTGGTATGGCCGAATAGGCAGAATGACCGAGGGCACCGGCCATCTCTTTTCCAAAAGTAGCAGGTGATATGTTTTCGGCAGACCCTTTTACCCATGTCCACGTGGAGGCCGGTACTCTTATGGGAAAGGGGACACTCAGAAGGGCTCTTGGAGCAAAGCCCCGCCCGCCAAGCGGGACATTCGAAAGCTTTACCACCGACATCATGGCCAGTTTCTCGGTGGGCGAAGAGACAATGAGCTTCAAACAGAGGACACCTGCGAACTCTCCAGGAGGGACACGTGATGCCCTTGTACAAATCTCCCTGTAAAGCGCGACTCGAGACATTAATCTTATTTTTGACCTCATTTGACGGGGTCGCAGTCTCTGGCAGCGACAGACTTGATTCTCCAGTATTCATCGAATTGTTTGCGCGTCGTTGCTTTAGGCACTTGCCACATACAAAATCGTCTGGGGTTGCACTATGTCGATTAGCAGTTTCACTTGCAGCGAACGGGAATACCCACCTTTGACGTGGTTTGGGATTACCACAACCGTCATGATAGCCTCTGGAACAGATACTACAAGCAATCAACGGCGTTACCTGGTTTCCCGGAGTGCCACAGGCCCGGCAAAGGGCTTTGCCTCGTGAGGTTGCACTTGAAGGTGTTGCCGATCTGTCTTCGTTGCTATTCCTAGAGAGTCTCGATATGTTCCTCACAGTGAGCCCTTCAGGAGATGGTTCCATGAATGATGAATTATCATCTTCACCTCTGGCTTGACCGTTGATGATCGGGAGATTGCCAGAGGGTTGGTGGAGCCGGAGTCCTGCGAGGTGTGCCTCGGAGGGTGAATGGGCCCGGGAACGAGAGGAACGAGAGGAACGAGTGGAACAATTGGGGTTAGGTGCGATTGGAGGGGATGACCAAGGAGGCACACGGACCTCAGAAGCGCTTGGTGGTGGCAGATTAGATGAAGTGGAACGGGGTGAACGGGTGGGAGGAATTGCCAAGACCCGCGGAGGTCGGGTCGCGCCTTCTCCCAACTCCAAGTCGTCGTTACTTCTGTTATTGTCCACATCGCGAGGAAAGTCAGACACGTGAGTTGTATCACTTGGCCTGACTTGATCTGATTGCGGATATCTTCTGTCCTGGCGCACCTCGTCACGTCTATCGGTGTCCAGGTCTCTTTCCTTACGAGTTCCAAATCCCCTAAACTCTTCAAAAGAAAAGTAAGCTCCGTTGCTGTTTGAACGGCTCCCTCGTTGCCCGTTGAAACGGTAGTCTCTGGCTGTATCTCCGGGACGATATGTATCTGATATGCGCGCCCGGTGGACTTGAGAATATTCGCTCATGGGCTGATGGACAGAATGGTGGTAAGAGTTGGGACGGCGTGTCCATGGCTTGGAATTGTCCGACCTCCGATATGGCGGAGGCGTGATGACACGCCGCATCGTGCGAGGCTCTGTGGGGATATTCATACTGGTCCTACTGATGCTGTATTGTATCGAACTCGACCCCAAGTCCTCACATCATTCGACGCAACACGGTGAAGTCGGAAAATATGGCCGAGGTGGCTTTGTTCTTCCGTCAGCGACTGAAGACCCAAGTGGCACCGGTGCTGTCTGAGTGAACTTTGGTGTAGTAACATCTTAGGCATACTGTATTTCCATGGCCATTCGTTGTGCCACAGTCACTAGAGGAGCCAAAAATTAGTCATCAGAGTCGGTAGAAGATGGTGGTCAGAATGATGAAGCGGCTGAATGGTGTGCCCACGAGCTTCTCAGGTCTTTTCAGTTTTTAGGTCTTCACATGGCATTGAAAAAACTGTGTCTGCGTTCAACATTGCGTCCAGAGCAAAGATCTCAACAAGTCGGTTTAGGCGAGAGGCCCATGGCGCGTCCAGCAAAACTCCCAGCAAGATCACAGCCGAACACACATCCACAATTAACTAGAGGCGTGTCTGCCGCTGCCATTGATTCTGATATGCATCACTTTGCAAGCGAATCCCATTTGAGCGGCTTGCAGGTCAAGCTCGATATGTGTAAAGCCTTCCAACGACGACATCTCACGAGCCTTTAGATATCTCGCTCTTGCTTGGCTTTAAACTAGCGAAGCATGCCCGGAGTGTCAGCGGGTGTCAGTAGCACAACGCTATAACCCTGTCCGCCAAACCGTCTTGTGTCCTCAATACATGACTCGAACAAATGTTGATTGCAGAATGACAGCCAGCACCATCTGACCTTTTACCAGATAATCATCTTCGAAGCGAAATGTAGGGGGAGTTCGGACCATGTGAGGATGTCCACAAGACGAGATGACTGAGACTTACACGTTGTGGAAGGCTAGTATTGAGCACTCTTAAGCCGCAATTTGCATCATTCAACTAGGGCATTCTTGATCGAGTTTTCGTTGTGGTGAGTTGTGAGTTGTGAGTTGCTCTCAATTTGAACCTCGAGACATGTACAAGTCATGAACGATAGTAGAAGGCGTGAGGACAGGGCCCCAGACCAGTGACAGCCTCGGCTCCAAGAGACCAGGTTGATCAAGATATAATGTGCAATTATCTATGCCTTGCAATGCTCCTCAGTGCAATGGTGAAAGATTACAACGACTTAATGGACGATTAAATGTGACAGAAAGTTCAAAGTGGAGGACTGCACCAGCCAAGGAAATCTGTTGGCGCCAGCCACGCTGCAGGAATTAAGCATGACGAATCCTGATCTTCTATTGGTGTATTATCCCACTAACCTGGAACCATATGAAACTATCTGGGTCGCGTAGATGTCTATTTGTAGTAGCCTCACTGACTGAATATCACGATAAATGAGTTGATCAATAGATGTATAGGGGCTTAGGAGTTGCCAATAATGAACTCAGGACTCTAAACGCCCTCCAATGCCGCCAATCCAATTTGTTCGGTTAGCTCGTCGGCTTCAAAGAAGAGTACTATTCTGAGGTACTCTAACCTAACACATATTTTCACTCGTTAGACAAGTCTAAGTATTGTACATAGGATGTTACATGACCAGCATTCTGTGCGTGCATCCGCTCCACAAGCTCGATTCTTCATTATGGCGTCTGGGGCATCGCTCCAGGTTCCCATTTGGCGAATTCATCCGACAGATGCTCATGTTGTTTCTCTTGAAACCCTTCCGGCGCGGGGATACCTTCCAATGTTGCCAACAACCGGGCCACAAATCTACTCTCGCCGTAGTTCTTTAGAACGAAGTCCCATCCCTCCAAGGTAGGTTTCACTCCCCTCTTCATCATGGTTTGCCCCAGTGCTTGTGCCTGTGCGTCTTGACCATGCAGCAAGTATCCGCTGACCATCAATTTGTAGGTGATCTCCTTGGGCTTGCACAATTTCATTTGGTATTGTGTCTCAAGTACCATCTCCGCTTTGTGAATTGTCATTGGATTTCGCGAGTAGTAGATGACGAAGGCATCATACAACACCGTATGAGCACCAAGCTCACACCAATAATGATCCCCAGAGTGAACGAAATGGAGGAACAGCCTCCATATATTATCCACAGCTTTATCACGTCGCTGAACGAGAATGCAAGCCCAGAGGATGAATCCAAATTGGATGGCACTTGGGAAAGGTAGCAGCTCGTCGGGCAAATCTTCTTTCGATAGCGGCTCTGCCAGCTTGACTTTCACCAGCGGTCCTCGGTCAAATGCTTGGTCGTAGATTGCGAGCATCCGTTGCACTGATCCCTCAGGGGAGAGCCTGAGGTGGGAAGAGCATACAGCTCCAACCATCTTCATCGAATATGCCACCAACAAGGGGTTCTTCCTGATATCTGGCCGCTCGTAGATACTAGTCATGATAGTATTGACATCGTCCACTGCGCGGTTGTCGAAACAATGCCGTAAGAGAACAAGATGTCGCCGAGCATCGATCTCTATGTTGTTGTCTGACATGTATCGGAACATCTCCCAGTAGACATCAGGCAGCCTAAGTTCCACTGCCCTCTCAAGGACCTCGTTGTGTAGCCATGGGGTAATTGTCACCCCGAGCTTGACCAGCTTCGACAAGAATTCAAAGTTCATTCCTGTCTCGGTATGGCTGACTCTGTCCATTCTGATGAGCCACACAAAACGAGGCTCAAAGTCCTCGCCAGTTCTCGATTGTAACTGGTCCGTACTTAACCGTGAGATCAAGTCCATCGCGCGATCCGCGTCTTTGATCTTGAGGTAGTAATCCACCATGACTTTAATCACGGGGATTAGCAGTGGTTCGTACATCGCATGTACACGTTTGAGGACATATTCACATCGCTCGGGTGAAGAATAGTTCAGAAACAGATGAAGGCACGCTGGAGGGATCTCGAAAACCGACCAATGTTCATGACGCGAAGCCAGTTCAACTTGTCTCTCGAACTCCCTTTTGAGGGATTCGTTCTCGTCAATTTCTTCCCAGTGAAAACGACGCAAGTAGATCAGGCAGTCACAGCGAATCTTCCAACAATACTCGAGAAGATGGTGCATCGCTCTCATTATGATCAAAGTTGCCTTCGGAGAGTGTAACAAGCCACCTATCAAAAGCGGTATAAACTTCTCTTTCATATCCTCTGTCGACAGCTGTGGTGGGCGCTCATTTTTTATGAATTCGTCTGCTTCAAGCCTTTGCTTATTATGATTTCTCCGAGCCTGAGCATAGTCATCATTGACTGGCCAGCAAATATCGCGAAAGGCGGTCCGCCATAAGACATGCACGTATGCCCAGTACGTGCCCCACGTTTCGGTCAAGTCGCTAGCAGGGTCATCGCTCATATTGGAGATTTGAATAGCTTTTGCAGAGGGGTTTTGTGTTTCATTGTCAGGCAAACTCCCTGCTGCTCCAGGAAGCTCGTTCACAGCTCGCTCGCACACGCTGGAGAGGCTCGATGGAGGAGATGATTCGAAGCCAGACACTCCTTGATCGGGATCAAGGCCATGCTCGTTAGCTCCACTTGCCTTGGGAGGTCCGATGCCGTCAGAGGTCGTCGCTGTCGCATTCTGTTCGCTAGTCTCTGGCTTTATTCGCCTCGGGCGGCAGGAAGCTAATTGGCCTAATCCGTTTGGAGGAGCCGAGCGTGGCAGAGAGCTAGAGCTTGCACGACCAAGGAAGGGATAGAGAGAGTTCGAAGAGTTCGAGCGGAAGCTATGGCGTAGGCATGACTTGACTGCGCCAATCGATCTGACAAACATTCAGAGAAACAGGCATTGGGCACCGTCGCACCGGTATTGTGTTGAACGACTTCACAACGGGCGAAGATTGACGGACATCGACGGCGTGAATGGCTTGATATATTGACATAAAATCGCTATTGTTGAGATGTAACGAAGGACTTGGAAAGATTTGACGACGAAGAGTGGCATGCCGAAGTTTACCCGACCGCGCTCGAAGACATTGAAACTTCAAGCAATTCAAAAATCGACTTAACGGAAATCTCTCGCAAACACTGCCAAATTCCGCAGACGGCAGTGATTCCTGTTTAGCCTCATGAACTCTGGATCGCATCATGTCGTCTAGCCACAGTAGCCTCGATGCAGCTTCTGTCGATCGAAAAGCACGCCTTGCTAAACTTGCCTCTTTAAAACGCAAGCAGCCTGGTGCCTCCGACACAGTTATCCCATCACCAGAAGTCGACAATGAAGTATCCTCGTCCTCCAAAACAGATGTCTATATTTCTGGAAGAAATTATGACAAGACAACCAAAGGAGCCAGGTTGGGGTTTGAGAACAACCCTTCCGGAGATGTCGAGACGATCGAAGTCCGGGCGCAACGGCTAGAACAAGAGACTCAAGAACAAGCTGCCCAGGACGAGATAGAGGCAGAAAAGGGCATAGACCTCTTCAAACTACAGCCCAAGAAGCCCAACTGGGACCTGAAACGGGACCTGGCCGAGAAAATGAAGGTCCTCGACGTGCGAACGCAGAACGCCATCGCGAGGCTTGTGAGAGAGCGGATCGAAAATACGAAAAAGGAAGCGCTCAACAAGGGAAAGCCATCAGCAGATGACGAACAAGGAGAGGAGCTCGGAATGGAAGGCCAGACACTGGTAGAAAGCATACATCTACGCGAACAGGAGAGTAAAGACGCTGAACTTGAAGACGAAGACGAAGTTACTTGAGTACAGACCTGTGGCACCACAATGGCACCTTGATCTAAAGATTTCACGAAACGTGAATTCAAGTCAACAAGTCTCCGTGTGCAGGTGGCTTCGCAAAGATACCTGCCTTCTGGGAGCATGACACCCATCTTTCAAATCAAGAATGGTCTCCATGGCTAGCAAGAACCTGCAATTATACTCTTGCGGGAGACGACATTCCCTTTCCGATACGGAAAACGGTGCGCTGCAGCGAATTGAGCGGATTCTATCGACAATGCATTATCATTCGAGACTGAAGATCTTCGTATCCAATCCTCCCCGCGAGAGTCGGCAATTTTGAAGACTCCCACAGTTCAATATGTCATTGATCTGGTCGCCATGGTTTGGCCAAGCCATCAAACATAGCAGCTCTTGCAATGCGTCGCAGGCAGGTTGTGCGATGAAAGGTACATGTCAAGCTGTACCTCGGAGAATACTCGTGATTTGGGATCATTAGGATAGTGTTGAAACAAAAGGCGATATCGATTAGTTTTGCCTTGCTGGACCCGATATCAAAAACACTCCAGTGCTGTGTTTGTGTCCACATGCACGTAACGACATTATCTGAGGTGAATAAAAATACCCTTATCCGAAACCTCAATGTATCCTGACGCAGAAGGTCCAGTCGCGTGCTCTCATGTCTTGTGGTAAACCAGTATGCTACATGTTCATGGCTTGGGTCAGTGCCAAACGTTTGCTGTAAGGACTCAGACTGCGTTCTTTCCGTTGATGTCGCGGCTGTGTGTTTGCCTGTCTGGGACCACGTCTCTCTGGGGGTGTAGGACTCCGATGTCGGTGCTGTCCTCGATGATGCCTTTCTCTTGAGTCATCCAGGTCATTGCCAGAGTCCAAAGACCTTCGATGCTTTGTGACTTGGCTAATGTCCATGCTCGGACTGTTAGAACGGCTACGATGGCTACCTCGCCGTAGAGAACTGGGCCGTCCACGGTCTACTGGACTGATAGTTCGATGACGACGGCTTTTGCGGTGCGAACCAGGTACTCTGCGGCGGGAGGAGCCTGGGGATCGCGAGTAAGAACTAGACAAGGAACGCTGTTTTCGTTTTCCTCGACGTTGGCGCGGTGGGCTGTTGGAAGTATTGCCGCTCGCTCGTTGACTGGTCATGTAGTTGTCATCTCCACCCTGTGAGAGTGAACGAGACCTTGTGCGGGACCTAGTAGTTGAAATTGTGGAAACTGAATCTGAGGAATGCGAACGTGAGCGCGATCGTGATCGTCGAGGCGAAAGAGAGCGCCGTTTTTGTTCTTCGCCTCGATCCTGGGACTCTTCTAGCACAGTCCCGTTTCTTCGGGCTTCAGCTTCGGCCAACTGTCGGTCGGCAACTCCTTTACTGCAAATTATTAGTGCCTGCTGAGTACTTCATCCCATGGTGACTGCCATACCTTTCCAACAGGTCATTTGGAATGTCGCTGGATAACTTGGGCTTCAATTTGGGGTTCAACAGTTGTTGTGTCCGTGACGGTCGAGAGACATATGGTCGATCTTGGTTGCCGGCTTTGCACTCATAGCTATAATGGCCTGTACAGGGTTACCCCATATTTCCATAGAACGATGAAGAAGGACTCACCCTTTTTGAGACATTTTTGGCAGACTGTGTTGGCACTCGCCCTCTGAGGGCCTAGCCCAGGAATCGTTCGGTATCGATTCATGGCCGGCTGACAAAGCCAGACAGAAAAGACATACGAACCCAAAAAGATATGGACTGTAGGACCCAAGTGGAAGTTTGAATCGATTCGTGGGTTTTGCAATCAGGTTGGAACGGGCAGTTGGTATGGATTACAGGCCTGGCGAGCCAATGATTACTTTTTCCTTAAGTCGTCTGCTGGCTGTGATGGAAGTGTTGAATGCTGGGGTGAGAAACTCGCCTCGTCTACTTAGGTTTGCTAAGCGAGACAAAGGAATTTGATGTGCGATATGATACAGTCGATCCGAATGGGAAGGCGACGTCAATGCAAATTAAGCAGGTCTGTGATTCCCGAGATTGTTTGCTGAAAGAGAAGAATTGTAGGGCTTTGGACGAAACTTGGTTTGTCAAACAGGACAGGCTGAGGGCACGCCAGGTACGACGATGAGTTTTTCCCAGCGGGTGGAGGAAGTCTGCTTGGTGCCTAATCTGAGGTGCTTCAGCCCTTTAGTCGTGTCCAATAGGTATAGTCACATCCAAGAGTTAGGGAGCGTTAGGTAGTGCTCAGCCCATCGAGGTGCCCCGTAGGCCTTGTTTGAGAAAACCTACAGGTTAAACTTACCTAACAATCATTTGCACGACCGCCTGACTCGTCTTATTATTAGGTGCCTGCCTAGAGGCAGAACGTTCCTACCTTGAAAAGTCAGGTGCATTGTGATTGGACAGGGCGGCACCGCAAATACTATCCTCCACCGGCTTGGCGAACAATCCGCAGACAGAGGATTTGAGCGAATGTCTCGTCGCTCTGCCTCATCTCCATATATTCATTCTCGTTCTTCCCCTGCTCATCACTGAGGAAAACCCTTACAGGCTGGCTCTCCAGGCAGAATGGAATGATTCTGAGTCGTTAGTGAGCATTCGTTGTTTGCCTGAAGTGACCTGAGTCTGTGGAAACCAGTTGATCGTCTACATTATTTCCTGCGGCTCTCAGACTCTCTTGCCCAACCATCCCAAATCAACGATACAGACTCAGCCCCTACCAATAGTTGCCCATCGGCGCCCATTCTCAATACAGCAACCTCTGCAGTTGCTGTCTCACGGCCTTTCGAATACAACCTCAAGCAGAGATCACGCTATAACGAACTCCACGAACTTGAGGACGCAAACTCTAGTGACAGACTTCAAAATCCAGCCCAACGACAGCACATTTTTTCCTCGAATTCATGGAGCCATTTCGGTTATTATGCGCAGGCCCGGTCGATGAGTGGATTTCCGTGTGAACAAGTTGATGGGAAGTCGAAAATAACCAAGTTGGCTTTCGTCCTACACATCTATCCCTCTTGCCTGGTTTGGTAGCCTTGTCTACATTATTGGTAACGAAGTGACGAATCTCTTTGGGCAAATGGCATCTCCCAAGATTGGCTCCGTGCCAGCAAAGTTGTCATTCGCAAAGGTTGGTCCATCCTCGTCTCACATCTCAATCAAACACTGACCCTTCCTAGGTGGCCGCAATGCGTGCGCCCGCTCCACCTCCCTCAAACTCCAACGTTTTCGAGGATAAAAAGCCTCGATCCGTCGAGCCCAACACCTCCCGCAAACCACCCCAGAGCATCGCCGTTGAGCAATCCACAAGTCCTAAGCATCAGCATGAGCCAGTCTTTGGAAGACTCGACAGCGAGAGCCAGTCTGACTATGTTGCATCAGCCATCGAAGGCCTGTCGCTGATGAAAGAGGTGGACAAGACCAACGAAGGATCGCACAGTGCCGAGAGTGGTGAATCCCTTGAAGATGATCGATCCCATCTCTCGAATTCTTCCTCGAAACTGCAGGGCTTCGACACCAAGAGCATGGCGTCCGTGACCACCTTTGCCATGGACGAAAAAGAGAGTATCCGGCCAGATGACAGTGCAAGTGTCAGAGCCGTTGACGATGATGAACTTTCTAATGCTCCTCGAGGATCCGAGGTTTCGTCTTCTCTTGCTCGGGCTGGCCCAAGAGCTAAGATCTCAGGCGTCACCATTGCGCCTCGCCGATACCATACATTAACCTTGACAAATCCTCCCAGGTTTGGAGATCTACCTGTAAGTCCGATTCCTCAGGAGGACAGTCCACCACATCAGTCTCTGGTTGAGCATGAAAGCGACACACCTAGTGAGCTTCAAGAGCGAACCCAGCCTCTTCCCGTGGCCCCCGACGAGAAGCTCCTAGATGCCTTAGCCACACCAAAAGACCGACTGCCATTGTTGCAGCTCGAAGAAAAAGTCCTCAACTTCTTGAGTAGTCCCCAACCCGACTTTCTCGATCTGCCCCCTCAGAATCCATATATGCGCCTTTTGACGCACAAATTGGCCGATTATTATATGCTTGCACATCTTATCAACGATGATGGAATCTCAGTGCGAATTTTCAAAACTCCACTGATTACAATGTACGGCTCTTCAAATCTTGATTCTAGATCCACACTGACCATCGCTAGGCCCACTCCTCTCCACCACCTGGCAGCATCCATCCCGACAGGCCCACCACAAGCGCCTACAGCCATGAACATCAAGCTCTTACGTAGAGCCGGTATGGACCTCAGACAGAACTCCACTGGTGGCAGCACAGCTGCAAGCTCGTCGGCGCCTTCTAAAGCAACTTCGGACGCCGGTCAAGAGACAAATAGTGAGGAGGGAATTCTATCCTCAGACGGCACTCCATTCAAAGACAAGTCGAAGCTTACTCGGGAGGAACGCGAGGCCCAGTATAAAGCGGCTCGCGATCGAATCTTTGGTCCCGATTTTCAAGAACCTGCTCCAAGCGAGAGCGCGTCCACGGGTGAAAACTCAGCAAGCATGTCCAGGTCTAGCTCCTCAGATGGCAAGAAGAGGACTCGGAAAGTCAAAACGCCCAAAGACGACAGTTTCGAGGCTCGATCAGCATTTATCCCCAGCTATAGTGCTATGCACATGGCCACCATGCATCACTATCAATCGCAATTTCCAGAGCAAGGCTATCAAGCGTCTTATCAACCATCTCATAGCATGGGGCAAAATATGAACTATGGCAGTACGCCCAACCCGTCCTTTGCAGGCCAAGAACAGTCAATGCATTACAACGGGTTCTCGGGTTATGGACCCTCCAGTAACGCCCAGTCCTTCAGTCCGATGGAAGCATGGCCTTCGTCTCATTCGAACAACGTCGGCTATGTCCCCTATTCACAATCTCCGAACAGCTATCAGCCTAACGTTGCACACATGTCAAATCAAATTAATAATCCATACATGCAGCAACCACAGGTGGGCATGCAGCAAAGCCAAGGCTGGCTCAATAACCAGTATCAGCAATATTCGCAGCAGCCGCATCAGCAGCATCAACAAGGACCTCCCAATACTAGCGGCTGGTCGAACTATCAAAGTGGATCACATTTACCTGGTGCGCAGGCTTACGGGTACGGAAACGGACCATCTTCAGCCTACCAGTCTGGTAATTCATATCCTTCTCAACCATCTGTGGCTGGAACACTTCCACGATCCTTGTTCAACCCTCAGACTCGATCATTCGTGCCGAGCAACGCTAATAGCCGCACAGGAGGTCGGCCTGGTCGGAAAAAGCCCTCCCCACCTTCGAGCCAAAATCGTGTCAACCCCAGCGGTCGAGCGTTTGGCGTTGACGCTCTCACAGTCGGTGCATCGCAACAGCCACCTCGAGGTTTTCTCAACAATTCGGCGTCTCCGAGGCCTAAGGAGGACTCTCTGCAGCAAAAGTATGGAGCCCCATCACACTTGCCCAAAAAGCCCCCGCCTTCTCAGGTTTCGTCCGCATTCGATGTCGACAGCATCATTAATAATGGTGCCACGCCTGGTAGTGGTCCCCTGGTGGTCAATGGAGGAAGCAGTGGATCCAACTAGAAAACGGTACAAGCGTGAGCGACTGGGGCTGGTTGTCGGTCGGGAGACATTTCGAATTGAGGCGTGTGATTTGTACCAGCATTTGGCAGGAACGGATGGAACGGACAGATCTGGGGGAGCAAAACGGCGTTTGTTTGTTTGGAGTAGCGGACACATCATCATCGACAAGCACAAAAAAGCATCCAATGGCGTGGCATTAAAGCGGATCCCAAAAGGCCCCAAAGACCGAAGGCGATACCCAGAATTCAGGCAAAGGGAAAGTAAAGTGGTGAACCTGGGCCACGTTTATGCATGTAGGAGGCTTTTCGGACCAAAAACTCCATAGTCCCACACACGATTGCAAGCCCAAAACAAAGATTGCTTGCCAGCCTTATAATCAAGGTGTAAAAGAAAAAGTGGAATCAAAAAAGCCATGCAGATTAAATTGGCCTGTAGCTCGTCGTAGCCTGTCCAAGGTTTGACTGCCCTTCATAGTCGCAAGTATGCGTAAGGTACCTAGGTGGCCAATGGTGTATCACTCGGGGGTATGAGGTGTGGATTCATACCGATGAAATTGAAAGATATGACTAGAAACACGTTCTTCGTTTTGTTTTGTGGCTTTCGTCGTTGGGCGCAGAGCCAGTCGAACGAATGAGCGGGTTGTAGCTTATCTGACATGAAGAACGAATAGATCACAAGAATCCCCACGAGAGCGAGCAGGGAGGAGAGACAAAGGCTATACAAAAGCTAACTATATTCGTAGATGATGCATGCAATTCACCATACATTTCGCAAGAAGAAGTATTATGTTCATGATCCATCCTCTATCATCTGTACCCATTTTTACGACTCACAGCACGCACCAGTGCCATTGGTGACTCCATTGGTGTGGCCGTTCGTGTGGCCATTGGGAGCAGGCTTGCCACGGCCTTCGGTGAGAACAGAGGCTAGATTCTTATTGGAGGGGACGTCGATGGCTGGGTTCTCCGAGAAGAAATCAACCGGTTTGATGTGGATTTGGTGGATTTCGACAGGCCTGTGAGAAAATTGACATCGTGTTAGAGACGCCTACCTTGGAATAGGGACTTGGAATGGAAGGGATGCAATGCAACTTACATGACAGGCCAATCCTCGACTCTTGGGTTGTGTGTGAGGCCAAATACGGACCAGAGGACAACGTCTTCGTCGTCGACGTCTTCATTACGCTTGATTGCGTCGGCCACGCCACCCACTTCATCGCGGCTTTGTAGCGTATAGCGGCCGGCGGCGTAGTGTTCACCATCGACGTGTTTGGTCACCCAGAGATGATGTTGAGCGAAAAGAGCTCGGCGGGCTTGAATTGATGTTGGGTCGGCCAGGAGAAGTTGTGTTGGAGAAGGGGTGAATTTATAGCCAACGGGCTTGCCACTAATTGGGTTTTTCTTGTTCTTGTTGACAATCTTGATGATGCGATTATGCTGAGGTGCGGCATCGAGCCACTGACTCTTATCGATGACCTTTTGCCGAATCTCGTAGTAATTGCCATAGGGGTTGGTCTCTTTGCTAATTGGGGCTGGGTGGGATTCCTCCGCAATGACAGTGTTGTTGTAGCCGTCGATGGCAGGGTCGATACGAACACAGAAGACGTGTTGATGATTCTGAGCCAGGACACCCGGGGAGACAACGTTACCATACGAACTGGTCTTTCCGGGGTCGATGTTCACAACGGAGACGATGCCTGTTGCTCGTGTCTCGATGTTGATTCCGCCAGCCTGGTCAAACTTGTAGGCGAATACGTATTCGTAATTTGCAAGGGTGATGATGAACTGGACGACCAACTCGCGAGACCGAGTGACGACTGCTCGACCAGTCCGCCAGTTGGTATGTTTCCAGCCAATGCCATTGTCTTGTTCATGGAGACAAACGACGTTTGGTGATGGCTGTGCGGTGCCATCTGGGCCGATCTTGACACCGTCGAAGTACTACGAAAAGAAAATGTCAGCAAATGATGTCTTGGGACAGACTTGCACATCGACCAAAACTTACCTTGATCACACCCAAACAGTCGCAGCCCAAAGACAAGTTGTTGGCGCAATTTCCGGCGCCACCGTCACCGAAGTCAAAGGCCTGCTTTCGAGGGAAGACGCTTCTAGGATCCGCATAAGGAACGGTCTAACAATACGATTAGTATCTCATGGTCATCATGGTTGATTGTTCGCATACCATTTCGCTGATACCCATGCGGTACATGACGCTCCGTCCCCCGTAGTAGACATCATGAATCGTTGCACCTTCTCGCGGATTGAAGCCAACGCGAAATCGCCAATTTTGCCATTCGATCAAAGAGCCGTCTACGGAAAAAGAGGGACCGTCGGGCTGTGATACATTGAGCGCCTTGAGGTCTTGTCGAGTACCGTTGGGGAGCAACTCTGGGACGTATTCGGAAGTTTTGCAGTGGTCGATGATTTTTTTGGAGTGGGTCTTTGCATTGAGAGCATCACCTTTGCCTCCTGTTGCGAGACGATCAATCCTGATAAGTTTCTTCATGGCGGCATCCATAACCGGGATGAAAGGTAAAGGATAAGCATAAAAATTTGAGTCGGCATTGCCTGAACGAGTGTCGCGGGCAAAGCACAATCCTTGGAAGTATCTTCGATTTTCTTCCTCGGGGAGGGGACCACCGTATGGCCATGGTTCAACAATAACTTCGAAGCCCTCTGGCAGTTCAAACTCGGCGATTACGTCTTTGAACTCCTGAGATGCGTAACATACATCCACAAGGGTGCCAAACTCGGCACTGGAGGAGGGTAAGAAAATGCTGAGTGATGACTCAAGGGCGACTTACAGTGTCAAACCAGCATGATGAACCTTGTCATCAACTGTGGCGTGCTTGACTCGTGTTCCCTTCTCTAGGTCGACCACGGCTTCGTTAAAGAGTGGGACGCCATCTTTTCCAATGGTATCATATTGGACTAGAGCTGTCCGGGCAGGGCGAGGAGCATCCTTTCCAGCATGCTCCGCGGTCAAGAACTCGATCAATTGCTTCTTAGGAGGTTCTTCCAAATAGATCTCACGAAAGTTGATCACATTGTTGGGGTGAAGACCAGCAACGATATCGCGAGCCGTGTTGGTCTCACTAGCAGTAAGAATGTCAAGAGGGTGAGGAGCCATGACGATAGGACAGCAAGCAAGATGGTAGGTAAAGAATGGAAGATAGATATCAAGATGCTTGGAACATACGGATGATCATCATTTATATAGGTTCATCTCACTTACCTGTTTCAGAGGAACAAGCAATACTGATGCTGATGGTGGCCATAGCAGCGAATCAAACACGTATTGGAGTAGAGCATCTGTCACAAAGCGACCAATGAGATATTGTTGCGACCCTCGGAGGAGTGGGTGAGGAGTCCTGTCTTGAAGAATCTCGGCGTCAACTCGCTGACTGAAGCTCTGGTCGGTTGGAGATACTTGATGAAGTTTAGCCAAATCACGTGACTGGATCGCTCTGGTTGGTCTACACGCCTTCGACATGGAGAAGTGCGCATATGTCTCTGTTTGACCAACTTGAGCCGCTAGCAACCGGTGGTGCTCATGCAGATAACAGACACAACAATTTCATATGGTTATCGAGCACTGTCTACAGGCCACGCGTATTACTAAAAAGAATGCCGTAAAGAGAGTGTCGAAAGCTACTAGCACTTAGAATGATACCAACGTTGTGAGGCCGAGGACATTTGAGGAACGCTCCTTCCAGACATGCGCAAAGGAAGGAACGACCTGTAGATAGGAGACATTCACAATGGGAAGGAACCACGGCCGCGCCTTCCCCTCCCAAAGGCTTAAGCTTCATTCAACGTCGACTTCTCTCGTCCTCTTCAACACAATTAACACAATCAACACAATCAACGCGCGAGTCTTATTTTCGGGCGATCATCATTCTCCGAGTCACTACTTACTGTCCTAATCCATGCCCTTGGCGGAATAAAGGTCGAGGATCTTCCCATTCGGGCAACAGAAGACGGGACTTGCCCCTCTGCACACTCCTTAACAATTTGTTCTCATTGGCTACTTTGCCCTTCTGAACGGAATCTTGCCGCTTACCCCAGATTCCTTCATTGTTCACAAGCACTCGTGGCACTCCAAGTTAGCATCCAGGCTTCCGCTCCCACACCGTCAATAGCACTTGCTTGAACTATCCTTTCCAGATTGTGGTCCTGTCGGGGTCGTCATAGCCTGGAACTCTACCCAGAAGAGCCACGTTTTCCAGTAACTCCTCGACCGTCTTTGGCCTATCATAGCGAACGAGCAAACCAGGAATCCGGGGAATCTTTGATTAGACTTCCAAAATGGATGCGTCGAGCCCCAGAGAAGGACCAAATCCATTGCAACGTTGAAAGGGCCGGGATTCGTGTCATTCAAGGGCTTTATATTTCACGATTTCCTGGCTGGTTCACCGCCATCTTGTCAGTCGATTCCTGATTGCCTCCCCAAGAATCAATACATACTCTACCATGATGGCTGACACCAAAGTCAAGGAATACCATGGCTCTGAGGATATGCCGACCCCAGTGGCGCCAATACAGAGGCAAGCGCTCGACGACGAGCAACTCCTAGCTGCTCTCGGTCACAAACAAGAGTTGAGAAGAGAATTCTCCATCTGGTCGCTAGGATCCTTGTGCCTTTGCTTGATGGCTACTTGGGAGGCTCTCTCCACTGTGGTTGCCCCAGCTTTGATCAGCGGAGGCGCCCCTTGTCTTTTCTACAACTAGTGAGCACCATTCCGTATAATCTCGTCGTCCTCCCCTTTCTCATCTTCTCTTTCAGCATCATTTCCTTCCTGGGTACCGTCGCCGTTGGCATAAGCCTCGGAGAGATTGCTTCCATCTGGCCAACCGCTGGAGGACAGTATCATTGGGTGGCGGTTCTCTCCCCGCCAAAGTCACGAGTGGTTGCATCTTGGTTCACTGGCTGGATCTCAATTGGCGGCCAAATCGTCCTGACCGCTTCTGCTGCTTTCGCAGGAGGTCTTCAATTTCAGGCACTTATTACTCTCAATCACCCAGACACATATGTACCTCAAAGATGGCAGGGAATGCTCTTCTATTGGCTTGTCATCGCCTACAGCACGGCCGTTAACATATGGGGCATGAGAATTCTCCCCCACACCAATCTAGCCTCTGGAGTGCTGCACATCGTCGGTTTCATCGTTGTCACGGTCGTCGTCGGGGTCATGTCGGACAAGCATTCAGCACACTATGTTTTTGTCGAAGTCTCCAATTCTAGTGGCTGGAGTAGTGATGGGATTGCCTGGCTCGTTGGTCTCTTGAGCTCGGTTTACCCCTTCCTTGGGTCAGTACACATCTTCTCTGAACACTTCGGTAGTGCCCAAACACTAATATCTGGCTTAGTTATGACGCTGCCGCCCATCTTTCAGAAGAATTACCATCGCCATCGAGGAACGTGCCTTTGGCCATGGTTGGCTCAATCGTCGCTAATGGCATCATTGGCTTCATCTATTGTCTGGTGCTCTTATTTTCTCTCGGAGACCTGACCACTCTTTTAGAAACACCAACTGGATTTCCCTTCATGCAGCTGTTCCTCAACGTCACTAAGTCGTCGGCAGCAGCCACCATTATGACCCTGATCATCTGTCTCATTGCCACAGCCGCCAATGCCGCCGGCTTGACCTCGACAAGTCGAACGTTTTGGGCATTTGCAAGAGACGATGCGGCACCGTTCTCAAAGTTCTTCTCCCACGTCGACCCCAAATTGGAAGTCCCGATTCGGATGGTGGTCCTGGTTGCTATCCTACAAGCCCTTCTCGGGTTTATTTACCTCGGGAACACAACGGCGTTCAACGCGATTTTATCCATGGCCATCATTGGGATGTATCTCTCGTACATACTTCCAATTGCCTACATGCTGTTTTGTGGACGGAAAAGTCTCGCACCCAGCCAGTACGGACCATTCAGGCTCGGGAAAATTGGTGGAGTCGTGGCTAACGTTATTGCGTGCCTCTGGCTCATATTCGCCATAATTTTCAGTACATTTCCCAACTTTCAACCAGTGACGGCTGAAAACATGAATTATAGCACTGTGGTGCTTGCTGGCTGGGTTCTTGCAGGTGCTTGCTTTTACTTTTTCTACGGAAGGAAAGTGTACAGTGGGCCCGTTTTTGAGACTGAGATATTGTCTGTGGTGCAGTCCAAAAGTACATGATGTTGTGCTCTGAGGGAATATTGAGCAATTCCCTGTCTGCACATAGTATATCAGTATATCATTCACTCTAATATTGAATCGAAGGACCGCGGACATCACGATGAGGACGTTAGTCACATAAGCCGCGCCGCTTTGAAAAGCACTCATCCCCCTCTCACCTTCGCACTCATCTCGCTCACCTTGTCTATATGAGTCTCGTTGTTGCTGGATAGCTTTTCCACCAGGTTAGTATTATTTTAGTTTTATACATAAATCTAAAATAGATGTTAGGTCAAGGTGCCTTAGAATGGTACTCTTGTTTGAAGTCGATGAGCTAACCTTTCTAATCGGCGCTCCAGGACGTTAAGAGTCCTTGAATTCATCATTAGCAACCCCTAATAAAAGCTTATGCCAAATTCGTGTAGGGGCTTTTGATTCACATGGCTGGTGAGCCACAGTTTAGGTAGTAAATCGTCCTTGTGCGAATACTCCCTATCCGTACCTAGTCAAGCCCGTCAGGGGGGGGCCGAGGGGGGCTACGAAGTTGCCACCAGGCGCCCATCACCTCTTCCGAATCGGGTGTGAGTTCGGTGCAATTTTTAAACTCATCTTGGCTTTGGCATGACAGTCAAGCATTTTGTGCTACCGCCGCTATTGCAAAGCGCTGCTGTCCAATCCCACCACACCCCATCTTGGCACCATCAAAGACAAGAAAATCTGGCCGTCGAATCCCGATCCATGCTGATGGTCAGTGCTGAACGCCATCAAGTCTGGAACCTGAAACCATGAACTCTCGATCGAACCCAATTCGATGGTTGCTCGCCAGGCGGGACGCCATGGCCATCACAAGCCGGCTCAACGCCACAACAAAATGGCGCTCAAAGGACCACGACGTTTATTTCAGCTTCTTCTCCAAAGCGACACCTAACGAAAACTCGTATCTTCCTGAACGTACCAGGTATTCATTCCACTAATGATGCAGTTCAATTGTCGACCCCGATCCGACTAGCCCATGGAGAAGTCCGATTTCTCGCCGGTAATTGATAACCTGCAATCGCCTCTGAGCTTCACCAACACGCTCACTTCAGTCCGGAGCCGGCGAGACTTGCCATCACTTCGGCAGCCATATCGACATTCAGTCTCAGCAGACCAATTCACTGCCTCACGGACAGTCAGAGAGTTCAAGCCACACCGACAGCGATGGCGACTGTTCGCTCAAGGGTTTCGACAGTGGTTTATCACCGTACTTCTATGCGGTCTGCTGGCAGCATGTCTGGGCATATTTGGCCGTCTGCTCTTCATGACGGTGCCACAGATCAAGGCGTTCAACGCCCTGATCGTCCTCCTGTCCATGTTTCTGGGTAATAACCTCACTAGTTCGTTCCGAGAGATGGCCATGTTGTTGCGCTGGAGGATTCTCAGCACCACTTACCGCGGTCTCAACGAGTTTGACCTCATCATGCACTGCGAGAGTCTCCGCAAAGTTATTCGGCTGGCCTACGTCGCCAGGACGAAAGGGCAGCCGTGGCTCTGGCTGAACAAAACCCAGGTCTTGTGTCTGACCTGGATTGCAGTCAATGTGGTGTTGCAGGTTCTGATCGCGTTGCTGGGGCTGACATACAACCTTGATACGTCCAGTTATCCAGCCCGCAAGTTCGGCGAGATCAGCATCGCCAACTTCACCATCATCCGTGACGTCTGGGGATCGGAAACATCCTCTATGAGCGCCCAGTTCGGCTCGGCCAACTCCTACGGCATTCAGGGGCAGGATTATCTTTATGTGGACATTCCGCCGCCAGGCCAAGGCAATATTCCCAGCTACGGCAAGCCAGGGACCCCGACCATCTACGCTAATGAAGAATATACGACTATGACCTACATTTTTCAAGATTTGAACATCCAGCGGCCCGATATTAGCCTGCTCTCACATCGAAATGTTTCGGTGAATGCAAGCTGTATTTCTCTTCCTATTTTGGAAGGCGGGAACGGAAGTAGCTCCATATTCACATATCTTGACGAAGACGATCAACGGCAGACACTTGACGTGGTACGGACTGGGCTAGGTGCCACGACATATGTTGGAATTCTCAACGTAACGTGTGGACCGCGTTGCGCCGAGATCTGGGTCCTGCAGAGCTCCAACGGTGATACTATACCCAAGCCATCCTTTTTCAAATGCCAGAATACCATGACGCCGATGCTCGGAATCCAAGAATATCTCATAGGCAACGCAACAGAAGAACTATATCAAATCCCCGAGACACAGGCCCGTATCTTGGCGGGCAGTATTGGCTGGACGGGGTTCAACTACACGCCGGGTGATCAGTACCAATATGTGCGGTATACAACCGACTCGTGGTGGAGCCCGAATTCGCCTTCGGATGCGGACAGGGTGGGCAAGAACATTATGGAATACAGTATTGGGGCGGTGGCGGCGTTCGACTACAATGGGCCTCGCAGTAATGTGTCTGGCTGGTATCCGGTTCCGGCACAGAATGTCGATATCCAATGGCGATGGTCGGCTGCAATCCTCGGAGTGGTCCCATTCATCCATCTGATGGTCCTCGTCTGTGTGATACTCTGGGGCAACTCGTCCATTATTCGTGATGCGAGTTGTCTCAGCACCGCCAAGCTCCTCGGTCCCATTGTGGCCAAGCTTGGGGAGAATGGCTGTCTACTGACTGGTGAAGAGATTGCCCAAGAGCTGTCAGAAGTTCGGATCAAATATGGTTGGAAAGAGCCCGACAATGGGCTAGTGTTTCGCAATGAGATTGACCCTACTGTTGTTCGCCACGTGGGAATTTTGGAGGAATTCGAAGGTTATGGCTCTCAGGGCTCCATGCCACCAGGTCGGTACGATGGTTCGGGTATCGAGGAAGAGAGAAAAAATATTGATATCCACGATGAAGATGGGAGCAGTTCGTCTTCCGTCGCATGTAACTCTACTGTCATTCACCGCCGTAAAACGAGACGGTCCGTGAGCATATGATAGCGCCTGTATGTCAAATAGAAAAATTGACTTTTGACTATCCATTCAACCTATGTGGGTTGGGATCGGCAGCATACGCTCCAGTAGTCGGGAGCTTCTGAGGCTTCGTTACCAGCACCTAGACCGAACATAAGGCTGATGACCTGGCAAGAAATGATTGGCGATGCCGAGCTCTTAGCTTTGGCGAGTGGTGACGAGGTCTCGATCGAGGAATTCTATAGGTGTCTACTGCCCGCACCTTTGAGCCTTTGACCCCTTTACTGACCTCACGACTACCGAGAAGCTGTCCTTTTGAAGCACGATTGTGTCAAACTGCGGATCGAAATATCAGAGCCTTCCTAGGATCTACATACTTGATAGGTCATATTCAATTTGGAAATTATTGGGTCAAAGGATTTTTAGCCGAAATAGGTCGACCTCGTTTCCAGACATGATACAGTGATATCCTATGTCGTGGCTGCGAGCGAATGCGAGGTCGAACCAGATGATGGACGTGCGATACCTTCTCACACATTGATGTCAAGGACAAGAGACCCATTGTGATCAGACAGGGGCACTCGAAATCTCATACAATAAACAATTCAGAGTAACGAGTAGTCTTGGAGTTGTCATCTCAAATAATTTCGGGCAGGATCAAACGCGAGACGCGCCTCGAACCAACCAGAGACGGAATGATTTCATGTTCTCGAATTCGCACGCAATGAATAGGCGATATCGATAGAGCTGATAACATGTCATGCACACACCAGTGCGAGGTTTCGCTACAAGTTTTTGAGTCAAGAGGCAAGGCTAGCAAGGAGACATGCATCCGTGATCTGCATCAGTGAACTGGAGCCTGGAGGTGGCTGATGACACTACGGAGTACTATTGACTCCAGGACTCCATCTCGAGGAGTCTTTTCCTGGGACGAAATGGTGATCACTATTGATGTCCAAGGACCCCTGGAAGATTGGATTTGCCAGGGCGGAACTGCTGTCCCGGGCCGGCCCCTCGGCCCCTGGCCTTTAATGGAGCTACTCGTAGGTAATAAGTGGTAAGGTAGCTAGCACTCGGAAACTACAGTACTGAACCAGTGAACCTCAGCCTTGGAAGCTCGTGTTTATGGGCGAGCTCGACTAGAACGAGTAAGCAATCAGACAAAAGGGGAAAATTAAGTATATGCATGAGTGATGCGTTGCCACGTTTCCAAACTTTGACGTCAAAGGTCGGACAATGATAGGAACCATACAGCACTGAGATTGTAGCCATAGGTGAACCCTTGGGCGTTCTGACGGTGAGTTCTCAAGCCACTTCAGCCTCGTTGGGGGTTGGAACAACACCAGTTAAGGGCCGAGGGGGCTTTGCAAGTACTCCGTAGTAAAAGAGTGGATGTCGCTCCAAAGTTTGAGCCCTCCAGCGCCTGGACAGCCTGAGGCGCCCAAGAGCCTAACGGTCCCCAACTGGAGCTTGCCTATTTGCCCCGCTAATAGCTCCCGGCGGCAGTACCCAAGCCGCCACGCCAGCCAAATTTAAAGCTCGTCCACTTGATCCCCAGAATCTCTCCTCCACCAACCAATTCTCACTCATGCCCATCTCGGCTTCATCAAGCGAAACCTGGTTTCTCATCACCTCATGATTCTCCTCCCTCCTCTCGTATCCTTTGGTGCGACCCATCTCAGCCCCCATCAGGATCACCTTGGTCAGTCTTTGTTACTGGCCACTGTTCACTTGCCAGAGTCATGACCACTGATCTTGGAGCCCTCTCTTCCTCACCGACTCCTTCGCCCTCATCTCGTCCGTAGTCCAAGAAGACGACCTCGCACATGTGGGTTAAAAATAAACAAAGCACCAGCAGATCCCGTGGTTCGGATTCAATCACCGCAGCACACGTTCCCGCAGATTGGCACAGCATGGCCTTTCGGTAAAAAGATTCAGGCCAATTGTCAATCAAACCCTCCTGAAACCCCTGCTCTGACCTTACCCATCCCCTGGCTAGCTCGACCATCTAGTCTCTCTCCTCCACGGAAACTAACCCACATATTCTCAGTCCACTTAACTCGAAAGTTGTTCTACCGAGTAACCACGACCTCGCTTCAACTCTACGATCCAAACTTCAGGGTCATCATGTCCCAAAAGGTAAGTCTAGGGTGCTGGTGGCTTGTCTCATCACCAATCTTGCAGAGCGATCCTGGTTGCATTGCCTCGTCTGGCCTTCATCGTCGCCCAAACGCCCGACCCACTTGATGCATCAACTCAAAAATCGCCTCGCTCGCACAATGAGAGGAGGTACGAGAGGTAAGGACGCTTTCCTACCCATGAGTGTGGATAGCGTCACCTTGTACACGCAAGGTGATGACCCTCATCCTCCCGTTGCGGCATTTCCCTGTTTTCTTTGATCCGCAGTATCCATACATCTTCTCAAGTGAAGCCGTTATTCTCTCCGATTGAAGCTCCCCTTCTTCCGAGTCCTGCTTGCTTTGACGTCAGGGCGTAACCTTTGGCAGGCCTGTTCATGTCCTGAAAACGGCCAGACGACCAGCGTGGGGAGCGCTGTCTCAACCTTCTCCATCATAACGTCCACACTTGAAGATGCATCCATATTATATCGTCGCACTCTCCTTCCTGACAGCCGCATTGCCCGGCCTCTCGGCTGCTCAGGATGGCTCAGCATTGCGGCGACGACAGAATGTCAGCTCCGACTCTGAATTCCCCGACTTGACCTCAAATACCCCGGCTCCTTCCACGGTTTCTTCAGCTTCGCCAACTGCTACCACTACCCAGGGTAACGATGAGACTTCATCAACACAAACGTCTGCTTCAAGTATAGCCCCACCCTCTGCGGCTCAGTCAACAGCCTCGCGATCCCTGTCTGCGGGTGCTGCATCGTCCACTGAGACACGAGAAGAGGGTCCAGGTCAGGACAACAATACATTGCCATTGGAACCGAGGATCACACCAGCTCTGGGAATTGCTGGCGTATTACTCATCGCCTTGGGAGGCGTGTATGCTCTGGTCGGAGTCAAGAGCAGGTGGCTACAGATTTTCCTGTCCAGCGGCTTCTTGGCCAGTATTGCAACCACTGCGCTAGTGGATTATGTCATGAAGCCCCCAGTCAGCGATGCTATACAAGGTGGCTTCTTTGTCGCAATTGTCATGACAGGGGCTGTGTTTGGTGCCGGCGCTCTCGTCTTCAAGGAATTTACTGAAGGACTTGGTTGCTTATTGGGCGGCTTCACCTTGAGCATGTGGTTGCTCACCCTCCGCCCTGGAGGCTTGATCCAAAGCCAGGGGGGGAAAGGTGCTTTTATTGGCATCTTTTGCTTTGTTGCCTGGGCCCTTTCCTTCACCTCATACACCCGCCCATACGCCTTGATTGGCTCAACCGCATTCAGCGGCGCCACAGCCTTCACCCTCGGAATCGACTGCTTCACGAGGGTTGGAATGAAGGAGTTTTGGTTCTACCTCTGGGAATTGAATGACAACCTCTTTGCCCTCGATGTTGAGACATATCCCTTGACGAGGGGCATGCGGGTGGAAATTGTCGTCATTGTGATTGGTACCATCATTGGCATCCTTTCGCAGATCAAATTGTGGAAGGTCGTTCGTTCCAAAGAGAAAGAGACTGAGGCTCAGGAGGCGGAAAATGCCAGACAGAGCGAAGCCATTGGGGCTGTGTTGGGCCGACATCTACAAAGACACAACGACCGTGAAAAATTGCAGTGGGAACGCTTACACGGCGATAGGCTGCAAAGTCAACGAAATACCATCATGTGGAAGAATGCACCATTGGATAAGCGTTATTCTTCAGTCTCCGTGCTGGAAGTCTCGGGTGTAGGCCACGATTCACCGCAGGCAAGAGACCTGGAGATGAATGCCCTTGGCCCAAGTCGGGTTCCTTCTACCTATTCGATGAAAAGGAAGCACCAGAGCACCACAACAATCGACATTATCGAAGAAGTCGAAGAAGATCCCAGGACAGTGGCGGAAACCCAACATCATCAAAGAGCTCTTCGCGCACTGGAACGAGTAGAAGAGACATCCGAAGATAGGAGGAGTGTACAGCGGAGAAGCCAGGCACACAACGATGCTTCTGGTGCAGTCTGCAACCATACGCAGTCGAAGTCGGCCCAAGCAGAAGACAGCCATAATGGCAATGTTTCCACCTTGAGACGCAAGTCTCAACAATCATTGAAGAGGCTATCGGCACATCTATCCCCGCCTTACGTGGCTGATGATGCATCTGACTCCCGAGAACAGTTGATCGAGAGTGAGCGTCCATACAGTCGTGCATCATCGGTGGCAGCTACTATGGATGAAGAGGATGAAAGTGTTCTAGCAGCCGGATTAGCGGACCAAGAGGAGACGACAACCTCTGGACTAGCAATTGTGGTTACCCCGCCGGCCTCAAGCGAAGGTGAAACGCGGGAGTCGAACAAGGGAACAGACACATTCTCCTCGGACGTATTAGGGCCGGAATCGGAACCAGCCACCAGTTCCTCCCAAGCGGGAGAGAAGGCAACAGGGTCAGATGTGATCCAGAAAGATGGTCCACAATCACAGCTTTCGAATGAAAGCCAGAGTACTTCGGAAATCCTGACCGCTGATGCGCTTTCGCAAGTGCCCACACACTTGTCAAATGTCGTTTTGTCTTATAGGACCAACGAATGGGCGAAGCACATCGCAGAAGCAGACGTGCCCTTGTATGAGGAGCCAGAGACAATCCAGGCTAGTGATGTGGAAGCGCCGACCCAGCTGGCAAACGCGACAGCGCCATCAGGGTCGAGAATTGACGAGAACCAACCTGCGGTCGATGTGCCTCCGGCAGAACCACTGCCATCTACTGTCACAGCCGGAGGATCCGGGGTTGGCATAGCCGTGCAACCCACAACAAGTCAGCGGTCCCTTCCAAGGGCAGAAGCACGTCGAAGTGTGACCAAGGCACCAAGTCGACCAAATTCGATGCAATCGCTTAAACTACCAGGTCACCGAGGCAGCCGAACAAGCTTCCATCCGGGCTCTACGACATCGCTAGTGACGACACCGATTGATGAGAATGTACCCACCGAGTTCACGGCACCCAGAGGATTTAATCGACGGTCATCTACTTCACCTTACATGCTGCCCAAGCGACATTCTTCCGCTGGATCACTTCCCTTGACGAGCTTCGGCCGTCCGCACAGTGCACATCTAGGCAATAATGTACGACTCAGCGGCGCCTATGACGGTTCTCAGTATAGGACGACGAGCCAGGAGAACCTTCAATCCTCATCACTAGTGCAAGGGGTTCGTCGTGACTCGTACAACTCGCGCCTCCCCGCGGAAAGAAATCTAGCGAACGAAGCCCAGAAACGAAAATCATTGTTGGCGGACTGGCGACTGTCACAGCAACAAGGAGCATCGAGCAGCAATCTTATGAGCAAAGCCATGGACATGAGCCGAGCGCAGATGCGGGCAGATAAGGAGAATCAAAAGATTCAGCAGGAATATGATCAGACGGCACAGCAAAGAAAGCAATACGCCATCGATCAAGTCATGAGAAGACCGGATATGCAAGACCTTCATCGTGAGGCCATGCGCCGGATGCAAGCAAGTGCAAACGAAAAGTTGAGGAGTTCAACAAGGTGATTCGTGTTTGAGAATGGCGCTATGCATTTGAAGCAGGATGAGGGAAACAGCATCTTCTGGAAGCATCTTCTTGGAGACATCAGCAACTGGAAAGCAAAGACGGAGTCTGTCATTTCGGTTGCACACAGAGAAGGCTACATGCATGGCCTGCAAGGGATTCTAATCTCATCACAAGATGATGGACGGCGCACAGCAAATTTCTGGTAACGAGACGTAGTAGATCATGATACCCAGGGCATTTAAAAGACAGTGTGGTGTTAGAGTAATATGATAAGGATATTCTAACTTCTTGCCTTTTATTTTCAGAGAACGGATTGAGAGCAATCGTGGTAGAAGAACTGGGGGTGAGTATGGTATCCTAATGATCTATCAGATGTGGTTTTATGAGATCCCTTCCTGGTAATCGTTCCGAGTGGGGAGCAATATGATTGGAGGAAACCCAACACCAGCCCGAAAAGCTGCGAAGTTGTCCAAAAATTGACACGACCAATTTGGGAGACCTTGAACTCACCACTCTCAATCCTTCCACTTCTGCCTCTACTATCTGAGTCTCAGTATCTCCCAGCTCAGGGACCTTGACGCCACGGCATCTCAGCATTTCTTCTGTCACAACCAGCAACCCTTTGTGAGCTAGGGCGTCGAGCAAATTAGCACGACCTACCTCCTGCATTGTTGAACCTCGAGACCTGGAGCTGGCTGCAGGATCGAGATCAACCTAGGGATTAGCTGTGTGGTCTTGATCCAATTCAAACACCTGTTCATCACAGTGCAACGCAGAGGAAGAGGCGCACGAAGTTCACCCGCCTTCATCTTCAACATTCTCCTTCCCTTACCTCACTACTATCAACCCTCTTCTATCCTCAAACATATAGACAATGGCGATCAAATATCGGCACTTGTCACGGTCATCAGCCCACCGACAGGCTCTGCTCCGCAACCTGGTAACGGCGCTGATTGAACACGAAGCGATCTCGACATCATTTGCCAAAGCCAAAGAAGCACAACGACTAGCGGAGAAGCTGATTACCCTGGGGAAGAAAAACACCGGCGCGGCCAAAAACAAAGCACAGCAGATTTTCTATGTAAGACAAAACCCAGAACAAAACCCCCTTGCTCCGAGTCGCTCGACCGCAACGCACGCTGACCCAAGGATTTCTCACCCTCACAGGAACCACACAAACACATGGACAAACTCTTCGGTCCCCTCCGATTACGCTACGAATCCCGTCCCGGAGGATACACACGGGTTCTGAAACAAGAACCCACCGAGAAAGACAACGCCCCGTCCGCCATCCTCTGCCTCGTCGACGGACCCCGCGACATCCGCTTCGACATGACCGTCCGAGCCATCGCACGGGAACAAGCGTTAGAAATGCCCATGCGCGAAATGACCGCCGCCAACGTGCGCAAAGTCACTCGTTTCCGGCCCGACGGTATCGATGTCCTCGAACAAGCAGTCAAAGACTTTGCAACACACAAGAACGCTGGTACACTTGATCGGCCGGCCACGGCGACGAAACCGGATGTTCTTCGCTACGGCAAAGATAAATATGGAAGCTTGAAAGATCAGAATGAAAAGGATGAGGAGTGGGATGAGGATGCGGCTGATGAGGATGATGATGCGTGGGAGGATATTCCAACCGTGCCGGAGACGGTGGATCGGGAGGCTTTGAAATATGCCGCGGAGAGGAAAATCTCGGGCTTGCGTGTGGGCGGAAGTCGGAAGGCGCGTAGAGCGGCGTATAAGAGGAGGTTGGATCGGATGAATTCGTTGTCTTCTTCTTCTTCTTGAGAAAGGGAAGGAAAGAAAAGAAAAGAAAGATCTAGTACTTGCGGGCTTGGGATTGGATCAGGCCTTGACTACCGTACAGCGGGTCTCCATCTTGATCTCGATCCCGAACCCTATGTCACAATACCCTCTAGTTGATATACATACCTACTTGTGTACCGCGGCTTAGCTGTAAAATAAGAACCAAAATCTGTCATATTTTGCCATGGTCGTGTGGTGTGGTGTATAGAAAAAGATATTCCTGCTCATGAACTACTCCCCATGACTTGCATCTATATCCATCCATATCCTTAGATTTGAACATGATATACAAGAAGATTCAAACAAGACTCCCTCATAATTCAAAATCAGATATTTCTTCATTTCGTTTCTTTTATATCTATCAATGACTCATGATTCATGATCTACTCTACATGATGATGTTGTCTCAAATCCACATCTTCATCATGATATTGGTCGCGCACAACCCGATAAAGATATCCGCTCGAAACCACCGCCGGAACTTGATTCGTCACGAACAAATCAACCTGACCTGGCTCGACGAAATCAAACAAAGGATTTCTTGGCCCTTGAACCAAACCACTCCTCAACTCCTCGTCCTGGTACGGAACAACTTTATTGGCGTCTGTATATTCCATCAGAGTATAAGGGTCGTATGCGTGAACAGGACTGAGTTTGAATGTTGCGGCCAGAACCAAAACAGGCACACGGTGGAATTGTGCGGCTTTGATGACGGATTTAGTGCCCGCAGTGGCGACGATGGCGCCATTGGTGAGAACGGCGTGAGCGTCGAGAATTACCTTGTTGGCGCGTGACATGACGGCGAAGATGGCGGAGTCAGGGACGAGGATGACTTGAATGCCCGCCGAGGTTAGGGGTTTGGAGAATGAATCGTTGGGGAGGTTGTCTTCGTCTTGGGAAGATATTTCCTGGTTGCCCATGATTTGAGCGTGGGTCTTATTGTGGTTGTTGGGATATGCTTCAACATGGATTAAGGTGAATTTTCTTTTGGAAGCGGCTTTGAGAAGGAACCGTTGCACGGTCAGGCTGGAAGAGTAGGTTAAGATTGTTTCGTGAGGGTGGATCTGTTCGAGAGCGGCGGCTGAAATTTCGTCGTCGGCAGCTGAGATCTCGTCCACGATTTCTTTGATACCTTTGATGACTTCGGGGCGCAGGTTGGATAGGTGGCCACTGGAGGTCATTTGTGGTGTTGCGGTTCCTGAGCGATTGCTGTGAGGAGAATCGATTCCGCCAAAGCGCATGGTCGGGTGGGAGATGATGCTGAACATTGAGGTGACCGCTGGTCGAGTGAGACCCTGACCGCCAGTGAGTGTAGTCGTTAAGGCCGGTCTTGCAGATGTGACTCTAGGGGAGGGAGATGTGCCGGCTGCGAATGCGCTTAATGTGCCTGAATGGGGGATCATGCGCGAAGAGGGTTGCTCAAGTGGTGTCACGGCCTCAGAGGCGGGATCACTGCCGTAACCAGGGCTGTTAAGCCTAGAAGCAGCTTGGTCGTCTTCATCCTCATCGCGAATGATGCCCAGTACCCGACGGACAATATTTCCCACCGCGGGTTCGTGTGGCGCGGCATCGATGAGCTGTAATCCAACTTCAGTCACCCGCTGGATCAATCGAGCGGAATCGGCTTGTTTTGTGAGTTCGACGGTACGAAGGAGAAGGATTGTGGTAGCAACGGCGCATCGTTTAGAACCTTTGATCTGGCGTCGTTTGAGGAGACTATGGACGAGTCAGAGAACAGAACAGCGATAGACAGATGGGGGAGACCAACGAAACCAGGTATTCTATTGAAGACTCGAGAGGTTCTGTAGAGAGGTGTGTTTGAAAGGTGGCAAAGCCTGGAGAGATCGAGGGCGCAGAGGGCGCCATGACGACGTACGACGTCCGTCAGGCAGGCGAGTCTCGAGGGGCAGTGTCCGGGAAGAGGTTTCGTGGTCAGGTTTTATATATGGTGTGATTTCGTGAAATCTAGAGTTACAGTCAAGACTATCGCTGGATCAAGGGACGTCGAATCGATTCTATTGGAAATGAAGATCGAATTGCGGTGGATTGATGCATGGAGTGTTGGTATGGCGATTCTAGAGGTGCCGTGAGTCTGATCGTGGTTTCGGTGTTTACAAGCCGCAGTCAGGGCAAAGAAAAATGAACGTTTTATGGAGTCGTGAAATATGAGATGTGGTGATTGGTACCTGACTTGGTGGAAGCAAAGAAGTGGGTTGCAGGATGGTGGAATTGTGGAGTAAAAGCTGCTTGACGCTTGACAAATCTAGTTAGGGCTTCGGGCATCCTTACAGGCACCTGATCGCCCAAGACTTCAATGACATAGGCTCTCGAGAAACCCGGAACCAGTCCGCCAACACCAAAGTCAAGCCTACTGATGTCAACTCTGGGGGGAAGCCCCTCGGCGTTGATGTCGCTCGTGGTCTTGTTCCTCGTTCAAATTGCCCAGCTATTGCATCAAGATTCGCGTGCTGGTGGCAGACTCCGGACGGAATTAGCGCCCGTGCTGCCATTCTCAAGCCCGGAACATATTGAATACCTAATGTACCTACCTAGGTACATACAAGCGCGCCCGGCCACACCCACACTTTCTTACCCAACACTCAGCACTCAACACCCACTCACTCTCTACTCACGCCCGCCCTCGTCATAAACTCTCGTACCACTCCGGAACACCGACCACGTCTTCCTCCACATTTTGACACCTCCCAGCTTCCTGCCGCCTCCATCACTACCAATCCTTTACCAGTCTTTGCATCTTCAAGCTGTTTTTGTTCATTTGAATTCCTCGTTTGACCGACGTGCCCACTCGCTGCGTCGGTGCAAAGCTGTCGCCTGCTGCGGTGTCATTCATCTCCCCCTCCCACTCTCGTTCAAACCCGCTTTCTTAGCTCTCACGTCTCGCCATGCCATCGTAATTCAAGAATTGACACATCGCGCACCGGCTCATCTGCCGCAGTCTCACCTCACTCTCGCCTCGTCAACCACTTCTCTCTTCTGCGCCCTTGTACCGACCACCTGGGTGCAGAGAGATGAATTCCCTCAACCTCATCTCTTCACGGGTCATAGGTCAATCCCCACCACCTCGATCGCGGTCCAGATCTTCCGGCGATTTGTTGAGTAAGGAGTTTATCGACGAGTCAGTCCGAGGAAGAACATACAGTGCGGAGCATGTGCCCACTCTCAGCGAGAAGCTCCAGTCTCGTGAATCCGACTTGAAGAGAACCAGTCCCTCTGAAGAGTCGCAGTTTGAGGATCAAGATGATGAGAAGGCGCCTTTGCTGGCTGCGGACGAACAAAGTGCTCTGTCTGAATGGGACAGTGGCTGGAGACGGATCGTCAAAAGCATAGCCGATGCTATCACTGCTCTTCTTGCCGCCATAGGAGCGCCCGTCTTTTATATTGCAAAGTGCTTTAGAGACAAAGATGGCAAGTTCAGTCTGGTGCCTCAGTCGCCCCCACGCGATCGCGCGACCTTGGGTGGTCCACGGACGGCTATTGGTGTCCCTTCCTCGACTCACGATGGACAACTCTCAGAGAAGCGAACGGCTGGATCTGCACACATCAAGCTGAACCATTCTTACTCCAGCGACTCGCTTACTTCGCTGGGTTCCGAATCGGACACAGATCCTCGTAAAACAAAGCAAGGCAGTGGAGCCAAAGTAAAATCAGAGGCTCCCCGGGAAGAGTCTGAGACTCGAAGGTCTTCGATCAGGATCAAAGAACAAAGTGAGGCAGTCAAAAGACGCAAGCAAAAGAAGTCAACCAGTCCTTTGGCTGACAACGTGCCCTTGACGGTGGACAATATTAAATCACCCACGTCGCCATCTTCCTCACTGCGCATCACCCGCTATCCACATGCACCACAACCACCTCGACCATTGACTCCGCGGCGCCAACCATCATACTCGAACCTCATTCCACGGTCGCCGTCACGTATGGGACAGTCCTATCAACAAAAGACCCTCATCCTCGACCTCGACGAAACCCTGATTCATTCGCTGGCCAAAGGTGGGCGCATGTCCTCGGGGCATATGGTGGAAGTCAAGTTAAACGCACCTGTGGCATTGACTGCGCCTCTGCCCGGCCAGGCAACCCCTGTTCTCGGAGCTCACCACCCCATTCTATATTATGTCCACAAACGGCCCTTCTGCGATGAATTCCTTCGAAAGGTGTCCAAGTGGTACAAGTTGGTCGTCTTTACAGCCTCGGTACAAGAATACGCTGATCCAGTGGTGGACTGGCTTGAGGTCGAACGCAAATACTTTGCCGCGCGGTACTACCGTCAGCACTGTACATTCCGTAACGGAGCATACATCAAAGATCTGAGCAGCATCGAGCCTGATTTGAGCAAGGTCATTATTCTGGACAATAGTCCGGTCAGTTATATTTTCCACGAGGGTAAGTGACATGCTGGCAGAGACGAATGTTATGGTGCTGACACGCGTCTATCAGACAATGCAATTCCAATCGAGGGATGGATCAATGATCCTACGGACAATGATCTACTTCATCTGATACCCATGTTAGAGGCATTGCAGTACACGACCGACGTAAGAGCCCTCTTGGCATTGAGACGTGGAGAGGCAGAGGAGAATTCCCAACACAATTAGATACCCATCTAGAAGGCTACAACGGAGGATCAACTCCGGGTGAACGAGGATATGTTACCATGCAAAGATATAATGCATACTATGTTGTGGGAGACGATTCTGTCACGTGATGTCATACTGTCATACCTCTACTTATCCTCGGGCGTCGTTGGGGTTGCTGCCGACTTGCCGATGTCTCTGAATGCATAAGGAAGTCAGCCAGTTGTGCCAGTGTCACCCACCCCCCCCCCTCCCCAGGCACCAACCAATGTTTCCCTTCCCAAGACTCTGCCCCAGGCAGTATTGGCATCCCTTATGATTGGTTTATAGGCACGATTTCGACTATTGGTGCTGCCGATCCCCATGCCTCGGTGGACCGAGGGCGTCGATTAACAAATCGGTTAGTTCGATTCTCAATCGGCCAGGGGGTTCGGCGCCCTTTGATCCCCAGACCCTCGAACACTTTGGGCCTTGGGGCCCCTCGGCCTTGGGCTCCATGTGTTCAACCGCTAAGGTCATCATCATCTCTATCTTTCTTGTGTATACTCATTGTTTGATTATTTCTTCTTCATTCTGTCTCTTCCGCACGCTCCGGCCTTTGACCACATCTTCGAATTCAAAGAAGGCTTCGCTTCCATTTTTAACCTTTATAGCCATAAATCAAGCGAGATTTCCCATCGTTATCGATACGCACGCACGGACACACTCGTAACACTGGAAAGTGGGTGACGTCTGTCAGCACGGTCACTGTCCCTCCAAAGAGTCAGCCTCAATTCAATCATTGGAATGGCATATTATGTCGGAACAATCTACCGACGCTCATGATGGTCTTGAAACATCAACTTTGATAGACACCAACGTCGTCTCTTCGGCATCCAGCTCAAAATCTCCATCGCCCTCAACTCCCTCCAACAGTCAATCCCCTCCATTATCGCACAAGTCCAACATCGACACTCCCGCATTCCACCCACCTTCTCGCCCCTCGCTCGACAGTACCAATTCAGAACTATCCGAGTTATCCATTCATTCCAACGAGTTTCAAACCTCCCATCCATTGATTCGAAGCGCTTCTCACGATGCTGCTCCTCCTCCTCCACCCTCCTCCCTCACCACTCGTCCACGTCTCCGGTCTGCTCTGCACTCTTTCTATGTCGCCAATTATGGTGCCATGCTCGTCTTAGTCTCCCAGATCTTTGGAGCGGGTATGAATATCGCCACCAGGCTACTCGAGACTCCTGGTGGCCATGGCGAGCCTATGCATCCATTCCAGATCCTGTTCGCTCGGCAATCCATCACCGCCTTTCTTTGCACCACCTACGGCATCTACACCAAAGCAGTGCCTCATTTCCCCTTTGGAGCTCGCGAGGTTCGCTGGCTGCTCGTCATTCGAGGGCTCTGCGGCTTCTTTGGCGTCTTCGGCCTATACTTCAGTCTGCTCTACCTTCCACTCAGTGAAGCAACGGTTCTGACCTTTCTCGGGCCCATCTTGACCTGTTATCTATGCAGCTTTGTCATCCCAGGCCAAACTTTTACTAAACAGCAACAATTGGCGAGTTTTGTCAGTTTGGTTGGAGTCATCTTCATCGCACAGCCCGCTTCAATCTTCAAGGCCATCACCTCGGACGCTTCTTCTTCTTCACCTCCTCCTTCTCCAACTTCGCCCACAGACGGCTTCACCACCTCAGCAAACTCGACTCAGACAGATTCAGGAGGGCCCCAGTCACCCACGTCAGAGGAGCACCTCAAAGCCATCGGCATCGCCATGATAGGGGTCCTCGGCGCAACTGGAGCTCTTACCAGCATTCGTGCCATTGGCAAGCGTGCCCACGCATTCATCAGCATCAATTATTTCAGTGTGTGGTGCTCAATCGTCTCCCTAGTTGCCTTGATCGTCTTTCCTGATGTAAAGTTTCGATTCCCTGGCAATATCACCGAATGGGCTTTACTTCTGAGCCTGGGGGTGTGTGGATTTTGCATGCAGTTTTTGCTGACCGCCGGCTTGGCCTATGGAGGAGCACGATTGAAAGGAGACTCGGGCGGTGTAAGGCCACCGTTCAGGGACATTGAGGCTAACGATACTACAATTCCCACTTCTGCGTCGACTCCAGACCGTCGTCTGAGTACCGAGATCGACTCACAAGGACGAAAATCTGCCAGTCAGCCCAAGCCGAGCTCTTCCGGGACAAGAGCAACCAGCATGGTGTATACACAGATGCTGTTTGCATTAGCCGGAGACAAGTTTGTCTTTGGCGTGACTCCTGGCACCATGAGCTGGATTGGAAGTGTACTGATTCTGGCCGGCGCGGTGTGGGTGGCAAGTGCTCGAGACAAAGACGAGAAGCCAGCCCGTGTTAGTGGCAACCGCTCAAGGAGTCCACATCCGGCACCCAGGCAGTCATCCAAGCATGCAGACACGGCGACTGTTGAAGAGGCGGAGAATCTCGAGTCAACCGGCTTGCTCTATGATGTGGATGAGGATGATGGTTTCGAGCAGCAGGCTGTTCAAGGGTCACGGCGGGACGGCCACGGCCCGGTGGAGAGTGTCGAGTTAAGAGACATGCGATCTTGAATCACTTTTGAGCAGGGGGCTCGAGACTTGAAGAGTACCAGCTGTGAAAGATAATCCTTGGATGGACAGGACAGTTAAGGAACGCGCAGGTGTTCAGGTGTTGATGTGTTAGATGAGAATCACGCTATGATGAAAAGGCACGCACTATACACGTTTTACTATGGGACTTGGATGATTTAAACTCCTAGACTAGGATTCCAGGGTCTGCATGAATTAGACGAATATCAAGGAAATGAAAGAATGAGAAATGTTGCTTTGGAAATAATCGCATGCGGTCTTTCCTTGGTTCTCCCCTCGTCCTTCCTGACACATGGAAATAAATATCAATATTTTATCCTTTAAAAGTATATGAAGATTCCTTACCTATCGCCTATTTCATAACGCCATTAAGCCTATGGTGGAAAAGATATAGGACCAGCCTCGATCCAGACCCCCAATCGTAATTCGGCGGCTAATGCGGTTGCCATCATGAAGCTTTTTGTCCTTGATTAACGGACGTCATGATTTCCAAGGTTTTAGGATGGTCAATCCAGTGTCACCACATCACGATATACAAAAACAATTAACTTAAGATTAAGCATGCAGCCAACGCAGTCCATGGCCTACATGCTCTCTCTCTTTCAAGACGTACGGGAAAGAAATCACCTCCTCCCCTTTCCCACACCCTCCCTCCAGAGACAGCAATGACATGGGAGGTCTCAAGATTCACCGACTTCTGGACAAGCAAGTGCAAGTCGTGCTATTCAGCTCGACTGCCATTGCTCTCTATGGCTATGATCAAGGTACTCCATGTCCTGTCCCTATACAACATCTACCAAGTCCACTTAAATTCCAGTGAACTAACCACCACGGTCACTCTATAGGTATGATGTCTCTCATCAACACCAACCAATCCTATCTCTCGACCATGGGCATCTCCAAGGAGTCGCCGCTCGTTGGGGTCATTGTCTCGGTGTATTACATTGGCTGTGCTGGAGGGGCAGTCGTAGCCTCATGGTTCGCAGATAGAAACGGTCGTCGACCAGGTATCTTCGCCTGTCTGACCACAGCCACTTTCGGCAACCTCCTCATGTTTGTCGCGGGGCTTGGTGAGCTAGGACACAATACCAAGGTCTCATTAGGTACAATGTTGGCTGGGAGGATCATCATGGGTCTGGGAGTTGGTGAGTGAACCCTTGAATATCACATCATTAGTGTTTATCCCACATTTGCCCCGTCCATCCCAAATCAACTGCCCACCAACCACATCGTGCCAACCACATATATCACAGGAGGAATCGACGCCGTCGTCCCCGTATACAGCAGCGAACTATCTAACGACGACGCCCGAGGCGTGGCTCTCGCTCAAGAATTCCAAGCCAACATCCTGGGTCTCAACATGGCCTTCATCGTCAACCTAGTAGCCACACACCAACTGGGCAAATCGTCCCAATGGGCTTGGAGAATTCCCATCATCGTTATGCAGACCTACTCGGCCATCCTCTTCGCGGGAGCTAATCTCCTCCCAGAGACACCTCGCTGGCTCGTCATGCACGACAAGCATGAAAAAGCAAAGAAAGCAATCGCCAGAGCCTTTGGATCAGACCAGGTCGAGAGCAGGATAACAGACCTCACGGATGCGCATGAGCAGGAGCAGAAAGATGGTTCTGTCTCTTACGGAGACATGTTGTGGCCGTCAGGGTCTCAGTTTCATCCTACATTCATCACCGTCATGGGACAGGTTAACCAGGCTTTGACGGGGTATGGGGCAGTTTCGGTCTATGGTACGTTATCCATTGTCGTTGACATTCATATCCTAAACACTATTCTGTTTCTACTCTGTTGCTGGCCTGGACGTGTACCATTTCCCTCAACTGAACGGAATCACAGGCCCTCAAATCTTCCAACTCCTACACTTCTCCACCACCACATCCGAGTTCCTCACTTTGGGAAACTACCTCCTCTACCTCCTCAGCATGACCATCACCTGGCTCGTCATCGACCGACTAGGGCGCCGGCGCCTCATGCTCCTCGGCTCAACCACCCTCTCCATCTCATTCACATTACTAACCATTCTCGCCGGCCTCGCCTACCACTCCCCTTCCCTCCACATCTCCCCTTTACCACCCGGCATCCCGGGTATAATCCTCCTTTACATCGCAACATCCATCTTCGGAATAACCTGGCTTGTTCCTCCATGGCTCATCCCCACTGAAATCTACCCTTCCACGGCACGAGCACAAGGAGCCGCTATTAGTGTCGTGGTATGGGGATTAGCAAACTTTGCTGTCACGTTGTTGACTCCGATTGGATTTAATTCGCTCGAGTATTTTTTGTTGTTGGTTTTCGCGGCTACGAATCTCATGGCGGGGGCACTGACGTGGGCGTTTTGTCCGGAGACGGGGAGGCGTTCGTTTGAGGAGAATCAAGAGTTTTTCAAGGAGGCCAAGGATGAGAAGGGGGGTACTTGGTTTGTGAGGGCGGTGAAGAAGGGGGAGTTTGGTTATTTGCCTTCTACGGATGGTCGTGGCGATGGGCGGGATCAAGAGGACGACGACAACAACGATGAGGATGATTGTGGTGATCGTGGTGAAACAAGACCATTGCTTGGATCCTCTTCCCATTAGAGTCGACATGCTATCTAGTGCTTCGTAAACGGAGACACTCTGAAGTGTCCCAAGAGACGAAAACCTGATTCTGTCATATGGGAATGTGATTCAAGGCCATATGGATCTATTGAGACCAAGCCAGAAGAACAAACATCGATCGATCGTGTGTGATTCGAGAAGGCATTGAGGCATTGACTACCTGTCTAGTCTAGCCATCAAATATGTATGTACGTAACCCATCCGCCGGAGCATTTGACCGACCTACAGGCCCGATATGCAATACAGGCCTATCTCTTGTCCACAACAACAAGAACAACAACTATTCCCATGTTCATGGAACAAATACTATGCAGCTAATCCAAAGGATTTAATTCACTCTTCTTCATGAACCACCCGCCATTCCGTCACATCTTCCCTGATTCCCAATACGCGATCCTTCCGTGCCATAGAATGCATGCCAACGAATGGAACCGCTGAATCGCAAGACACGGATGTGACATGACTTGACATGTTCTCAGTCAAGACTAGGAAACTCAAGATCTCTCAATGAGAGCCTCGAGTTCAGCGGCGATTTTCTGGAGTTCGGCCTTGAGTTGGGCAGCCTTCTCGCTAATGTAATCACCGGTGGTGCTGCCGAGACCGTTGTCGACGGTGTAGCCACCATCTTCGATGATCTGGGTGTAGTTGGAGCTTCCGCCACCGTTCCATGCGAGGAGATTGGCAGTGTCGGCCGGAACGTTACTCAGGGCACCTTCCGTGGCGATGGAGATGATGTTAGCCTTGAGCTTCTTGGGGGTGATCTCAGCGACGGCATAAGCGGAGTCGCTTGAGGGTTGCAGAGACAGGTAGTAGGCGAGAAGACCAGCAATGTGAGGAGAGGCCATTGAGGTTCCGGAGATGACGTTGGTGGCATAGTTGCTGCCGATCCAGGTGGACAGAATGTTCAAGCCGGGAGCAAAGATGTCGTTGCAGGTTCCGAAGTTGGAGAAATATGCGCGCTCGTCGGACAAGGTGGAGGCACCGACGGTGACAGCATTCTCAGCAGCAGCGGGAGAGTAGTTGCAAGAATCGGCGTTGTCGTTGCCGGCAGCAACAGCGAAATGAAGACCGGCATCAACAGCGGCATTGACTGCGAGATCGAGGAGTCTGGATTTGCCACCTCCCAAGCTCATGTTGGCAACGCTGCCCTTGAAGCCCTTCTTCTTGCCCTTTTTAGCGGCGGAGATGCTTTCGGCGTGAGCATTGGCGGCCCATTCAACACCCTTGACGACATCAGACATGGTACCGGATCCGTTAGACTTCAAGACCTTGACGGCGTAGATGCTGGCCTTCTTGGCAACGCCAAACTTCTTTCCAGCAACAGTGCCGGAGCAATGAGTCCCGTGGCCGTTTCCATCAACATCTTCATCGTTGGCAGGGATGGTCTTGCCCCAGCTGGCACGGCCTTCAAAGTCAACGTGATCAACGTTGGTACCAGTGTCAATGATGTAGGCATCAACACCCTCGCCACCGTTGTCGGAATAGAGGTATTTATTAAAACTTCCAAAGTTCAGAGAATCCCGGTGTGAGATACGAGCGAGACCCCAAGGGGCGTTCTTCTCGAGGGAAGGAGAGGTGTCTTTCTTAAGAGTATGGACTTCTGAGTCACGTTCAACGTACTCGACCTGAAGGAGCACGTGAGTAATTGCACATTGATCAGAGTGTTCAGATGAGTCGATAAGATAGACAAACACATTCAGATGTTGAATACGATGCAGACTATTGCTGCATCGATGAAAACACCGACACATGTTGAGGTAATTGATGGGAATTGGGCTTTGTTGGGATGATCATGTGTAACTTACATCTGGGTGCATGCGAACTTGCTCAATGACTTCGGGGTCGAAATGACCAGCATAACCCATGACACTTCCAGCAATGTTGTAGGTGTGCTTCAAGCCAGTGTAGTTGATGGCATCTTCAAGAGTAAGGCCTCGTTTCCGTAGCTCCTGCTTGCGGATGGTGGATGACAAGTGGATGTCATCGATCCAGGCTTGATGTTGGAGAGCACCCTTTTGAGAGACATGCTTCTTGAAGACTACCATGTAGGAATCAGGGATTTCCTTTGCATTTGTAGAGGAGATGATGGGAGCAGCTTCATTGTGGATGGTGTCAACAAAGACCGGCGAGCCTGCCGCCAGGAGTGGGAGGAGGGTTAGGCCGAGGAAGCCCTTCATGGTGAGGGTTGGGAAGTGGGAGGCGTGAGGGTAGGAGATGGAAACCAGAGGGCTGCTTGTTCAAATGAGAAGATGAACAAAGCAATCAAACAAGGAAGAATGGATGAATTGATGAGGGATGAAGGAGATGATGGGGAAGGAAGGATAAGAGTAGACGAAGTAGGCAGATAGATAGATACGACTGACGACTGATGACCGAAGGCCGGCGAGACGAGACCAGAGAGAGGCGGGATGACTACAGTCCAACTGCTGGTTGCGTTGCTCCGACAGGCCACTGCTTAGTGGGAATGGAGAATGGCGATAGGTGGGAGGCGGATGATGCGTTCGCTGGGGTCAGAGTTGGTCACTGGGCTTGGTCACAACCGACGCCTGTTTCCTTGGGGCGGATGGGGCTACAAAGGGCAAGATAGAAGGGAACCTAGGGTCTCAATGGGCTTTCACAGCTCCCGATCAGCGTCATTCCTGGTTGCTAGTGGCCCTGTCGTCTCACTAGTGAAGGGGCAATTGTGGGTTATCTTGTTGTCACCGCCACGGGAACCCCCACAGACCGATAGGGCACATGACATGGACATGTCCTCAATCAAGAAGCTTCGGGCTCTGGGGATTGAATGCTGTCGTGAGCACGTTCAATCGACCTTCCACTACAATAAACCCACTGAATAGGTTTGAGATAGATGCTTATTCAAAAGCTCTGTGCAGGTCGTTCGTTGTCACAGCATTTGTCTCGCCCACCCGACCTCCCCCCAGGGTCATGGGTCTCATGTTTGCTGGGGCGGGGGGCTGATGCCTGTAGGCTGCCGAGTTACCAGCCACCTCGCCGCTTTCGCACTTGGCCAGGTAGCCACTAGCAACATGGCTGAGCCACATATTCGATAATTACCTAGTTGAGCGAAGGACATCAATAATTGACACCACTAAATGGATGTATGTGAGAAGACCATGACGAGCACATTAATGATGGTGTCATCTGGCCTGCTCAGCACCTAGAAACAGATATACTCTTAGAGTACATACGGAGTAATAGCTACATAGTAAAAAAGGCCGGAAGAAACACCCGTCTTGAAGCTCATCCTGGCCCCAGGTGCTCGAATCCAGTGCACGTGACAATGAGATACCGTTCGTCTTTACTCCGTAGGCACACCTGGCATCTTCACTCTTCACTGATGAGCGGATTGTGGCGTAACACTTCTCCACACCGGCACTGCTACCGTCTGGTCACCAAAGAAAGTGTCTTGGAACTACCATGAGAAATGTACACTTCCATCCCCCGTCACTCCGTGTGACTATAGATGCGGTGGAATATTATAGCAGATATGATCATCGACAACAATATCAAGAGGGGTTGGTCTCATGGTTTATCTGCTTATATTAGTATTATGATACCTCCAATCTGAATGTTTGGGTCAGTGACGCAGTGGCCGAAGCATCCACATTCTGTAGTTGCGATCCGCAAGTTCCATCCTTAGTACAGTCAGCGTCGATACATTTGCTGAATGCCAAACCTATTCTTACCTCCAGTTGTCACCAGTTCGTTGTGATCTTTCTCCCTTGACAATCCGCATACTTGTTGTTCCCTCCATTATCTCTCGCCCTGACATTTGCCTTGTGGTGCTACGGAGGGCACCGTGCTTTCGCCATAATCCTCTCGAGATATCCACGCGCAGCCTACCATCCTCCCCCCCCCCCCGATCCTGATAAGCTTGTCGTTGTAGCGGGTCGACGACTCCATGATACCCTCGATCGTGGATTAGCATACGGCAGGAATCCGTATGCAGTCAAGCAACTACCATCCGATGCGTGGAGTTTAGACAAGAGGTGGTGCAGCCAAAATGCGCATCGCCGGTCACCCCCGTTCGCGGGCTGTCTCTACTGCCGACATCCTTCGGCCTCAAGATAAAGAGACTTCGATCCTGGTCAGGACGTTAGATTCCATCGATCGCAGTTCCTACGATGCCCTAGACGCGAGCCTCCAGCGTTCCACATGCCTACAACAACTGCGACATTTTCTCAAGGATGACGTTCAGGCCTACGCCGCCCACAGCGGCTTTCGGAGGGCAGGTGGCTTTCAGGCCCTGCTCCGCTTGATTCGGACGTTGATCGATATCTTTGTCGCTCAAGGGAACCCCATGAGCAATGTCAAAACCTGCCTACAGACCCTCTCCCAGTGGTTTGCCGTTTTGGGGGCTGCTCTGGAAGGCCATGAAGGCAATCAGAAATACTTTCGGACAAAAGTGGACGATGGAGGGTGGAAGTCTTTGCAAACAACACTCGACAAACTCTTGACTATTTTATGGGCCAACATTGATGACGTCCAGCATCTTGAACATTTCTTTGGCATACTTCTGGCCACAGCTTCTGGCGTCGACATGATAGACGACATCTTTACCGCCGCGGAAAAGGCAGCACCTACCGCGGACAAGAACTACTCAACCGTCGAAAATGTTGCCTTGGTGCGTGGAGTGGTTGAGAAATCCCTTGCTGGTATTGATGGCCTTGTTGTTCCAGAGATGTTAACGTTGACACTGGAACTCTGGAAATCTGGCTTGGAAACAGATCGACTTCCAGCGAGATCGATCCGTCTCGCCCTACCCATTGCCCTGATTCAACTTCTGTCCGTCTCGAGGCACAACATAGTCGCGGCCCATACTGCTGGTGCTTTTAGTGCCATCATTCGACTCATCTTCGATGATAGGTTACCTGCTATCGAACGGTCTCTCTTCAAAGAGGTTGCCCTCCTGCTCTGTCAGCAGGGTGTTTCGAGTCTCGCCGATGCCCAATATCTCTTCACACATGCCAGCCTGACTTCTGAGGCTGCTGCATTTCTCCTCGAAGCCATCAAGATTTCACGTCAACCTCCTAGCGTGCAATTTGATCTTTCCCAACAGGGCTATGCTTCTGCCGAACTCGCCACGCTTGGACGGCCTTTCCCTCCTGTCGATACTGCAGGCTACACCCTGAGTCTCTGGGCCCGCTTCGACTCATTCGACCCGAATGCTCATACTACACTTTTCGGTGCATTCGACCGTACTCAGACCTGTTTTGTCCTTGCCTACCTAGAGCGAGACTCACATCACCTCATCCTTCAGACCGCCATGCAAGGAAGCAGACCAAGTGTGAGGTTCAAGTGTGTTGCATTTCAACCTGATAGATGGTATCATCTTTGCATAATTCACAGGCGCCCCAAAACAACTACTGCATCCCGTGCCTACCTTTTCATCGACGGTGACTTTGTCGAACAGCAGAAAGCAAACTACCCAATACCCCCTCCGACTCAAGGTGGCGAATCAAATGTCAAAATACAAGCTTTCTTCGGTACACCCCAGGATCTATCTCCCAGTTCGTCGGCATTCACATGCTCATCGAAATGGTCCTTGGGTTCTGCAGTCCTCTTTCGGGACGTCATGAGTGACGATTTGGTGGCTGTTTGTTATCATCTCGGTCCAAAATATCATGGTAATTTTCAAGACTGCTTGGGTTCCTTTCAAACATATGAAGCATCTGCTGCTCTGAATCTTCGGAACGAGTTGCTCCACCGTGGCAAAGAGGACCGATCCGATCTAATGCTCGCAATCCGCCAAAAGGCGAGCAATCTAATTCGCGAAGATAAGGTCCTGATCAATGTCTCCCCTGCTTCCACGCTTGATAATGATGATCGCAATGCAATCGACGAGGGGCAACTGGTCAAATGTCTTTCTAAACTAGCCGCGAAGAACCTCATTGCATATACTCGGTCAGGGACCAATGCTGTGGCGATCAATGGAGCAGTCCCATCCATCAATGATGCCCTCACGCAAGCTCGAGGTGTTTTCATGCTGATGGGTGATCCCACCATCACAGCCCCGCAGTCTCTGGATGATGCAAGCTGGCGCCTTGGTGGCTGCGGCTCCATCGGACTCGGTCTCCTCCATCGCGCAAAAACCACAGAAGATCTTGCCCTTACATTTGATATTGTTTTGGAAACCGTCAGACATAGCTGGAGGAACAGCGAGGTCATGGAACGAGAAAGCGGATACACGATCCTCGCAATGCTCCTCAAAGAGAAGCTGATGGGCACCGTGCAGGGTAACGGCGACGGATCCAAAGCATCGCTTGTAATTCCTACCCCCAGGCTCGATAAGAACGGTCTGATTCTACGAGTCCTACAATCACTACTATTGTTCATCGGCTATGACTCCTCATCCCCTTCAAGGGCAGTCATCAACAACCCATTGGCTTACAAGGTTTTGCTCGTCGACACCAACATCTGGAGATCCGGCCCAAGCGATGTGCAAAAGCTCTATTTCGATCAATTCCGGGTGTTTGCAGAACAGAGCGACTACAAGCAGTTCAATGTCAAAAGACTGTTGCGGATGCGCATCCTGAAACGAATCATGGAATCTCTAAAATCAGAACCCATTCAGAAGTCGGTCATACCCATGTACATGGATACTCTGAAAATATTACTGCCGCACTCTCTAAATGCCGAAATCCTACGCTCTTTCGCGCTATTCATCACATTCTCCGTTAATAAGAGAAACGTCGGCTTCCAAGCTCGTAAGTCAACGAGAAGGGACGTCAGGCAAAGGAGCTCCTCAAACGGGTCGACAAATAGTGCAAAGGAGGAAGCCTCTACTCATTTGACGCATTTCGAGATTGGCGTTGAAGTCCTGCGACTCTACTCTGACCTGTTATGTCAAAAGGGCGACGATGCCATAATCAAAAAATTCGCCAAAACCGTCACAAACAAGTGGCTCCTATATCTGCTTTCGGAGACTTCTCCAGAAGTGGTTGTACTATCAATGAGGATCGTGGCAAGATTGCTAACGGTTCACGGTGAGAGCTATGTTAAAAAGTTTAAGGATGCTTCCAAGACGTCGGGCTTCACGATCATTGCATATCGTTTGAAGCGATGGTGGCACTTACCAGCCTTGTGGCCCACCTGCTTCGCCATTTTGTTCGACTTGGATATTGCCAATCTAGATTTGGACAGAGACTTCGACCTGTTTGGCCTGGTCGACTTGTTTACGGCGAAGAAGGAACTTGCCGTGGTTTTTCCAGAGATCTTTGAGGTCATTATGGCAATGTTACAAAGTGGCCTGAAGACGATTGTGTCTTCCAAAAAGCATGCTCCAAGCTTGACACTGCCAGTCCCTGAGGAGGGCTCTCAAAGTCAAACACCACAAAGACTGTCAATGTCAACAATGGCACCACCAAACCCACTACTCACGATCGTGACAAGTCAGCATGTCGAAACATTCAAAACCGTGGTACAGTTTCTTGCCGATCTACATACAAGGTCCTCCAAGTTCCGCGACTATGCCAATTCCTCGTCCTATATTCAAGACCTACTGGCAGCACTCTTCCCCGTCGTTGTCGGCTCAGACATTGTTGAAGCCAAGACAGAGCTGAATGCACGCGATTCAATGTTGACCTTCGATGGCGGCGATGTCATCATGCAGCCCCTGTCAACAACATCTCCCATAGTCCGCCTAGCTGAGAATGAACTCCCGAGTTCTACAAGCAGAGGCCAAGCATTACGGAGAGGCTCGTCATTCGTTTTGGTAAACCGAAGCCAAACACCCCAAGGCAGTGACATATTAGATCGCAATGGACCCAAGTCTGCTGTTGTCAACATGCCAAACCTCAACGAAGGTCACTCTCTAGTGCAAAGCCTCCTCGAAGTCATCATAGCTGTCTTCAGTGATCAGATTTTCGCGAGGAAGGACTTTCCAGGACTTGGCCTATTCCTCAAGACTCCTCCTGGATTTGTTGAACATCAGTCATACTTTGAGACATGGATCCTTAGGAACACGGTGTCACACTTGTCGAATCACATTGCTTTGAACCAAAGTCTGCTTACAGAACCCCGGGTTTTGACCAATTTAGCACGCCTATTCACTCATTTCGAGGAGGCTCTCGTCGAAGGCTGGTTTATTGGAGGTGCTGATTCAGTACTCGACTTTGCGGGGTCTATATTGGAATATCTCCAGCGACCCGAAATCATGCGGTTGAAGTCGGTGCGACTATGCGCTCAGACCATTTCCGTAATCCAAGGTGTTGTTTTCCGGACGATATTATTAAGCCTTTCTTCGGTCAATGATGACGAGTCGCACGAATTTCTTAACAAGTTGACGTACTGGCAAACTGTACTACTTTCAGCAGAGGAAACACATTCGACGAACCTTCAATTGGTGTGCTATCTACTGTACGCGCATCTGGTCTCAAGCAACGACGCCGTCAGACAGACCAGTGCAAATTTGTGGAGAATTATTCTTGTTCAGAAGCCCGACGAAGCGGCGGCAATATTTGGTCAAACTGATACTACTGAACAGAAAGGACTGGCCGCTGGGTTTGAAAAGGTCGTCGAGTTGGATAATGAGACCTTTTTGTGCTGGGTGGATGAGCATCGTGACCCGCTGGACTCACTCTTCTTCGATACTCTGTCGAAGCAATGGAATACGTTTGTCACAAGCGAAAACAAGCGGACTGAAGAAAATGGAAAGATGCGCATCTCTCGACGTCGGGACAAGGTCAAGCAGTGGGCGCGTGAGGAGGCTGAACGTGATGATCTTATTCGAAGGCATGAGTTGGCTTTTGAAAATTGGACGGCCAATATCTACTCATCCGAGTACCTCAAGCATCAGCGGCTTCTCCAGGATCAACAGGACGACCTTGTGTATACCGAAACCTGCTTTAAGCGCATGCAGCGAGAAATCAGTCGACCTGGAGGCCTTCTTGGTGTTGACAGGCCTCGAAGGTGGCGCCTAGACCAGACCGAAGGCCGAAACAGGATGCGAATGAGAATTCACGAGGATTTTTCGAAAGCCTTGGACGACCAGCAACCTAAACGCAAAGGCTCCGACATGCCACAATTAAAACTCGACACGAAAGGCGCCAGGTTGACAAATACAGCGGCCATTGGGGTGACGCCTGGGGGCATGACACCGACAGCTGACGCCCCAAACAAAGCGGATGAAACAGAGCCGTTCCCCAGCGTTGTCGATAGCCGTGAAGCAGACGATGCATCCGAGGCGCAAGACGGAGAGGATAGCTTCGAACTTGTGGAGGATCCGAATCTCGAAATGGACGACTTTGAAGATAAAAATCGGAAAGTCATGCGAAGTCTTCATCGGGGTGATCAGGTCAAACATGTCGCCAATATCTCTCGGATCCTGGGTCTGGAAGCCGTGGAAGGACTACTGATCCTTGGGAAAGACTACATCTACTTGATTGACAATTTCTTTCAACGTGCTGATGGCGAAATCGTCAACGTTTGGCAGGCTCCGCAGGAGGAACGGGATCCCTATGTTCGCATGATCTCTGGCCGTGACGTGGTGGAACGTAAGCATATTTCGCGGTCTGAAGAGCACGGGACAAGAAGTTGGAAATGGTCAGACATCATCAGCGTTTCAAAAAGACGGTTTTTATTCCGAGATGTGGCCATAGAAATGTTCTTCAGTGACGGGCGAAGCTACTTACTGACAGTCACATCGCCTCCAATCCGGAATGATCTGCACCAGCTCATCAGTGGCAAAGCAACCTCTTCAGCCAGCCTGGGAGGCGCACACTCGGAGAGTGCATGGCGGTACGAAACCCTTCGGAGCGTCGAAGATGAACCACAAACACTGGGGTCTCGGTTTGCTAATGTTTTCAATCACCAAGCGGGCACCTTGGCTGCGACACGGAAATGGCAGAAAGGAGAATTGTCCAATTTTCACTATTTGATGCTGATCAATACGATGGCAGGCCGTACATACAACGACTTGACACAGTACCCGGTGTTTCCATGGGTGATTGCGGACTACACTAGTCAAGAGCTGGATCTCTCAGATCCTAAGAGTTTCCGTGACTTGTCGAAGCCCATGGGTTGTCAGCAACCTGAAAGAGAACAGGAGTTTCGAGAAAGATATCAGACGTTTGCCGAGATGGGAGATAACAACACACCGGCATTCCATTACGGGACACACTATTCATCAGCAATGATAGTGACTTCTTATCTGATTCGGCTCCAGCCTTTTGTCAAGTCATATCTTTTACTGCAGGGCGGGACATTTGATCACCCAGACCGCATGTTCTTTTCTATCGAGGGAGCATGGAAGTCAGCTTCCAAGATGAACATGACCGATGTGCGCGAACTAACGCCAGAGTTCTATTACTTGCCGGAGTTTTTGGTCAACATCAATGAGTATGACTTTGGTACACGACAGAACAGTGGGAACATTGGTAATGTGGAACTTCCACCTTGGGCGAAAGGGGATCCTCGAATCTTCATTGCCAAGCAGCGCGAAGCACTCGAGAGCCCTCATGTCAGCAAGCATCTTCACAAATGGATCGATCTGATCTTCGGAGCTAAACAGAAAGGGGAAGCAGCAATTGAGGCAGTCAATGTTTTCCACTACCTTTCTTATCAGGGTGCCCGAGATCTGGACACGATCACTGATCCGGTGGAACGACTCGCAACAATTGGAATCATTCATAACTTTGGACAAACACCATACCAGGTCTTCACCAAACCTCATCCAGCTCGTGAGCAAGCACGACACAAGTACAAACGGCTTGATACGGCTGCCGAATCATTGACTCGTGTGCCGTCCACTTTGCTCGAAGCGGAGGAAAAGGTGGCCTCGTTAAGCTTCTCCTGGAAGACGGATCGATTGTTGTGCTCGGGGGCATTCCGAATAAACATGCCACCCAACTACGACACGTATATGGAATGGGGGTTCTCCGATAACAGTGTTCGATTCTACTCCGCGGAGAATCGACGGCAAATTGGCCTCTTTGAGCAGCTACATGTAGGTCAGTTGTCTGGCGCTCTGTTCACGGGTTCGAATACACTCGTGACTGCTGGCACGGATTGTACGATTGGGGTTTGGACAGTGGTGGAGAACAATGGCAAATCGATCGAATTGCATCCTCGGGCCACGCTGTTTGGACACCGAACACCGATCGAAACCCTGGCGATTTCCAACTCTTTCAATGCGTTGTTGTCGGCGTCGAGTGATGGCCAAGTCATTTTATGGGATCTGAACCGGTGTGAATTCATACGCAAACTGGACGATGAACTCGCAGTGAATTGTGCAGCCATCAATGATGTAACGGGCAACATTGTTGTGTGCCACGGTCATCAGATCAGCATGTACACGCTGAACGGAAGCCTGATTCTCCGACAAGACTCTGGTGACCGGTCCCAAGAAGCGATCCTGTCTTGTGCTTGCTATGAGGGGGCTGGGAATGAATGGCTCGAACGAGATCTAGTGTTCACAGGCCACAAATGGGGACAAGTCCGAATCTGGAACAAAGTGGTGAGGGCAGGCAAGTTTGAGCTGGAGCTGATTCGACAATTGAATCATGCGGATGGCAGTCGTGACGACGGAGCGAATGTGACTGCAGGAATCAGTTGCATTCTGCCCATGGCGCAGATGGTTTATACGGGGGATGAGGATGGACGTGTGGTAAGTTTTGACCGAGGCCGAGTGGATTTTCAATTACTAACAAAAATTGAAATTAGTACGAATGGAACTGCGTGCAAAGGCACTGATTTGGAGCATGCTGTGGGGAGGGGTGATGGATCTTGATTGCAGAAAAGTTTGACATAGAGCATAGCGAGGCGCAGAGAGGCAACAACGTCGAGGATATTTTGAAGGCCAGAACGAGACAGAGGCTGGCCCTGCCCCAGCCTTGGACGGCGAGATTTCATAGAAAGGGGAAAATAAAAAGTCACTAGGACGCTGGATGGAATAGGCGTCAGAAAGATAAAGAAAACCAGAAATCACCGTCGGTCGTGAGCTACACTATGCTGCGTTGTTAAAAGTAGATGGCAGAGTTTGAGATCGACAAGATCGACGGGCACGAGCATGACGAGGATCAATCTAAGCAAGGGTTCGTGCCATTGCGGGTCCGAGCTGCTGGAACCTTTTTGTTTGACGTCAAACGGCAACGTGGAGCATTTCGGAGGGCGAATGGATCATTATTGTGCATATGCATCAGTCGGGCATGAAGCTGACACGGCACCTATCGCCTGGCTGGACGATGATAACCGGGCTGGGGGAACACAGCGAGACGGATGGCGGTGCAGAGTGGTTGGGTAGATGATTGTACAGGGAGGGATTTTCACTGGTGCACCAAAGGATTGTAGATACAGGCAGAGTCGAAAGAACGAGGTTGGGACTGGTGACAAAAAGGCCAGACCGCTTGAGTGGCAGACGACCTACCAGTACGGAGTAGACATGAGATGGCATCGATTCCTCTTTGTTGATTTGTTCCATATGCATACGGAGTACACACGCATGAAATTTCTTGTACTCCCGTCTCATACGATCCCTGGCAATGCTGAGAATAAAATAGTCGGAATCATGGCAAAATTATCCTCAAATTCAACCACAGATTAATGAGCCTCGGAAGGTGATGAGACATATTGGAGGGTCGCGCTTGCTGTATCAGGCTTGGTGTGGCCGGAATGGGGGATTTGGGAACTGGATTGCTGGGACAACGGGATTTGTTTGTTGCTGGGTGCTAGTATCTACCCAAATGATTGGTTCTTGGTCAACGCTCTTGCCGATCCACACACCTTCGTCACAAACCCCAGCCTGTGTCGTTCTTTCCCAGGAACGCCAGACCATTTGCCAGTCGCCCCTGCCTTGTCCTTTTAAAAAACGGCCCAAGCTCGTCCTTCTACTCTTCCTCTTCCTCTTTTACCTTTCCTCTCATCTCAAAGCCAAACTGCCCCCCATCGCACGAAAGAACGACTTCTTCAGTCGAATTTCTTGTTTGCATCTCTCTGTCTTGCAGCGTTTGTCTGAAATACCATTACAACCAGCATCGTCAACCATTCAACCGTGTGCTTCCCTTTTTCTTTTTCTCCCCCCCCTTTACCCCCAACCCACAGACAGTCTTGACTCTCGACTGCCGAAAGGGAGAAGAGAGTTAAGGCGCCCTCAAGGTTGACAAGCTGGACTTTGACGCCCGTGTCCCCATCCCATTCAGTGTCTTCCCGTCAACATACAGGAGTGACGCTTCTCAACAGGAAACTACCATCACAAGGGTAGAAGGGGAAGTTCAGCTACCCAACACCTCCTCGCGCGTCGGACGGGAAGATACTCGAATCAGCAAGGAGGACATCGATATCAACTCCAGAGACAACCGTCCACGCCGCGAGCAAGACATTCAGATCCGTCACGAACGTAACCGTCGCACGGAGGTAGAACTATCTCGTGAACAGTAAGTCGACAATCTTGCTCTGTGCGTTCTGTCATTTCCCCAGATTTTCATCCGTGCTCAAACGGTTCGGCTCGATCCTACGCTCGAGCCAGCCTGTTGACGTACGCATGGACATTGCTCTACAAGACGCACGTGGCTAATAATTCGTTCTCTTCTTCAGGCACCGTGCACCAGCCGAGCAGCGCCAGTCTACCAACATCGACATCGACGTCGGCAGCAACAGAGGTCAGACCATCGACCGCAATTTTGAATCCCAGCTCGACATCACCGAGCGAGAATACCGCCGTCGCATTCAGCCAACCTACGACGTGGAAATCGAACGAACTCGTCCAGGCGTCGAAGCCACAATAACAAGGAAGAGTATCACACTCGACAAGCCTAACAGAGGCATGGAAGACGACGACGATCGCCGCAGCTTCCGCCGTGGAGTAGTGCGCGCCGCTGATCGCATCATGCACCCTTTCAGCCACAATCGTCGTGGTGGTGACCGTAATGATGATATTATCATCACTGAAGAACGGACCAGCAGACCTACCAGTGGTGTCGACGAGAACATCCGCTTTGTGGAACCTCGTTTCTCCCGCCGCGGTGTTCCAATTCAGTGCCATTTCATCCGCATTGGAGACATTCTTCTCCTCCAGGGTCGTCCCAGTCAAGTCATTCGCATCACCATGTCATCCCAGACTGGTCAATACCGCTATCTTGGTGTAGATCTCTTCACCCGTCAACTCCACGAAGAGTCATCCTTCGTCAGCAACCCCCAGCCCTCGGTAGTGGTCCAGACCATGTTGGGACCTGTGTTCAAGCAGTATCGTGTTTTGGACATTCGTGAAGATGGCAATATCGTGGCCATGACCGAGACCGGTGACATTAAGCAAAGCATTCCGGTTGTTGACCAGGGAGGATTGTTTAGAAAGATTGAGAGGGCGTTTAACGATGGTCGAGGAAGCGTCAGAGTACTTGTCATCAACCACCGTGGCCAGGAACTGATTGTTGACTTGAAGATCATTCACGGCTCAAGGTTGTAGGCAGGTATGGGGTAGGGCACATGATTGTGGGCAGTGATTTGGGTGTAGTTGGGAAGGGCGATGTGAAGATCACAGATAGCATGTACAGGGACGTGGAGCCCGGTCGGTAGGTAGGAAGTTTAATGAAACGTCTTGATCTCTTATCTCATGGTGTGTGACTTTTCCATTTTGTAGTGTGGCTGCCAATGTAATATCTAATCAATAGTAGATGGTAATGCAAGACATGGAATTACTTATCATGTGTGCCAGTGTGTATATTTGTATATGTACATCTGTTAAGATGCCCTCTACGAAGAGGGTTGTAAACGGAGAGAGATGACCCAGATTATTTCCAAGGCCCCCCGTCATTCACTTCGATTTCGATGAAACATTTTGCTGACGATGTCCAGTCTCAGTTCCCCTCTGATCAATACCACTTCTACAGAAAAGGAGAAAGTAGGAGAGCAGGCCAACATTCTTCCAAATAGCTGACCACATGCCCATAACCTTGACCTTCAAGCTGGATGGCGATACCATCTCATTAGCAGTCCTGTGGTGGCTGTGCTCAAGCTGGCGAGGGTTGAGATACATCCCCCTTTCAGTTCGTATACACACTTATGTCATGGTGCCCATGTGAGTAGGCATGTGTTTTGTGTATGCGTGCATCGAGGCTGCGTGGTACATTGGTACATTGGTGCATGGTGCATGCCCTTCTCTGTGCTCCGTCGTGACGCCTAAGTACGGGGGGGACTGGCGGGCCGAGGGGCGATGGGGGGAATAGTTTTCGTCTGTTGACTCTCCCCGCCGCGGTGTCGCACATTGAGTGCCATGCACAGAAGACACAACACACAACAATGCTAGCATAGCAGACGCCGTGTAGATTTCATCGTAGGACTCCTGTTCTGTTCCTGCATAGAAGTAGGAGACTCGTGAATAGTGATGACCCACTCTCGAAATCCTGTCACCAGGCGGAGGCTGGTTGGTCCGCCCCGCCCCAGGAAGGATCAAGCGCCCCCAGCCGCCCATGTACTCTCCTCTCCGCCTTATGGAAGGATTTCCACTTGTGCATTGCCGCAGAATCCTTCGAGTTCAATATGATATCATCACATCAACCACGATGCAAACATAGCAGAAGCCAGAATAATAGATAACTGAATATAAGTCTTTGGAGAAGTGTCGAGTGACATCGTTGCAGAACTTCTCAATGACTCGGTCGTAAAAATCAATTCGCTTCGAAGTTGCGATGAATTGAAACAATTTGTCTCATTGACTTCAGGTACATCCTCTGGTTCGGCAAAAGTGATGTCGGCACAGTTATACAATCCGGCGCCATGGGCGGCAAGTTCAATGATTTGGATAGTGGCATTGTCGCCTGGTTGAACGTTGACGCCGGCTGGGAGGGGAACTTGAGGAAAACAGAATGTTCCCGGGTACGGATCTCGAGTTGGTCCAATGATTTGTACACCGTTGAGCATGACCAATGATAGATTTTGGGGGATGGTGCCGAGTCCCAAGTTGATGTAGATGAAGGCGGTGGAATGGCCGGTGAACCAGCCTGGTTGGAAGGCAACGGCGCCGCCTTTGACGGGCCATTTGGTGCGGTTGGTTGATATGGGCATGCCGCCACCTGGATTTTTGGTTAGTTGCTGTTGCTGATGATGACGGGGAGTTTGAAAGGTTAGTCAAGGTCGCTAACTCACATGGATACATCCATTGCATGCCATAGGGATAAAGTCGACCGCCGGTTCCAATGTCCAAAACACCCAGTCCTTCAGTGTCATCCACGGTGCCGTTGGAGAATAGGTTGTCGCCTCTCCATGGAGGATATGTGAGGACAGTATGAGCAGAGGCGAAACTGAGCACCAAGGATGCGGCGAGAACTGATTTCCACAACATGATTGACCGTGGCAGGTTTCTCTCGTAGAAAAGCTGAGAGAGTTGATTGATACCGGGTTGAAGCTCGCAGTGGTGGCGGTGAAAAAGGTCAAAAACCGTCGGGTATGGTGGAGGAGGTCAGGCCAACAACATGCAAAAAGGCGTTGTTTCCGTCAATGAACCCAGATTGAACGGAGAGTGAGTGAGCAGTGCTCAACGTTGACCAGGTCGCAGCGGACAAGACGAACAAAGGACGAGATCAAGGTCGGCCGAGGGCAGCATGGTGGAATGGTCAGCCATTAAAGAGGCCATCAGCCATGCAGTTCAGGGAATATGCAAGTAGGCCAACAAGTCAACCAGCATCGAAGCTTGTCAGACGACTCGAGACGCCGTGACTGGACATGTTGATTTCCACCAAGATTCTTAGTGGATATCGGCGAGTGAGGACTGGGGTGAGAAGGCGGCTGCTCGGTGGCACATCTGGCATCTGGTGGATGATTAGAAAATCGAGACCAGGATAGTCGAGAATTGGTTGAGCGAGGCACCGAGCACACGCAGTTGGAACTTGTGACGAAGAGGCAAAGATGCAAGATGATTTGATCAAAGTGGGGTGCGAAGAGGTGGTAAGACGACGAGGGTCGAGCCATGAGTGGGTGGCCGTTGTTGATGGTAAGCTCGCATATGCCTGTCAAGTTGATGGAACTTCATGCGTCGTCTCCATCTGGGCGGCTGCAGAGAGTATGGGGGGAATTGATTGGACTACCATTGAAGCCTGGACGCCAACCAGCTCTCGTTATGTGGTGGTCTTGTAGGGTCTGGTAGGGTCTGGTAGGGGTCTCTCCCAGGTACCAACCAGTTTGGTTCTAGTGGGAGAGATCAAGTGCCATCCACTGTAAGAACCCAAACTGCAGTCTGCTGTAGTCTGCAGACTCTTCGGTTTTTGGCATGAATCAAGTCTGGTTCCGGGAAGCACCGGGCGCCTGATCCTACCGGCTAGAGCCTGTGTGCCTGTGTGCCTGTGAGCCTCCAAAACCATCTGCAGCTCTCACAAACCCCGGAACCCTTGGCAGTTACAGTGTTTAATGCAGGTGGCAGGTTGTCGATGATTTGTTCGTCCAGGGGAATGCAATCAGCGGTTTCCAAGCGCTGACACTCCTCATCCACCGTTAAATGTCTCCATCGCTCTGTCTCGTGTTTAGTGGTCAACATGATTGTTTTCTCATATGTCCAAAGTGCAACCACGAGATATTGACTTTGTCTGAAACAGAGGATCGAGAGCCCAGTAATGTATGATTGTGCCTCAGGTTTTGTTTCCATTGACATGGCTGATCCAGTGATCCAATCAGTCAGCCATTGAGCACGTGGTGATTCTCCAATCTCATCTCTGGTTGAGTGTCAGTCTCTACGGAGTACTTACTCCGTAAGAATCAAAAGTACGCAACCTTGGGCTTTATTATTAATCGGTTAATTTTCGTCCGGAGGCCTCTCCGAGCTTGTTTAGGCTTTACGGAGTGTACCCAGGCGTGCCATGACCAGGCGTGCCCAGGCACTCATGGTCTTTCTTTCCCCACTTCTTTCAAGCCTTGGGGCAATTCGCTTCATGAATCAGCATCGACACCACCACAACCACCACAGCACCTATTGTCAATACGCCTCACCTCAATTCTATATCCATCATTACTTTCTCAAAGTAACCCCAGAAAAGCATCATTTTACATTCATGCACAGCTAGATATATACCTTCTTCAATCCTAATCCAACCTCGTTCCAACCCAGAGTCAAATTGGCTAGAGTAAGCCAGAAACCATGTTCGGACGAATATTCTGCATCACATTGACTCCAATGTCACTTGAACCATCAATATGACAAATGCCAGCGTTTACACCGTCAATCGCATTCCGCACTTTACGTGCAATGCCGCCCTCAAACATCTATATAATCGTAGTTGTAGACTCGTCTGGATGAACCATTCCCAATTCACATTCAACATCCTTTCGCAGCAACTATAAACTTGTACCTGAAAACCACAAGACAAATCCCATCTCATCTACATATAAAATGCCTTCTTACGTCATTACTGGTGCCAATCGAGGCCTTGGGGTAAGTTGACTGTACTCTGTCCTCTGTCCTCTCAAAGACAAGCCTGACATGTTCTATGTAGTACGCCTTTGTGCAAACCGCCGCCAAAGACCCCCAGAACACCATCATTGGACTCGTTCGAAACAAAGTCGAAGCAGATAAAAAGCTCGTTGCTGATGGCTACAAGAATGTCACCTTCCTCCAAGCCGACATCACAGATCGACCAGCCCTGCTAGCGGCACGGGAAGAAGCCAAGAAGATCACTGGAGGTCGCTTGGACTATCTCATCAACAACGCAGCTCTTATTGACAGCGATGAGGGTAAAATTCTCAAGGATTATGCTGATGAAGGCGACGCCTTGGAGGAGAAGTTGCTCAGGACCATCCGCACCAACACCGTCGGATTGATCAACACTATCAACGCCTTCCTCCCTCTCTTACAGTCCGGCTCCAAGGTCTTGTTGATCAGCACGGGCATGGCTGACGCCGACTTGGTCAACTATGGCGGAATTGCCGATGCTCCAGTCTACGCCATTTCCAAGGCCGCTGCCAACATGGTGATTTACAAGTACAATGCCACCTTCAAATCCCAAGGCGTTCTGTTCTTCGCCGTCTCTCCGGGTGTCGTTGCTACCTGGGAGGAAGGCAAGGAACCACCTGCCATCGAAAATCTTCGTGCCACCGCACCCGGCTGGACAGGTCCTCTGACCCCTATTGAATCTGCAACCAAGGTTCTTGGGCTCTTGCATGACTTTTCGCTGGAAAAGGGGAATGGTGGCGCCTTTGTTTCTCACTATGGAAACAAGCAATGGATGTAGACTGTTCAAGATTTGAGACTAACTTTGGTCCTGCCTCCCGACGACAGATGTATAGAGTCTCGTGTATTATATATAATTAATCATTTCAATCGACAATTTGACTATTTGGAGTCTAATGTAGCCTCAGCCTTACCCCACCAGCCTTGTCGGCATTACTTCGGATATATATTTTGAGATTTTGTCCATCATCATCATCATCTACAGCACACTACAGACATGTAGGGTTAGAAGTTGCACATTTGGGTAACTTGCACTTTGACTCCCTCGGCCGACTACCCATGGTAGTACCCTCGGTACTATCATGAAAGCGATCAACTAAATCCCGGCGGACCGATCCAGCGCACGTCTCAATGGCAACGAGATTCCTCCCCGCCGGCCACACTCCCCTCTAATACATCCTTCCCTCTCGCCCTCCGTCGCCTTTGCTTTCAACGCCACGGCACGCGACACGTCATGCCTCACACCAGCCACAAGAAGAAGACTAAGAAAAGGCATGTCACCGTAGATGAAGACGGATGGACAAAAGTCATAACAACCACAACATCCACTGGCTCCCGAATCCCAAATGTCAGTCAACCTCTCCCCACAGCGTCAGACTCCCAGCAACTGGCTTTCAGCTGGAGCATCGACGACAAACATGTTTCCTTTGACATGACATTACCGGCGGCGGTGGCAGCGCCGTCAGACATGACAGTCGACCATCTGGACAAGAGATTTCGAGCCGTGGAAGCGAGATGGCTGGAAAGCGACAGTTGGGCTGGTTTGGAGGATGTATTGCGACAGACCACAACAAAGGACCAGCAAACCATCCTCCACATCTCCACGTGCATCCTCATCGGATCTGGTAGTTGTTCGACGGCACCTTCAGGTCGCCAAGAGGTGACCTTCTACCAAGTGGCCGCGTTCAAGGCTGCTGTCGATTTGATCCGTCGGTTACAAAAAGCCCCGCCGGTCGTGTATGCGCAAGAACCTCTGTACAATGACCTGGACGCCCAGTTTCTACACACACTTGGAATTTCCGTCGTCCAACATCCACGTGGGTTTGACGCCGTTGACGATGGCGCCGTCTTTGTGTTTTCCCCTTGCCCCGAACGCTTTGTCGAGCTTCAGATCATGCAGCATAAACCCACATTGTGGTTACATCGACCTCTACTGGATGATCGCTGGCCGTCTTTGGATAACTCTCAGAATCTGGACTGGATGTTGCATGGAAGAAACATTCACTCGACGCCAAGTTCAGATTCGGATTCAACGAGAGTCTCAGCTGGACAAGACCACCAGGGGAACTACCAAAGTTCTTGCGAGTCACATCTGCGGGCCGAGTACCTCGTCAATCGGGCTCTTTTTGAGCATTCGAGACGAAGATACAAGGCCTGGAAATTGCCTAGTTTGCCTGTCCATAACTATCCGTTTGAGGGTGCGGCTTTATTACGATATGATGATGAGGAGGTGGAGGAGTTATGTGACGATAGTGAGCCATGAGAGATGGCCTGGATTCAATCTCGAAAGTACACTTGTTGCATGGCTAATTGTTGGCTTCACAAACCAAGTAAGGAACATTGATCACATCTTGATAATGAACGACAGACGTCTTGGTAGATTTCAATTCTACCCAAGCACCAAGCCCGGTTTCACGTCTCTCCCTTCCTATCTCTCTCTCTCTCTCTCTTACACACACATATAAACCATCCATCCTCATCTGTGATCTCATCTCATCTCCTCATTTAATATCCTCACTCTTCACCACGGTTCCAAACGCATCCGCCAACTCGTTTAGTACCGCTTGCGTAACCTCCCTCCCCGTCAACCCAGGAATATCTCTATCTCCAATCGCATCCGCCGGCAGGACAATATCATACCCCAAATCCGATCCCGCTCTCGCCGCCGTCGAAACACATACATGAGCCATATACCCCGTCATGACGGTCTTCTTCCCCCTCTCACCCAACGAAGTCAAATACTCATGCAAATCCGTGTCTGCGAAACTCGACACCTTTTGTTTCGCAATCACTTTCTCCCCAGCAAGGGGTTTGAGTTCGTCGAATTCCTCGGCCAGTGCCGTCCCGGGAGTGAAGACGGGCGCGCCCGCGGGGGTTTGGTGAACGATGTGCACAATGTTTTTGCCGTCGCCACCGGAGCGGTATTTTGTGAGGAGGGACGAGATGGCTTTGCGTGTATTCTCCACGTCGACGGTTTTGAGCGTGCCGACGGCGTATCTTTTCAGGGTGGGGATTGAGGTTAGTTAAGTACTTTGTGTGGATTTGGGGGGTTTGATGGGATGGGAATAGTCTCCATCGAGCCACACGTGATGGGTTTGTAAAGAGCTCTGCTTACTCGTTCTGTGCGTCGATGATAATCAAAGTCGAATCCGTAGGCGATGCAGTCGACGGTGGTGCTCCGACTAATTGGCGGAATGACTTGACTTCGGTTGCGGATGCCATTTTGATGTTGATTGATTTTGCTTGATAAATAGTAACGCTAAGTATTGAGGTTGGGCAAGAGGTGGCGATGAAGACTGAACGTTTAAAAATGACCGATTTTGAAAAAGTCAACAATCCCCGAGGTAGCTTTATGTATCGAATCTATGAATATCCTGAAGAGCAAACGCAAATCAGAGAAAATATGAGCATTGATATACATAATGGAGGCGACCAGGTTATCCCCCCTCGACACCTCGGCCGGGGACATGTTCTCAAACGTCGATCCACTTTGCTCCCTCCGAGACTAACTATATCCTTAGCAGTGAAAGTCAATCCTGGGATTGGACTCGGTAGACGGGATGATGAGATGATGCCATGGTAGTTGAAGTGGGTCTTTTCCCACCCGAGTATCGACAATCTCAATCGAGTCTACTCGTAAGTATTGCACGGATACACTTGATACACTCGGAAATACAGCTATGACGGGTGGTTATCTACGGTCAAGCCTGTCACGAGAGAACCGATATATCGAAGTGCCATGTTCATCGTATTGAAAGGTGTTGCTCTTGTCGTAGATGGTAAAAGTCGTGGAAACACACATCAAGAACCACACGAGTGCCCCCGGCCCCTTGTTGGCTTGGACGCGGGGCAGACCTCGGGTGGGAAATGTGGATTCAATTGGGAGAGCGTTTTGGAGGGAGGTTTGCTCAGACAGCTTACTCTAGATACACTCGCCTTTGACTCCAAACGAGCCCCGTCTAAACGCTAAAATCCCGTCTAATAAGCATTCTAAAGACAAACCAGTCTATCAATACGTGCCCAGCCGAGAAGCACATCTACTGAGCACTGTCGTCCCACCCGAGGTATGCTTTTGGTACCGCCAAAATGGCCACCAACACAGTACACCAATTTCCCTCAGACCTTGTTGAATCAGTCACGGAGAAACTTCACACTTCACACTTCACAATGTTGTCCTAGTGGCGAGGGTGGTGAGTACTCCAGGATTGCCTTCCAATTGATAGAGCAATCTTTCAATTCACCTCATCAGCTGCCAGCAGATTCCAAACATGTCGTACACCTCACTTGGCTGTCGTATGCTTCCTCTCAGTCGAAGTTCCTTTCACATTGGTAATTCCATTTCCCTGTGGTACACGAAACTCGTGAACGAATCGGCTGCGGCCAGCGTCCAGCTCTCGGACTTTCTCGTTCTCAACACCAGAGGTCGACTCAGTCGCCAATGGTGCTGACTCGAAGTCAATCAGTGAGCTGGATTCCTTGATTTCAACAGCTACCTGGCCGGTGCGACGCTCATCGCTAGCTTTGGTTTCCACTTTGGCGAATTGAGTCCACTTTTCCCTACTCTGATTGTGAACCGATTTTGTGTTGATGTTTCCCGAGGCGGGCTCTGGCGCAAATAGCCTCGAAAATTTGCCTGCAATTGACTCCCCAGGTGGACCATCCCTCCGAATGTGCTTGTCCACATCGACAGGGCTATCCATGGGAGTGGGGTGGAACTGAGGTCGTAAGTATGAAGTACTTGCTGAGACTGGGACGTTCTGACCTGTGCCCAATTGTACACCCAACTTCTTCTGACCTGGCCCATCTTGATTAATTTTAGAGTCTCGCACGCCACGCTTGTAGGCTGCAAACTCTTCGCAGGGACAATCGCAATCCTCGAAGCATTCTTTGTCACAGTCGTGTCCACATGGGAGCACCTTGGAGCATGCTGATGTGCACTGGATGCCGTCATGAGGTGAAGGATGGCATCTCTGTGGACAGGGGTGCCCACAGACAAGTTTCTTTTCGCAAGGTCGTGTGCAGCCGCCGGTGTCGATATCATCCCACTGATCAGCGTTCTCGACTAAAGAAGTCCTGCCGTGATTCTTGCACTGGACAGGAAGTGTTGCAGCGATGCGTGGGGGTGGTCCAGCCATCATCTTTGCGACGCTCGCCCACAGTGTAGAACCTCCTGTAAGAATGCTAGCGTCTCCAAAAAGGTAAAATCCATATTTGGCCCGGGACAAAGCTACCGTAACACGGTTGATATTGGCCAAGAAGCCAATCTTGCCCTCGGGGTTACTCCGAACGAGGGAGAGTAGTACAATATCGTTCTCCTCGCCCTGGTATGAATCGACAGTTTTGACGTTGTGGTAGACAGCTTGCCCTCCCATAAGGCGTTTGATCTCTCGAAGGAGTCTCTTTCGTTGGCCATTGTAGAACGTCAGGACCGTGATTCTGTCTTCCTTGACTCCATTCTGTTGTAGATAGCGATAGAATCCGGCAATGAATTTCGCCTCTTCATCGTTAAACGTGGACATGGAAGCATCGCGTTCTTCTGCCCAATTGTGTTTGAAGAAGAATAATTTCAAGCTGCCCATCCCCCAAGGCTCGATATTCCGATTAAGAACGACCGGATGGTCTGTCAAAGTCGGGTACACACTCGAGAGCAGGCGGCGAAATTGTGGGTCCATACGACGCTGACGGAGAAGAGTTTTGTATGGCATGCCATTGTTGACCAATCTTTCAAACAACGAAACTGCCAGGAAGAATGGTTCTCCTTCGAGCTCTTGAACAGAACAGTGGCCATGGAGCTGCTGGTGATCTCCCACAAGAATCAAATGCTGCAAGGATTCAACACATGCAACTGTGACTGGGGCTTCAAGAACCTCAGCAGCCTCCTCGATTAAGCAAATTCGTGGCTTCAACGCCGATATCAACGCACGGTATTTGCTTAAGCCGGTGGTGGTGAGACCGATCACCCGGGCACGTGAAAGATACAGGGCGTCCTGCTCCCATTTGCCAATCAAGCTCTGGGTCACAAGGCTGGCATATTCCTTGGCCGCCTTTACAAATTTTCTCTGTATGGCATCGATTGCCCGAGACCGAATGATCGAGTACATGGGGCCACGGAGATATTGAGGTACCTTCCAAAGATCATTCATCGAATCAAGTTGTCTCTCCGCCTTTCGAAGGTCGACCGCTGTGGGAGAAGCAACGGTGAATTTGTCGTTGATGCTGGTAAAAGGGCCCTTGAGCATCTCCATGTCTTCCTCATCATTGATGCCCGCGGAATCCTCATTTTCTCTCAGTTGCTCGAATTCGAGATCCTCATCTTCGACTGCTTCGAAGCCAAAGGTATCTTGAGAATACCGCAAGACGAAAGGGTGCAGGGCGCGATCCAGCCAGATGTGGAGAGGTCCTTCGTCTTTGTTGCTCGACGAAATCCATTGAGCTGCGCCATCCTCCAAAGACTTGGCCTGCTGGGCGTTCAAGACATCCAAAGAGACAAGAACATCTGTGGCTGGAGAGCGCTCCGTGGAGAACGGGTCTTTGTCATGGCGAATGTCGGAGCGAATGGGTTCTAGTATCTCGAGCATCTCTTTTGCCTTCTTGTCTAGCGCACTGTTGGATCTCCCCATCAGGCCCCCAGGAATCTGTTTGATCCTCTCCTGTCGTCTGATCTCGAACAGGGCTCGCTTCTTGATCTCCAGGCTCGTGCTCCTCCCTCCAAGGCGAATGAAATTCGGCTCAAAAACAGAAACTTGTCTGAGCAGTTGATCCAAGGCATGGTTGGTCTGAGCAGCAATAATGATGGGCGGATCTCCCGGTTTGCTATTTTCCACTAGAGTCTGAAGGGCGATTTTCGACACGAAGGTTTTGCCAGTTCCCGGCGGACCTTGAATGATGGACAGGCTTTTCGTTATAATTTCGCGATATGCTTGCCATTGAGAATCGTCTAGGGTGTTTTGTGGCACATTAGGCCATTCGTTCGCAACTGCGACATTGGCATATGCCTCCTTCTGTTGTGGCTCTGCAGCAGCCGCAAGGCTCATTGTCGAATATTGTTGGATGTATTCAGGCGGCTGTGTGTTGGGCTGAAGGAGGCAGATCTGGTCAGAAAATGGAAACCTAGATGCTCTTGGTCAGTTCATGAATAACGAGCATAGAGGGGAGCAGACTTTTCCTGTGAGAGCATCTTCAAGGCTTCCAATGTGTGTCGATATGCCTCATAGTAGCCCTGCTTGGCTTCGATCATCAGCCATTCGTCCTGCGGATCGATTCGAATGTCTTCTGGGCGACTGAAATAGACGTCGATTTCCGGCTCTTGAGCTAGAACACCAGCGAGTGGTCGTGCAGCAACGACTGCAGTGATCAGCCCCTTGAAATCGCTGAGCTCGTCATTGGCCCGCACCAATGCAACGAGTGTGCCAGATGTGAGTCTCTTTGAGGTTTCCCAGGAGATCTTCTTTCCAGCTCGATTGGTGGTGAATCGAATGCGTGCAGCGAGCCCTTTTCTCGCGAATGTGAATCCGAGAAAATGAACCTTGGATGGTCAGCACTTCGGGGCAGACCGCAGGGAATGAGTCTCCTACCTGATCATAAATGACAAACTTCTGGGTGTCCATGGTCTGTGGGTTATTTTGGAAGTCGTGGATGGCATCTCGCAGTGATCCTACAGCGTCTTCGCGTTGGAGGGAGTATTGTACTTTCAGGTACTGACTTTTGTTTCTGTAGGGTCCGCTGATCTTGTTACTGAACACCTCGGCCATCGTCTCGCCAAGTTCTTCGTGTGTAGGGACTGTCGAGGTAGCAAGCCATTTATCTTTGCTAGACGTAGGAGCAATGTCGCCTTGCTTGACAAAGTAATTTCTAATGTCAAGATTCAGCTTGTAATCAAGGTCGTCTTCTGGGCCATCGGTGAAAGATTGGTGTCCCTTTCGTGGCTGTGGCCCTCTGAATCGTTCTGGCAAGTGTGCATTTATGGCTGTAGGCAAGAAACACTTCGTCAGCAATGTGGCAGCAGGTTTGGAATAGGGTTGTTGTACTTTGACCATGGTGGAAGTCGTTGTAAGTCCGTGCCCGCTCTGATCAAACCGAGTCAGTATGATGCTTGAGAAGCAGTAGAGGGCATTGAAAGGTAGAAGAAAGATAGGAAAAGAGGCTTGACTTACCACTTTGAGTACGAAGCCCAGGATGGCCATCTCCGCCATGTGGACGTCTGGGGTGAGGATGAGAAGCCATCAGGAGCCAAAGTCGTCTCGATCAGCGTAAACGGATTGAGATGAGGCCGTAGCAAAGGAAAAGACAGTGAAGCCACGTCCTGTCAGATCATGGGCAAAGGATGAGCCACGTCTCAAGGAGAGGGAATGAGTTAGATTTCGGGATGGATTGGTGTCTCGTCAAATTTTTCTTTGATTTGACAAGATTGGAATGATGGTGTGTGTGTGCTGCAGACAAATCCATAGGACACGCGCAGACAGTTGCGCAAGGCATGCCAGGAACCGCCAGTCCTTTTATTGAGACACCTGCCTGCCTGCCTGCCTGCCTGCCTGCCTGTCTGCCTGCGTAGCTAGTAATCGCAACTCGTTCTTCTGAACTGGACAGGGAAGGCGAGATGCAGGCGCGCTTTCCGACTTTTGGAAACAAGTAATCTTGGTGGGATGTGTCGTCGGTAAAACAACAGTGCCACACCTGTGAATACTCTGAGTGCTTTGAACAATATTAAACTCACAGGACAGTCTTTGGAACTGGAATCAGTCTCTGGATTCTATTTGATATGTAGACTAGGTGGTGATGAAAGCACACAGACTCTTTGCAGGATGTGAGTGATTGAGCATTCATGTCATCAACTTGGTCATGTTCGCTAGCTGATTGCCAGAGAACTTGCTCAGGTTATCACATCTAGGCCTCAGGACGACTGCTGGAGAAGGATGTATGATCCACACCCTCCTGTGAATCCAAATAACAATATGTGAATCGAGAGGAATGACATGACAGTGAGTGCGTGGGTGAATGGTTGTGCGGGCAGGAAACGTGACTGCGGATTAAATGTATCCCCGATTCCGCGCAACCACTCGTTCCACTCCGTACTATGCCTAATAGAGCTAGCGTGTCGACGAGACTTAATGCCCCTCGGCCGGGGTGTTAATTAAAGAAAGTACTTTACATTTTGTCCGCGTTGATTCACACGCCTCCTTCGCGCCATTTGGATATTTCGATTGTTTGGATTTGTAGTTGTGCAAGTTACGCTGTTCTCGAGTCCTGAAACAGGTTTTGTGATCAACCAGATGAACGGCGCAGTCTTGCGCGTTCCAAAAGTGTTACAATGCCTTCATTCGACGACGACGATGACCGTAACTCTCAAGATGGTAGCTCCGACAACGATAATGATAATGACAACGATGGGGACGAGACTATGAGGGATCTCGATGACGCTGATGGTGATGGTGATGGCGACGGCGATGGAGACGGAGACCTTGATGGCGACGATGACGGCGATAATGATGGTGATGGTGAGGGCGATGGCGATGGCGACGGCGACGGCGACGGCGACGGTAATGAAGATGAAGATGCAGATGGGGAGAGCCAGTCCGGAGGCAGTCAACGATCCGATAACGATGAACCTGGAGAATCTAATCCTACCCAGGATGGTGTACAGCAGTCTTTTGCTATGCAGGCCGATGCCTTACGCGATGCGGCTGCCCGAGCCTTGATCCGGCCAGAGTACCTCGAAGCCAACACCTATGACATTGTGCCAACGGTCGCCGCCCCTCAGAGTACTTCGATCAATGCTGTTTGTTCTACTGCAGACATGCGATGGGTTTTTACTGGTGGATCCGATGGCTACATTCGAAAATTCAACTGGGTCGATTCTATCAATAACAAACTGGCGCTGACGGTGGCGCAAAGACATCCTTTTGTCGATAGTGTGGTGAAGGCAGGAGTTCTGATGACCCATTGGGAGAATTGGGACGCCAGGCCCGAAACAACCCAGTCGCTTTCTCCTGTTTATTCCCTTGCATGCCAGAGCCAGGCACTTTGGCTCTTATCTGGCACGTCATCAGGGCCAATACGTTTGCAGTCTGTTAGACACGACGAAGGTCGAGAGCTAAGATTGTTACATAAACACACCTCGGCTGTATCGGTGCTGACTCTATCTTCTGACGAGCGAAGTGTGCTTTCTGGAAGTTGGGACAAAACTGTGCTTGACTGGGATTTGGAAACGGGTCAAGTGCGAACCACCTTTGCTGCCGGTGCTGGACAAATTTCGGCGATCGAAAGTCGGCCAATGTCGTCCCTGCCTGTTCCTGCAGAGTCTGGAGACATTGTTGTTCCCAACGGAACATTTTCCTCCAGCGACTCTAAACCGACTGCCAATGGTACCAAAGTCGAGACATCGAGCCAGACTGGCGGGGACGGCATTGTTGCAACGCCAGATTCTCTATTTGGCGACGGCGGAGACGATGACTTGTTTGGCGACGGGAACGTGAACATGACTAACGGTGGAGATCTCACTGATGTTTTTGGCGACGACGTGGACGAGATGAGCCGAGCCATGGCGAGCGGTCCACTTCCCGAAGAACAAATCGATCAAGACAACAAAGATGTACCCAACATATCGGCAGCTGTGGACAACCCTTCTCTGGAGGAAACAAGTTCAGCTATGCCCTCTGATGTGGTCAATGGTGTGAATGCTGATGAACAGCTTCTAACTAATGGATTACCGCACGCAGACGATATGGAGCTAGACGGACCTGTGCAGGAGAGCGCCGAAGAAACAGCAACACTCCCTACCTCGGATTCTACCTTTCTGGCCACATCCATTGACGGGCCTATCCGAGTGTGGGATCGGAGACAGCCCGAACCTGTGGCACGCATCCTGCCACGCAATGCACCTCCTTGGTGCCTCAGCGCTTGTTGGTCGCCGGACGGCAACTATATCTATGCAGGACGAAGGAACAACACGGTGGAGGAATATGACCTGCGAAAAGGGCTCAAAGGGCCTGAGCGGGTCTTCAAGTTTCCTAATGGAAGCGGGGCGGTCACATCGGTGAAGGCCATGCCCAACGGACGGCACCTCATTTGTGCCTCTTATGACATTCTTCGACTATATGACCTCCGTGAGACTCAGTCAGCCAGATCGACGGTACCGTTTCTGATTGTTCCTGGTCATCGAACGGGGGTGGTGTCTCACTTGTATCTCGACCCCGCGTGTCGCTTCATGTTATCCACGGGCGGAAACCGAGGATGGGAAGGTCAGTCCACAGAAGTCCTGCTGGGCTACGAGATTGCAGTCCCCGACAAGTGAGAGAACAAGGGCAATGTTGATGACACAGATTCGACGTTTATTGGTTCATTGTCAGTCATCGTCAGCGACCATGCTTTGTATGGGTTGACTGCACTTTATTTGGCACGCGCTCCTCCTTGTCACAATATTCGGTGAGAAAATTTACTTGCTCATCACTCCCTCCAGTGGATTCAACGATACAAACCTTTACGCCCAGATGACTTGAATGAGGCTCTGTCAGTGTACCCAAGAAATTTCAAGGCAGCGCACAGGCATAGCAGGGCGATTAACAGCAAAAAGCCCAATCAAGTGAGCACCTCGTAAGGTGATGACTTGCCGTAATGTGGCTACAGCGGATCATCCAGTCAGAAATCAGAGAATACGAGTCCAAGAATAGACAGTGATAGGCGGATGTCAAGACCCAAAGGGTGAATCGAGCGCAGTTATACACCTCACAAGATGGCGGGGATTGTCTTGCCTGGGAGTCAAGTGGGCAGGGACTCGGCGCCCGAGAGTCAGGGGAGGGAGTAAGCTTGATGTCAGAAGGTTCATCAAGCAATGAATGACTTGACCATGTTCACATGGTTTTTGGGAATCATTGATATCATTATGTACGGTATGGTATGTAAATGAGGCCATCTAGAGAGCAGAGCTGGTTTATTAGACGGTCAGCCACGATAGCATTGATAGTCAATCAAAGACAAAAGGCACATTGCACAAAATGTTCCTCTACATACGGAGTATTGTTGGTAGAACAGAACAAATGCTTGGATGGGAACAAGAAGCGCTAAGCGGCAAGACTTAGGCTCTTGGCTATTGTTTCAGCTGGCGTGGCCCGGACAACCACCGATCGACTCCCTGTCTTGAAAACTCAAAGTCCGCCCCCCGCCCCCGAAGGCGTTCAGTTTTGACGCCTGTGATTGACTCGTTCAGACGGCATGCCCCGCTAGACCTCCGCCACCCGCACTCGACACCAGCAACCATGATGTGTACGCAATACTTTTGGACTGCAGTTGAACAACCCCCAGCCAGATTATATCCGTTGCATTGCTAGTGTTGATCTACGCAGAGAGTGAAATGATAGTCTAGGCACTGTTTCAACACCAGTGAGAGGTAGGTATTTACTACAAGAGACACTTTTGTTACTCGTTTAAAAGCGACCTGCAACGCTGACAGAAATCCTTCCGTTTCGTGTTTCAGATGGGTTGTCGATGAGTCGCGGGCATTCGGTAGACGGTGAGGCTACTAAAAGTCTTATGCCCCTTGCAGCCTGCAGCACCTGATTCTCATGCGTAAAAGCAGACGGAGTGACGACCGAGGCAGCCTGATGTAGCCTGTAGGTCTCGTTGTCTCGGGGACTGCGCCCCTCCACAAGTATCCATACCACGCGCAAGATCCCTGGCAGCTTGTGGCACCCACTCTGACGCCCGAAGCCCCTCGGCCCCAATAATCGCCCCCGGTGCCCCCATCTGGCCACTTGGAGCCAGATGATGCCGCCTTTCTCATCATGGAAAAGTTGCCCTGCAGAATTGCGGGTGGCTGCTCCCCTCCAACGAGTCAACAACCAAAACTCCTGCTTTAGACTCCCGCCATCATCCAAGAATAATATCGACACCAAGACTAATTCGCCTGTTTGCATACAAACCTGAGAATAGAGTAACTGGCCTTTTGCCCTGCCCTGCGCCTCATCTCTCTCCTACCTTGCCATTGTCAAGTCTATCCTCTCCTCGCTTTTCCACTGACAACCCTCATTATATCCCAAAGACTCTTGTCATCTCCACCGAACGTTGCCTCTTTGTCTTCAGGCTGTCCTCTCGTTTGTATTGACACTGGCTCTGACCGACGACCGGCTTACACTCCCTGCTTCTGGTGATCAATTCCCCTACTCAGCACCTCGGTTTGCTGTACAACCTGTGACGTGCCAACTTCACCATGCCTCCCGACAGGCAGTTTTCCTTTGAGACACATGACGATTACCCTCGTGACAATCGACCGCACCCCGAACCCCCCTCACACCAACAATATACAGACTCTCCTTCCAGAGACTTCGTCTCTCCACCACCGCGATATACTTCTCCTGCAGCACCAGCATTTGCACAAGCCTCACCCCCGAGGCGGCCAATTCCACCTGACCCTCGTTACCTAAGCGATCAGTCGCCCTCGAGACGACAACCTCTACTGTTCGGTGGCCACGACGACCTACAGCCTCCTCCCCCTCCCCCACACAGGTCCAGTCCTTCTCGTATATCCTCCGACAGCCAACATCGTCCTATATCAGACGTCACTAGTGACATGGACAACTATGGAGACTACGCCCAAGGCGGAGGCATCAATGCTGTTGCACAAGGAGTCGCAGATCGTCATCCTCGCGAAAGTGGCTTGCAAGCTATGGGATCTCTTCCTCAGCCCTATGCTCCAGTCCATTCAGACGCTCTACCTTATTCCCGAGATGGTCTGGATCATGCCCAACTTCCTCCTTCGCACTTACCCAATCGAAATTCCTATGGCTCAACCTTCGCACTTGCTGCAGGAGCAGCCACCCCAGGGACAGTCACTCCTGACGGCTCTCTAGGCCCCAGGTCTTCTCGCTTCTCAGGCCGAAGCATTCCTCTGGAGGACTACTCTTCCCACCCCAGTCAGCCCACGTCCTACATGGGTTATCAAGAATCCCCCTATCAGAACAACCCCCACAGTCCTTCCATCAACTCCTCCAACATCATGCACCACGCCAGTATCAACCCTCATAATATCCTCGATGATGGGGATGATGGCTTTCCATCACAGCCTCGGGGCTCTACAAATGCCAAAGGCAACAGACTGAGTGGCATCGCCGGGGCTGCTGCTGGTGCTGGAGTCCTCGGAGGTTTGTTTGGTCGGAGGGCCAAGAATCACACCTCGAGTGGAACATACGATGCCGTTGGGGAGTCAAAGGTTGAAAAGAGTGCTTGGCTGGCAGGGGAGACCAAAGGCCGAAGAAAAATGAAGCTGTGGGTCGGTGTCGGTATCGGCCTCGTCATCGTCCTTGCCATTGTCGGTGGCGTTGTCGGTGGCCTGCTTGGATCCCGGAGTTCTTCTAGCGGCTCTGATGATACATCCAGTCCAGCAAGTGGTAGTACCAACAACGCTGATGATGACACTGCAGCAAATGGGGATCTCAGCAAGGACTCGTCGGAAATCAAAGCCCTGATGAACAACAAGAATCTACACAGGGTATTCCCGGGCATGGATTACACCCCCTGGGGCACTCAATATCCTCTGTGTCATACATACCCTCCTTCTCAAAATAACGTCACTCGCGACATGGCCGTCCTCAATCAATTGACCAACGTCGTTCGACTATATGGCACTGATTGCAACCAAACCCAGATGGTCTTGCATGCCATAGACCGTCTGGAGCTCACTGACATGAAGGTTTGGATGGGCGTTTGGATAGATACCAATGCGACCACATCTGCCCGACAGCTGGAGCAAATGTACCAAATCCTCAAGGAAACGAAGGACCTCTCGATATTCAAGGGCGTCATTGTTGGCAATGAGGCCCTCTACCGCGCCGGTGAAGACAAGGCTCAATCAGAACAGGAATTGATCGACATGCTCAATCAAGTCAGATCCAACTTCTCCAGACTTGGATATGACCTTCCCGTTGCAACGTCTGATCTCGGCGACAATTGGAACTCCCAGCTCGTGCAAGCTGTCGACTACGTCATGTCCAATATCCATCCTTTCTTTGCCGGTGTCGATGCCTCATTGGGTGCCGGCTGGACCTGGGATTTTTGGCAGACTCATAACGTGATCCTGACCACATCCTTGCCTGATGTTGGACAGATCATCAGTGAAACTGGTTGGCCCAGTGGTGGCGGAACAGACTGTGGTGGGTTAGATGGTTCTTGTACTCCGGGTCAAAAAGGCGCTGTCGCCAGTATCGATGGATTAAATACATTCATGGACACCTGGGTATGTCAAGCCTTGGCGAACGGCACGGATTACTTTTGGCAAGTCATTCCATCCTCTTTTACTTCGTAGTTGTCTAACCGGGTGAAAGGTTTGAGGCTTTTGATGAACCTTGGAAGGTGGCGTACAACAAGGGCGATCAAAATTGGGAAGACAAATGGGGTCTAATGGATCCTGGGAGGAACTTGAAGCCAGGTCTCATAATCCCAGACTGTGGCGGAAAGACAGTCTGAACTCAACTTGACCGACTTTCACCCTCTCCCCTTCACCAATATCCAGACTGTCATGTGCTTAGGGCCCTTATTCTTTCAGAGAGGATCACCTCTGTAACAAGAGATCTAAGCCTGGACAGTATGTTCGAGCTGGTTGGGTATTGCAACATCAATATCCATCTGGTGATCCCCGAGATCTGACGGCATGATTTTCGAATATGAATACCATAATGCCTAGGTTCAGGTTGGTCGGGACAGCCTGGACCCGGAATAGCGAACCGCGTCGAAGAGAACACAAACGTAACTACGCCACGGTCATTACCCAGCAAGAAAATGTGGCTATGGGGGCATCTTGAATACAGGGAAAACATGTCCTCGCCGTGGAAGAACAGGATACCGAGGCCAAAGTGGCCAAAATGGTACCCCGACTTTAGTGACATGTATATTAAACCCCATCTGACGACCATCGAGACACTCCGACATCGAGAACCGTTGTTTGGAGTGGAAGGAATTCTCACTACTGGAACGAGACACGAAGCGGTATTCATTGTACTTTTAGAGGGCAGCGATATTGAAAAGCATGTAAGCGAAGTGTATTGCATTACCTATCGATGATTAATATGCATCATTGAGATGAATAACAGACTTGTTGACCGATACATTCAGCCTATTAACAGACAGCTCGCGAGTGAGGACATCATACACCAGACTCTCCGCCGCATGAATGAAGAATCGGAGGAACAACAAGGTCATGTGATGACAAGGAGGCATAGTACGTGATGGAGATGCTGTTCAGTAGGAGGAGCCACCAGAAAGAGATATCCTTCCTACCTACCAAATATACATCTAGATGTACCGAGAATCACGTTCACGTTCACGACTAGGAAAGGAAGCTTCCAACATAACTAAAAACAAGAAACAAGGCAGGCAATAGGGAAATAGGAAGGCAAACGCCATGACCCACGTAGATCGGGGCCGATGCTTTCAATCTTCACTGTCAAGGTAAGATAGATAGGTATCTTAGTTTGTTCCTCCTCCTCCATGATTGCAAATTCCCATAAGCCTTCCCTGTCCTTTCCTCGCACCGATAATCGAAATTCGATATTCAAAACTCGATGCTCGACGCTCGACGCTCGTTGCCCAAGGCTGGTTAGTAGTGGAGTCCTTTGGTGTTCTCACCATGCCCGTCTTTGCCCCCAGCACCAGCCCTGCTTGCTTTCCTTCCTCCTCGTGGCTTTCTTTCACTATTTCTCTTTCCCCTTCTTTTCTTTCTGACCATTGCTCCACGCGCATTCCCACTCCCAGGGGGCGGTCCGTATATGTACCCGTGGAAAAGAAAAAAGCCGAAATTTGTGTTGCTTGAAAAAGTCAAGCCCAAGAGTGTTCAGCGAATATGAATTCACCTCACCATTGAAGAAAAAAAAATCATTTGGTATGCGAATGGTGCCAACGGAATTTTGGGCCCATTGATGGACCATGTCGAATATTGTGCTCGTTTGTCCGCCGCGTAACCCGTGTTAGTCGCCTGGCCTTCCAGACCATTCCTTGCCTCGATCCCTATTCCCGAATCCCCAACACTTTTCCAGTACACAATATGTCCCATGTACAATGTATACATACACAAGTGGCAGGCCATCTCCCGACCTGATTAGTCGAATGCCACCAATCCCGTACAGAGGATTCCAAATACAAGAAAAAACAAACCCTGCTGCGTTGCTCCGAAATGTTTCCAAGAGGCAATTTGTTGTGACCTCAAGAAACCCCTGGTCCAAAATGATTTGACAGCATATGAACAAATGTGACAAGGGTATCCGCATCGAAATATCCAGAACAAGCTCTCACCATCCAATGACTGGATAGTAAAAACCCTAAGAACGGTACCATAACCGTACAGAGAAATGATATGTTGCTCACGGCGTGCTTCAGAGACATGTTTTAATTCCTGAAACAACACCGCGGAATAGACACTGGGTACAACGAGCCCAAATTCGTATCTGGCAGAGATGATTCAAGAGCCATGCTAAATAGTCCTCTAGCCACATGTAGATTGCTTGCATCGAGCGATAGTTGGTGGCAGCAGTTCTTCGTATATCGATCATGGCGAGAAATAAAATGAGGCACCAAGGTGGCAGACACTGGTCAAGCCCCATACGATTCGGATGATCTGACAGGAGGCAGGTACATACTTCCAAGATCTCCCAGCGGGCACAGTGAGACATTAGACAGAACTCGGATTTGGTGGGGTCATTGAATGGTCCACGACCTTGGAGCGTTCGAGCCATCTCCTCTTTCCAGGTCGGCCCTCGAGATGCGCCGGGATAGCAGACTCTTCCTGGCCAGCAGCCACAAGGGCGCTCCGCTGTTTGCTTCGATAAGCATCTACTGCAGGTTTGGTCAGTGTGGTCTCGGCAACGAGTTTAGTGCTTAAGACTCACGCGCCCGAGCAAGGAAAATGGGCCGTCCAGAGAACACCCTTCCTTGTCCCCAAGCCATACGGTAGCCCAGCTCGTTGACCTTTTGCTCACGAGCTCGTTTGTTTCTCGAAATCTGGGGCACGGAAACTTCAGCCTCGCCTTCGCTCGAAGGCACTGAGACGGAGGTTTTGCCCACCGTTGGCACTCCGCTGTCGACTTCTGCTCCTTCTTCGTTGAATCGATCGTTCTTGCTGCTCTCGGAAGCCTCCTGCATCTGCACAGGGAAATAGGCTCGAGGAAATACCGAATTTTGCTTCCGATAAGAATCGGGAATCTCGCTCATTTCAATCTGATCCAGAGTGACCTTGACACGCACGCGGCCATTCTTCTGAGTGTCTTCGACGAGGATGAACTTGCGTCGCTTGCCCTCGGGGAGCTCGCCGAACAGGGCATTGTCTTCTTCGTCCCTGGCTTCTTGCTCCTTGGAAACCATTGCTGCTGGACCCCCCGGCCGCCCAAGATGATGTAGCCCTGGCTGCATGTTGGGTGCCATTGATGGCGCTAGGGAGGTTGGTACACTAGGGTAGTTCGGATAACCAGAGAATACGTGACTTTGGCGGATATCATTCGGGCTTGCCATGTGCTGAGGTGCTGGTGCTTGTCGATAGTTGTGTGGTGCGGTGTTGTACGCAGAGGCTGTGAGTGGATTAGCAATGAATGAGATGGATATTGGGGATCCTAGTCAGAGGTTCAAATAATCATGAGCACGGAGAGGGATCCTGCTTGCTCTAGAAGGTCGACGTACCTGCAACATTGTCTTGTCCTGTAGGCGAAATGTCCTGATGGTGATGGAGGATCTGCGCTGGGGGATTTGTAAGTGTGCCAGGGGGCCTGGCAGTTGGGGCAGCCATTGAATTGGGACCAGGAAGCCCTGTCGGGATGGCGCTTGTCGAGACAGAGCCTTGGCTCGCGCTCGAAGGTGGCATCTTCGTTCGAGTGTTGATTTTGGCCTGTCGCCTGACGCGACGACTTCTCAGTCTGGGATCTTGATTACTGTTCCTCCAACTATCCACAGCACGTTGAATCAGGCCTCTCTTGCCGCGAAGACAGGCATTCAGCTCTGCCAGCGCCCAACCGACCTGGTTACAATCGGTCTCATAGGCCAAGCGATTGCCTTTATATTGCTCCTTCGGCACACAAGCTCGGGGGTAGACACAGTTCTCTGACTTGAATTCTTGTGACAGATTGTCTGGGTTCACCGATTCGACGTCACAGCGAATGGTGTACTCCATTTTGACGCGGTCTCTCGAATATTCGAATGCAATCCACTGAACCCCGTTACCATCTTGGCGCACTACCAAAGGAGTGGTCGCTGGAATTGGGCCTGGCGCCGCATTCGAGTTCGGAGCTACGCCGGGCGGTGATTGCTGCTGTGGCTGCTGCTGATGGTGCTGTGGAGCCTGGGCCTGCTGAGGGTGCTGTTGGTGCTGTTGATGTTGTTGGTGCTGTTGGTGCTGTTGCTGTAAGGCAGTGGCTTGCGGAGTAGAACTTGCGTGCTGTGGTGGAGGTTGCGACTGCGATTGAGTGTGACTCTGCGGTGTCATCATCCCCGGTCGAGGCTGAGTCGATTGCTGGTAGGCCTGGTTGACTTCTGACTTGAGTCGAGGGCTGCTGGATATGGTCGAGTGGTGAGAGCCAACCTGGCCTTGCGAAAGTTGAGAATTGCTCGATGAATAGGGCAACATGGGCTGTGTGTTAAGCTGATGTTGCTGACTTTGGGGGTGATGTCCGCCATAGGTGGGTTGGTGGACCTGGCCCAGGGATTGATATTGTGGGTAGCCATAGAGCGGTTGGCTTAAACCTCCTCCCGGCTGACCGTACATTGGGCGTCCATGGTCATGCGACTGAGGTGAAGTGACCGAGGCCGGAGAATTGGATTGAGGGGTATTGTACATAGGAGGATATGGCCTCTGCATTGTCGTAGCTGCCATAGGTTCTTTTGTTTCTGAACACTTGATTTAGCCTCAATGTCCGGGGATGATGAGAGAATCAGACTTACCGGCAGGGTAATATGGAGCCGCGCCACTATGCTGGCTCCTGGGACTCGGATTTGAAGTATAGTAGTTGGAAGAATCGGACGGGCCTTGTTGGAATTGGGCCTGGCTGTTCAGAAAAGGTGACTGGACGCCCTGTTGAGGGGTGTAGACGCTGGGCGACGGATACGGTTGGTGACTGGCCTGACTGCTGCTCAAAGTTCGCGATTGTGCTTGCGACTGCGGTTGCTGTACGTGGTGCCCAGGCGCAACGTTTTGATACGGTTGTGTTGTGCGATGCTGCATTTAGATGAATGCGTCAGTACAATGGTCAATGAAACGCACAACCTTTGCGACTGGCCGCACAACGCAGCGATGCAATGTCAAGCAGATCCCGAAAAAACAAGAGAAAGCGGTTTGTTGGACAACAACAAGGATGGAGAAAGAAGCGGCGTAGAAAAGACGAGCCTGGTCTCCCGTCCCACGATCCGAGAAGGTTGGTAGCCCAGAAGAGGAAAGCTGCTGGGCCAGGCCGACGTGGACCAGGTAGGGAACGAAGAATGGGGAGACAAGGGAATCGGGATGCGCGAGTTGTGGACAAGCAATTAGAAGACAAAACGCGCGTACTGGATGGTTGATGGATGTTTGCAAGGAATTATTCGGTTGTGGTATGGTTGGTATCGAGACAGGGGGATGTCATTGGCAGGGCAGAGAAGGTTGGGACATAACGAGATGGAGTGGCTCGAGCAAGACAGTCAAGGAAAACAAGTCGACCAGGATGATCCAGCGAACAGGTAAGGTCTTAAGACGAGCCTGAAGCATTCAATCAAGTCCAGGACGATTTGGATGAATTTGAAACAAGTGATGAATGGTATTGGAGGGGTCGATGGGTCAATGCGGGCATGTGATAACCGACAAGCCCGCCACCAAGCAGTGGGCATAAGGAGATGGAAGTCGTGACAAGGGGAATAACGCATAGGGTTGGTAGGGTGCATACCATGTACCAGAAGGGGCGCCGCAGCGTGGGCCGGTTGACGAAATGCGAGATAGGATGAGGTTATGAGACTAGGGGGTCGTGTGTAGAGGACATCAAGTCTTCCAGACAAGTTGATAGTGGGAAGGAGCTTGTCGACCAGGCGTAGGCGTGGCAGTGGCACACAGCAAAGCAACGTTGGTACGGTGCAAGACACAAGACGATGGGATATACTCGTCTTGTCCTGTCGTGCGGGAAGGAGGTGGTGCGGGCCAGGAAATGAAGCAGGGACCAAATGGGCACGTCAGACGTGGCGGTGCAGGATGGAGACGGCAGGTGAGGGCAGGTGGGCAGGTGCAAGAGGGTTGTCAAAGAGAACAAGTTTTGGCGACCGCAAGAGGGAGAATAATACCACGAAGCCGAGGGCAGGGGAGGGTGAAATGGTAGGAGGAGGATTCAAGGTTTTTGGAAACTGACAGTTGGCCATCAAGTGGGCCGTGGGCGCGGGAGCTTGAGAACATGGAACTGGGGCCAGCATCAGGGATTGACTGGGAGTGGACAGTGGAGACGATGGATGGCGGGCGGATCACGAGTGGATCGCAGCATGGTCCAAGCGTCCTGGTGGCTTCCACTGGTGTGATTGTGCAGGGCGAGGGGAACCAAGTGACATTTCGGGAATAGGAGCCGGTTATTGGGGTGGAGACGGAATCTTATGCGTACGAGGGCAAGGCACTGGACGGTGGAGGGGAGAAGGGCAGGAGGGTAGGGGAGAGAGTGAGTAAAAGAATGACACAATCGGCTTCACCATAGCCATGGCAGGAGGCGAGCAAGGCTCAACAATGAAATGGCGAACGCGGGCATGCAAGTGCAGCTGCAGCCTGCAGCTGCGGCGTGCGCGTCCGAGATTGGTCCACGAGCCAACGGTAGACAGGGAGGGAAAAGCTTTACAGGTTGGGGCGACCTGGGCTGGGCTGGGCTGGCAAATGTGTGCGCTTCAATTGATCAATTCCCCCAGTGGTAACAACCAAACACCAACAGACAGAGGGCCGGGAGGGTTATGGTGGTGGAGGGCAAAGAGCAAGGGGGTGGGACTTGGGACTGGACAAGAGGGGAGCACTGGGAGGAAAGAGCCAGTCGTCGAGAGGAGGTGAGGAGAATGGGGTTGGGCTTACATCGCGGCTTCCAGGACCAGGGTGGGCGCGGATGTTGTGACTGGTGCCTATGGCGGCACCTTGAGTCTGACCGCCACTCATCAGAGCAAGATTGTGGCCTTGAAAGAACGGCTGTCGTCCATCTGCAGGGTCATTACCAGATGAGTCGGGCGATACTCGTGTCGCTTTGGGAGAAGGGCGCGAATGATGAGAATGCGGGTGAGTGTGCGTCTGAGTGTGCGGGTACGGGTGCTGGTGCTGGCTGATTGACGAAACATGCGCGGTCAACGCGGCTGGCGATTGATTACTATGAGGGGAAAATGGCGATTGCAAAGGTGGGAAAACGCCACCTACAGCAGCCGCCTTGTTCACACTCAAGCTCGCCAGAGACTGCGGTACCGGTGGATGTTTTGCAGAGGTCTTGCCCGTCGCGACGGGACGCTTTTTGCCAGCCATGGCGTGCATGGACCGTCAGGGATCACCGTCGTCTATAGCGTTCCGAATCGACCAGATCAAGTGAGGCGTGGCAGGGAAGTTGGAAGGGTGAAGGCGTTAAGATTTGACAGCCGACGGTGGCAGCCAGCAACAGGCACCAGGGCACGGGGTATGATCGCTGAGGCCTTGAGGGTGACAGGATTGTAAACCAGAAAGGCACAGAGGCAGCGCTTGTCGCATGCCACGGCAGTGCGGGACGACAATTGTGGAGTAGCCGTCAGAAAGTCTGGAGGTCATGGATAATATTGCAGGGTTGCAAAGCTCAAATTAAGGTGGAATGGGTATCAGGACACCAGGGTGATCATATGCGAGAGTGCGAGGGCTCCCTGCTCGACTATTATAACCCGCCGACTTATGGACGACCTAACATCATGGCTTGCCTATAATGGGTAAGGTGGTCGAAGGATTAAGGGCTGTCTTTATCACTATTGTTGCCCATCCAGGCCATATGCTACCCAGGAGCGTCTCTGAAGACGCACATTTCAATAGGTTGTGCAACCAAGCGCCTGCAGGCGACAAGGCCACCTGGATTATCATCTTAGATACTCAAAGAGTAAAACCCGGTAGATGAACCTCCACTGTTAGCAGATATTGGTATTGGCATACTCATCACGCTTTCTTTTCAAAGCGACACAGAAGATGGGGCCGATTAAATGGACGGTGATTCCCCATGCGACCTTTTGTTACCTGTGATCCGTTCCAGGAAATGGTTGCGCACAGGGAGATGCGAATAGGCACTCTCGTCGACTCGTGGCTCCGTATGCCCGCCGGAGACGCCGCCGCCACTGGGCCAAGATCGAATCCGATCAAGCCTGACTGTGCATGACCAAGATTCGTCCAAAGACATGATAATCTCGCTCCGCATCTCCTTGTGTACCTGCTGCCTCGAAACCGTCAACCATATAACCGAGGGGCTGCGAGAACGGTTTTGGCTAGGATCGCAAACTCAGATATCTCGAGCCGTCACAGGGATGGTTGGCCCAGCCATCAACAGCGGAAATGTTGAATGCCATGTCGAGACAGTGGGCGATTATACGAAAGATACTGGAGAGTACGTGAGTACTCGATCAATAAGGTTTGTTTTGACGGGATCAAAGATGCGTAACTGATGATCCCTGCCAATTTCCAGTAGACAACAGCAGCCTTGAGTGGCTGGCCACTTCGAAACACGCGCTGCTTCGGCGTCCAACGGTGCCGGCGATCACGAGCCAGGGTGGCCATGTTCCAACTTACTGCACACGCCCGGGCCCACTGCACTGGCGACAGTAACTTACGGAGTAGTGGCGGCTGGTGGGCTAAGTAGTGGACCGTGTCGCCAGTCAGTGCCACCTGGAACTCAAGTTTGGTGCAACTTCACAGCTTACGAGGTTACTCATGCCAACCTCGCATGCTGCAGAAAGTTTGGACACACGAGAGCCAAACTTAGAGATAGTCGAGTAACTAGCAACGAGCAACGTGAGCTTCACGGCTCAAATGCCAACTCTTGACAGTGAGTCCGTGACACAAGTTGGCCCGCGCTCGCGGCCCCAGAGGTACATTTGTAAAGAGCTGTTTATAGCTTTCTGAAGCTCGACCAGTTCCAAGCTTAGTAGTAGCTACGCATAACAGCGAGAGTTAAACATGACACTCCGAACCAACCAAAATTTCGCATCGAGGTCAACCACTGGAGCCACCATCGCATGCCTGTGATAATTACTGTACTCCGTAGTCATAGTCTCACAGATGTCCACTAGCGACCGGACAACAACCTGTCACGCAGGCCAAAGCCATGGTTGGTTCGTTTGATAAGAGCCAACCTGACAAGCCTGTCTCAATTGGCTACTGTAGCCCCGCGGGTGCTGATGCTCCGTTGGAATGATTGTGTAGACATAGGCATAGACATAGGCAATGACAACACTGATGGGCTCAACATTGGGGCCGAATAACAACGGTAAGTCTGCGGCAGAGTATACTTGAACTGCCCGAGATGGAAAGTCGTAAGAGACTCCGGGCTAAAGCAGATCAAGGGCGGCTCCACTACTCCTGACTGGCGCAAGTTTCAAGTGGTGGGCGAGCTTGTCACGAACACACAGTAGGCTGCCCCGTAGTGTCCATTACCAAGTCTCGCACATGCCCCCAACGCAACGCTGCAAATCGTGTGCCAGCCATTGTGCCATCACAACCTTTGGAACTTGTTGCGCTCCAGTCTCCACTCCCCGCTCAGTGGCAAGCAACGCTTAATGACTGTTTGCTAATCCTGTTGAGGACTTAGATCCGGCATGAGTTACGACGGTCAAGGCATGGCTTACGATGACCCGGCGTTGGCTCCCGATGCGGCCATTGGTCTGTCGATCAGAACTTGATGACATTTGGGTATAGCGTTGCCCCTCACGGCTGCATTGCTTATTGTGTCTGGTACTGCAAGTCGTGACAGCGTGTGATGGTTTGAATCGACTAGTGTGCGGTCTAACAAGTGTGGTCCTGGAAGCTGGCGCTACTCTGCGCATCAGTGGACGCGTAGCTCGTAGATTCGCAGAACTCGGGCGGTACTTTGCACCTAAGGATTTCCAGCACTGACGCAACCCAAGCCCTGGAGACACGTCTGCCATTGGCTGCATGAACCAGCTTCCGTGGCAAGCATCCCTTCCCCCGGGGGCGATCACCCTTTGACGCCAAAGTCTATCCATCCATCCTCCACTGATCTTGGGCTACCTATTTCAGACACCACGCTGCTAACAGGCCGACACCTTTAGTCGGATGGGCACATTGTCTAGTCATTGGTCACCATTATTTCTCATCCTCGTATGCACGAGATCATTTCACCACGATGGCTCCGCACTTGCATCTGTGGAGCTTAAGGATACAGCCAACTCGGACAATTTCCCTGCTGGACAGATTGTCTGTCCGCGATTGTCGCATGAGCCCATGCATTTGAAATCAACTCCTTCAGAAATACCACGTGATTTTAGGGCACAGAGTATGGTACCTATGTGACCTGCTTGACACCAGCTTCTACACAGCCAAGATAAATGTCGTGCCCCGAGATCACATGACGAAGCGGTCAGAACACATGCTGTCAAGTACTCCGTAGTGGCTGATTTATACTCATCTCGCCGTCGTCATCCGAAGGCTAACAGTACCCTACGGAGTAATAATTGTACCGTGACGCCCGTCTCTTGTTGCCTGCGCGGCATGATTTCATGGAACAAAAGTGCGGTCCCTACCACAGTTTCCTCCCCACTTGAAGTCCTGGTCTAGGAATGGAGATGATCTCGGCTTCTGGATGCCAAGTTAGACTAAGTTCCACCTTCTAATAACTGGACAGGAACTCTAGGTGGCGTTCCGGAAACCAAAGACATGATCGCACGAGCCATGGTGTACTCCGTAGTGCGTAATGGCTGAACGACCCACCTCTGTCGGCACGACTTTACAGATCTCAGCACATCCAAATCCTGGGCGTGTGCAGTTTGTGGCTGACTACCTACGGAGTACATACCACTACTTCACTTCCCTGAGTGACCGACTCGACAGTAATAGGATGTAGTGAGCCTCGGCGACATCTCTTGCGAAGAATGCACGACATTCATGTACGTCGAATGCCCCCCTATATGTAGTATGAGGAACATGGTGGCAACGCTGCGCCCCGGCAGCTTGACTGCTAGGCGACTACTATATATTCTTTACGCGGACTTCCAGCTTTGTTTATGTAGATTTGTGCCCAGGAATTACTACTGTTGCTTGACCAATGATCAAAGAAGGATCAAAGGACACGAGGTCCAAGGAGCTGTTCCAGAGACTCAAGACCCAGATGTCCCGTCTCCTATCTATGGTCTCACCTCTCAAGAACGTTAGGTTTTATCAAATTGATGGTGTCAAATGTCGCCGCCCTCCAACCACATACTCGCCGAACTTTGCAGATGACTTGAGTTATACTCTACGGAGTAGATTTTACTCCCGTTGATCCCCGCCTCCACGTTTACCAAAGACGCTTTTCCGTCTTTCTTCGGACGTCTAGGCTCTAGCCAACGACCCGTCAAAGATGCAAGGTGCCATGCTACCAGGGTCTCCACGCGGTTGGAATGATTGACACCGTGCATGCTGGGGAACCTCGTAACGGCGCCAGTGTCTTGCACCACTGCGTCTAGCACTTTCTTAGCCGTCAATCATTTTCATGGTCTGAATCATGAGCAATGAGATCATGTTCCCACTACCTCTTTCAAGACATCGGATATTTGAGGCAGAAGGGATACAACCGACCCATCTGTCATCTTTTATCGCCAAGGTAACCAACACGCCGTGCGGTATGGCATGCATTTTGAGTTGAGATCCAGACTTACTGCCTTGCATTCCTATGAAACCCATCTCCGATTTACACTGCCCATCGCCCAGACGGTTGGAAAATGTCAGGGTTCTTGGTCAGTTTCATAGACGTCTTCGGAACATTTCTTCAGCTCGTTGTCGATCATACGGTGAGCTGCGGATACCATGACTTGCATGGCTCGATCTTGCATGAATAGTTGATACGGAAGCTGAGAGCAGGAGATACCTGTGTGACTCACGTGCTCAGCGGTAACCCGTGACTATCATCAATAATGCTGAATGTCAATATTATTTGATAACACTAGAGAGTACCCAACACCTCGAACGAAATTTCGAATCTGAAACCAGAGCTGTCTTAAGGCCACCCAATATACTTTCTTTTGAATATATTCGCATGCAGGTTGCGAGGAGAAGTGGGCTGCAGGAACCGTTAATCAACGCGCACTGTTGTGTTAGAGTGTGTTCATAGTTTGGCCAAACTCTGCAGTGTGCAAGCCAAACGTATCCGAACATCGGTAGAACATAATGATGCCTGTGAAACGTGACATATGCAACAAATCGAAAAACGCCAATGATAACGAGCGTGTCTAGGGACTTGCACCTGTGATGACTCTTCTCATCTCAGCCTCCGCTCCATTGCTCACAATCTCCTGCATTCGCTC